ATAGGTTGCGGAGTCCTTATCTCCTAATTTGAGCCAAGAGCCTTCCCCCCCATTCGCCAAAGAACGCTCACCTTCAGGTGGCCCAACCGCCCATCGTTGTGACTTTAGTGCTCGTTTTCTCGCTTTGGCATTGTCTGAGATCTTTGGTTTTTTTGATTTTTCCGGATCCTGGTTCGCGTCTTCAGTGGGAGGACATATTAAAACAGGATCTTGTTCATGCTCAAGAAGATTACGTTTTTTCTCAAGAACAGTAGAGGATGACGGTGTTGTACTATGCTCATGGCAAAAATCATTATCCGACTTGTACTTAGAGGTAGGCTTTTGGTGCTCGCTTACCCCGCTTGTTATGCCTTTCTCCCTTAGGAGAGGCATAGAAAGCGGTAAGAAAAGCACCTTTAACCTCCCCTTAATGTACGCGAAGGGCGTCGGCGATGTCAGGAGTTCTTCGTGTTCAGGTTCGCTCCACAGTAGAAAAAACCGTGGCTGTGTCATTGCTCCAGAATACACTGCTTTTTGATCGTATTCACGCTGTATCGCAAAGGCCGCAGCATGCGAAAGATGTCCAGTTCGATGCTCAAAGAGCTGCATGTTGTAGAAGGTGACGGGATCATGTGTCGAAGATTTCGCATCTACAACTTCCGGAGAATTCCATTTCCAATTCGCAACGCTTGCAAATACTTTACTGAGCTTTTCCGTCACACCCTGCTTCCCTAATATGCCGAAGGCGGTAAGCTTCCGCAGCTTGTGTGCCTCTTTGTGAACGCGATAAGCTTCCGAAGCTGTGGCAACCCAAGTCCGCAATCTTTCCTCGCACGCGATAACACTGTTTACAATGTCCATGTAGAGGAAGTCGTCAAGAGTAGTTGCAAAAAGTTGCATCTCGTAGCAATTCTTGTTCGCCATGGTTCCTAGTCGTGAAGCGTCGACCCATCTTTGAGGAGTCCAATGCTTGAAAAAATCCGGCACAGCTACTGCGAGCGGCACTTTCATTAGAGAGGACGCAAAGGTAGCTGACCTGTAAACTCGCAGATGCAAATGTATGAAGAAGGAAGTGAACTGTAGTTAGTCGTGCCACTGCAGTTTAGTACTAGTAGATACAGCAATAGCTTCATTGTCATTTACACGTGGAGTCAAGAGCAAGACTTTACTGTACTCGCCCTTCTCATAAAAGTGCCGCGGGAGATGGCGTCAAGAGAGTCAAGTCCTCGTTCCCGTGACCACAGAGATATTCCTGAAGTTGGTGCGAAATCTGTTCGGCGGACCAATGGCTGTCGCTGTTAAAAATATCTTCATCACCATATTGCTCCTCCTTACCAGCTCTACTACTGTCGTCTGCACGAAAGTCAAAAAGGTACAACTTTTTGCTACTCCGCAACACGATTACTCCCAATGGTGCGTCAAAGCTTGGTGGTATTGGGGGAGTCGAAAAGAAAGAGGCTACCGTTAAAAACCCACTGTGCTGGATATCTGCTAGAATTTGACCATGCAATGCGCGAAGCTGTCCCGCATCCTTTATCACGGTGGTCGAAGAAGAAGATGTAATACTTCTAGAAGAGCAAGCTTGCTCAATCCGGGGCCGTCCGCCAATTTCGGGATCTTCTAGTCGTGCTTCTGCAGCAAGTCCTAGAAGTTCTACTTTAGTACGTTGTTCTTGTTCGGGTATTTCTGAAGATTTAACAAGAACAAGTCCTGCTTTATGATCATGTTCGGAACAAAGCAGGGTACGTGCATCTGGCTCCTTAACCTTGGACTTGCCTAGCAACTTCTCTGAAAAAAGGTTGAAGTCCACCAGCATGGCAAAAAGTCGATTCCGTTGAGCAGCAGCTTCGCTGCGTCGTACAGCCGAAGTCTCGTCCGCAGACTCTAGACTGCATCTGAGTGTCTTCTTGAGACTTTGAGCCACTTTTATCAAGTCGTCGGCGGCTTCGAAAGGACTTGATTTGCTCGATGATCCAAAGCGCACATCGCAGTTACTAGAGTTCGCACATCTGTAGAGGCGCTGCAAGAGCTCTTTGCGTCTGCGTGTCTGCTGTCGTAACGTTTTCAAACGTGGCATCGATTTCAGATTATTATGCTCATCTTCGATTATCGACATTAACAACGTGTTGGAGCCTCTGGTCCGAGAAGATGAAGTGTTTTCTGCGTGGAAAGAAGTAACAGTCTGAAGATCTCGTCCTCCTGAAGCAACAGTCTGGATCTGTTTGTATGAGGCAGTGACGCAGCTAGTCTGGTTGTTCGTCTCCTGGTAGAACGTAGTAGTAGTTGAGAGTCCGTCACGCTGAGTTCGACACTGTAGAATTTCCAATTGCGCAAGTCGAGCACGCTGAGTTCGACCTTGTAGAACAATTTCCCATTGCGCAAGTCGAGCTCGTAGTTCGTGGCTTTGAAAACCTTCGCTTAACGCAGTGGATGTCTGTCGGGGTTGAAAGTTGAACGATAAGCCTTGCAAAAGCGAACCAGCTGGTTCTGTAAGGTTGCGTGGAAGTGGCGGATTCACGTCCCTTGCCAGCCGCAACCTGTGGGAGGGGATGAGGGAAAAAGATATCTACTTACGTGAAAAACAAGACGTTTTCCATCATAGATGGAAAACCGGAATGAATCATTGTTGTACATAGTCGATGTTTTGTAATCCTCGCCTACTTATGTTACATAAGAACCACACCAGAATAAGAATAAGATGAACAACAAGAAAATAATATCATAGACATAGTACTACCAAAGAAAAAATTGTCTCTCTTGTTCCTCCTCAGAGTAACCTTGCTGAAACTTCCCATTCTGCTGAAGCTCCGCTGCGTGCCGTGCTAGCGCTGCGAGGGAAGGACGATGCGACGGAGAGTGAAGAAGGTATCGGAGGTAGGTCTGGACCTCCAGTGGTCGTCGAGTTTTCCTTGTCAAGAACAACGAAGAAGTGCAGGAAGGATCTTCTCCCGTTTCTAATGCCGCTTTGGCGTCTGCAATCGTCATCGTGGCCATCCTTGAGGGGAGATTGCTTCGGATTCACTGAGGGGAGATTCCTGCTAAGTTCTAAGTTTTATTTCACAAGAAGGCGGTCACTAGCTGCAGCATCATCATCGTGCGTGGTGGTCCCATGATGCGCAGAGGCTGCTACTGTCAGGGACACGACGCGCTTCATAGTCGTGCATGACCAGCTGCTCGCTCCAGGGGCGAGTGACTCATTGGCTTTGTCGCTGCCAAGCAAAACACCATGCTGCTGACGCCCCTTCTAGCTTTTTATGCTTCTGCACCCGATTTTCAAGACTAACCAGGCACCCATCGTCATGGCAGGACTTCCGACACCATATGGCCCCTCGTGGCTAGCCATCTCGCGAATGTGGAGATGCGCTAGGCCTTCTGTGTCAGATATTTCTGATTTTTCCAAAGACAAAATGTGAACCTACAACAAGTAGCGGACGAAAAGTACTCATGTTTTAGTTTTTGCTACTGATCTCGATTTGTGGTGGAAACAAACGTACCTGGAGATGAAGAAGTTGTGTAGAAGTCACACTTTCTTTATAACCTTTCAGAATTACCTTTCAGAATGCCGTAAAGTAGAAAAATGAAGGTTTAATCAGCAGTAGTCCAAGTTAGTCCCTGATCAAGAAGCAGCATGTAGGTGAAGGGCAGGTCGGATGGTGTTTAGACACTTAAGCAAGAGCCACCACGCGGCTTCCTTCACAGGCTAAAAGGGCAAGATCTGGGCTAGTTTGGTCGCTCTTTGCTTGTCCCAGAGCGTGGAATCATGGGGATCGATCGATTTGTATTTTGTGTATTCATCACTCACAGTAAAGACGTCTGGGTGTTTTGTTGCGGTTTGCTCCTCTTGCACTCATTCAACTGACAGATTTCAGACACACCGAACCAACGATAATTTCTCACACAGGAACCTAAGATAGATATGTCCTGTCGTCAGCGTATCTGCTTTGACACGAGAGAGAATTACAGACTACTCGCAGAAGCAATGATACAGCACCAATATTACACAAGGCATGGAAACTGCTGACCGCTCCAGATCTTGATAATTTTGAAACAAGATTTTCATATCAGATTTCGTTGCAAGAATTGGTCTGTTGGTTGTTCGTTGCAAGAATTGGTCACATGTCCAAAAATCTTATTTTTGGAATTTTTCTTACTGTGTTCATTTCTTTTTTCTAAATTGCCATTGCGCAAGTTGAGGATAGGAACACATCCACATCTAGATTGCAGCTTTCTCCAAGATGTTGATCATGATCTTCTGACTTTTATTCTGCTCGGACTAGATAGTAGTTCGGATGATAGAGGATGGCGATGGAGGACATGGAAATGATTTATCGGTGTGGTGCGCATAGATACTCTTCTTCGAACGAACAAAGTAACAACATGGTGTTCTTGCTATAATTTCCAAAAGACCACAAAGGCTTACTTCTTACTACAGATGAACCGAGGAAGCTAGCTCGTCCTGCTATCAGTCTTTGTTCATTTCCTCCACACTCTTTGCAAAAACGGGTTGAGACCGTCTGCTCTGCTCTCAACTTGCTCGAATGCCAGAATTCCAGTGTATCATGTCCACCTTCTAGGGACAAAAATGAACGGTCTTTCTGGATTTACCTCCTCTGGTTCTGCAAGGCCGTGCTGGACCAACTAAATTCGCGACGAGGAGAACATGTTTTTTCATGTACTCTCTTTAGGTTTCAAGTACTATCTGCTTCAAGTACTCTCTGTTTCTGTATCGAGGAGAAAATCTGACTCATCAAAGTTACGCGGACGAGTTAAGCAGCGAAGAGTTGGAGGTGGAAACTCGAACAACTTCTTATGTTATTCAGTCAGCGATTAGTTCTCTGTCTAGGTCCCGCGCCAGTATTAGATTCGATTCTTGAAAATTTCTATTGACACCGGGCCACCCGCAAAAGCGGCGCTCAGACCGAAGTTGAATTCATGAAGACACCACTAATACCATGGTTGTGGGACGCGAAAGAGTTGTGCCAGCTTCTGGCAAGATGTCAGGCTTAAACTTGTGTGTTTTACGATAGAAATGTTGTAGAAAAAGGAATCAGTTACAGTAAGACTTTTTTGATTATCTCGGGGACTCTTCCATTTCGGGGACGGGGACTTGGAATGATATTTTCTTGACCAATACATCATAGTCAGTGTGAAAATCTTTCGCTTAACAAGTGTAGAATATCAATAACTATAAGATAAAGAAGATCATCGATATAACAACTAGAAAAAGTAGCTCAAATACTAGTATTCTGAGTGTTTCTAATCTATGTATAAGCCGGGTATGATAAGGGATTGCTTTCAAGGTGGAATACTGTCGGGATATGGTCACTTCAACTAGAGAAATTTCATCGTTACGCCAATTTTTCAAAATCGAGGACCAATATGATGTATAACAGGGCTTAAAACAAAGAAGAAATGTAAGGGGATGAAAATTACAACTCAAACTCTTGTTTAGATTGATATCAGTGTAATATTTCAAATCTGGACGCAGCCTCTGCTATTGGTCGTTAATATCTTCAACGTTGACCCAGCTGCGGGTAAATTTTTTGTTTTCCTCAGGGCTTGACAATCATCTCCATCGCCACTTCATCTTCGGGGTCTCATCCACCACCGGGGCCAGGCCGCCTACTAGGTACAGGAAAAAGACAGAACGCTCCCACTAGGAAATCCAAATCTTTAGCACAAGTACGAGTACTACTTCCACTCGAATTCTCACCGTGGTTTCTAATTTCCGCGAGATGGAATATGCCGTTCTGGCTTTGCTTTTGTATATTTATACTTTGGGATGTCATTGAGGGTGATTTCGACTGGTACCAGTTCTAGCTTCGCGCGTCTGAAGGACACGACGCGTCTGTTGTCTTTAGAGGTAGCGAGATCAATACATCTCTTGGGACATCTTTGTTTTACTTACTTGTCATCAACATCAGAGGAGAAGTAGACGAGGACTTATATTGATAAGTATAAAATATAAATAAACCCGCTGTAGTTCTTGCATATTGTTGGACCACAAGAACGCAGACTGCTAAGCCACGCGCAGGTTCTCGGTGGGAAACGCTGAGCTTGGTGCAAATTGAACTCACAGCCTGAGACTCATGGCCTCTGGCTGGTTTGATCCCTGTGGATATTCATGGGGGTTGCAAAGGGGAAGGCTCAGCTTCTTCGTTGGGATATCATGGTGGGGGATGTTGCATGTGCTTCGTATGGAAGTCTTCTGCTTATCATCATTGCCTTCGCCTGATCGTCCTACGTCGATACTCGTCTGGATCTGACAGACCTTAGATAGACGGATACGCATCAGATTACATCGCGCGAGACCTAGCACGGGAATACCTTACGACGATCTTTATGCATTTGAACTGATCAGAACTGACAAGACGACACGGACCTGGCTACAGCTATGAATACGCTGAAGGTCCTTTGTCTGTTGATCATTGACTTTGGAACCAAAGGCGTTTAGGTCTGTGGGTTTCCTTGAGATCTTTCCGGTGGCGTTTGTCCTTGACTGTACTGAAGGACTTGGAACAGCATACAAGAGAGAGAGGAGAAGCCAGAGACACCCGCGCGACGGTAAACCCGTCGGGCGTTGGATGGTGCTCCGGTAACCTTTTGCAACAACAACAAGAGAGGAGAAGCCAGAGACACCCGCGCGACGGTAAACCCGTCGGGCGTTTGGATGGTGCTCTGGTAACCTTTTGCCTGGCGATCTTGGTCATTCCGTTGACCTTTATCCTTTGGATCTTTGTGGATCTTTGTCAAGTCTCAAGGATTCCGATCATGACCAACACATATAAATAAATAACATGCCCAACTACTATAAATATACACATGTGTTCATCTTGCTGCCCGAGATGGAAGATTGACGTTAGCCGTAATGTCGTGCGTGATCAGCTTAACCGCATGTCTATTATCATGCGTCACGTGATCACGATCGACGTTCTGGTACACCTTGACCAGCGGAATGTTGTACACCTTGGGATTAGAGGAAGTAGGGAGTAAAGTAGTAAGTTGGTAAGTTGGATAGGTAGATTATAGTATAAGATAGTATAAAGATTGACAGTATAAGATTGATAGTATAAAGATTGATAGTATAAGATTGATAGTATAAGATTGATAGTATAAAAGAGCATCAGAAGAATGGATAGGTTCGTTGCAGATAGTATAAAGCATCAGAAGAAAGTTCGGGAGTAAAGTAAGTTGGACGATGCAATAGAATACAATTAATCTCGCACGAAGTTCAGTGCAGACTGCCTTAAGGGCGTCATAGGTAGATAGTATGAAGCATCAGCAGAAAGTTCTTCGAGATCAACTATAATTCTTCACTGACTTGTTCTGTATCATGAGTTTTCTCGATTGAGATGAACATGTTGAGAACAGTAAATGCAACAAACAATACTAAAAACAACAAGCTACTCATCTTCTTTTCTTTGCCATAATTGTCTTGCCCGTCACTAGTTCCGAGACTAAGTCTTCGATTCGATTTTTGCCATCGTGAAAGTACTCGGAGTGGTCTTTTTGGACATGATAAATGTCTGCTAGATTCACCAGTACTATGTCGCCTTCATTATACAATAGCGTGCATTTGTATAGTTCTGCGTGCAGAAACCACTCGGGAGGGCAATATGAAAAGAGAGGGGGTCGCCGGAGGTGGGTACTTACTGATTGATCTCCGGCGAAGATTAAGTTACATCAGGCCTTAGGGCAATGCTTTTCGTTTTCATGGTAACCAATGTCAATAGTACTGATGATAGTGAAGTTGAGGATAGACTAAGTAAATTTCGATAAAAACGACCTCCTGACCCTTTCATGCCAAGAGATTAATGGATACCCTACTGCTCCTTCTAACTTGTTCTTGTTGCTGAAGGATCTCGAGGTAATGAACTGAAACTCTAAGAACAGACTGTCACTAGTAATATGTATGGGAAGAGAGCTTCAAAACCACATCTAGTAACCCCAGATCATGATCGCAGATGAAAAGAATGAGTTCTCTACTTCTAAGTAACGATTTTTTTGTCATAAAGTGTCCTCCTGATAGTTTCTTCCAGCGGTTGGTAATCTTCTTGGCGGAGCATGCTCTTGAAGTTCGTCTCCCACATCACGTTCCGGGCCATCTCCTGCACCACAATCTTCGCGACTTTTTAGTCCTGCAGCAGGTAGCTGCACTGACTCTTTTTTAATTAGAGGTAGGTTTTTGGTGCTCGCGGGTTCTCCCGCTTGTTATGCCTTTCTCCTCCCTTAAGGTGGAGAGAGGCATAAACAGCGGTAAGAAAAGCACCTTTAACCTACCCTTAATTTAACCCAACCGTCCGACGCGAACGGCCACGAGTGCGTCCAAGTGATGTCCAGCTCTTCTGCCCCTGTGCGTTTCACCTGCTTGCCCCGCTCGCGGGGGTCCCACTTCCACCAAGCCTCCCGAGTAACGTCGTGCCTGTCCTCGTACGCAACAGGTTTCTGGTCCTGTGATTCCTTTGAAGCTCGAAGCTTTTGTCCATATTGGTTTTCATCTGGTGCTCGTTGTTTTTCCTGTGAGTTTGCGAGAGGATTTAGCTCGTGTGTTGAGTCGTCTGATGCTTGTTCTCGTGATTCTTTATTTACGTCTTCCTGCCGTGATTCTACAAAGTGTCCTTGTAGCTCGTCATTTCCGGATTTTAACATTTGTAAGCATGGACTAGAAGGAGCAGGCTCCTCTTGTTCTTCTCCCCTTTCTTCTAGTACATTGCGCCGGTTTTCGTCTAGTGCTCTTTCATCCCACCACTCTCCTTCCTCCACTCCTCCAGCGTCGTCCCAGCGTGCTGACCCCGGACAGCCTTCCAACAAGTCGCTATTGAAAGTGTTGAATCTAAGCTCCTCGTCAGTGACAGCTGTGCTGTTGAAACCAGCTTTATCCGCATCCTCACGCATTTCGGCATGATCTAAATCATCGTGGTCATCTCTCCCCTTCTTGCAGCACGGACAATGCGGAGTAAACGTCGGACTACGATTATGAACAGACAGATCTTCACGCTTAATAGGAGATATTACTCGCTTCTACAACGTCGGGGATACAACATCTATTTTTACAACAATTATAGTACACTTCCTCATAAATTTGAGTGTGTTGCTCCTTCCATCTCTTAGTATGAATTTCACGGAAATTCTGAATAAATCAAATCAATGCTCGTCGCCTCGCCCAAGCTCTTGGGTAACAAGGTCAAGTTCTCTAGTACTTGTCATAAAATAGGATCTTTGCTCTTCCACGCCTGACCGCGAAGTCGGGGCTGTCAAGCGGATTTGGGTTCTGAGTTTCTAATTCTTCGTTCTCCCTACGAGTTTCTTCAGCTCTCGCCGCTTCAAGCTCAATCGCGCAGTCAGGACAAACCGTTGACTCTTAGAAGGAGTCTTAAATAGGTGTTGTTCATATCACAAAACTGCTTCAGACAAACTCATGAAGTATTTTCTAGGCATGTTGTCCAGAACTGCTCTTGTGAGGGGAAGTACATGATTAGTGATCTTCAGGGCCTTAACCTTCTTCACACAAGTGGCAGAAGTATCGTGGGGTGCAATTTCCTTGCGCACAATGGGGACACACGACTTTGCTGCATAGATCACACACAAAACCATTGAGGCTGCACGCAGGTCCGAGAAGGTGAGGCGGTGGAGCGAAATACTCAGGAAATGCGACTGGTAAGGCATACTCCAAAGTCGTAACTTCAAAGGCATCTTCATCACGGTCATGTAATGGATAGGTTTGAATGGCATGACTTTCAGGGTTGAAGAGTTGAAGTTCTTGTGCTTCGTGTTGCTTCATGTCCTCGAGTTGAAGTAGCGGATCTGTAGCCTCGATTGGAAGAAGCATCTCGTTGTCACGATTCTGAGGCATACCAGCATCTTCGATCCAAAGTAGCTTAGCAGTATTTATTTGAGGCACACCAGCAGCAGCGTCCTCGATCGGAACCGGAAGTAGCTTGTCGTTATCACCAGCCATACCACAAACACAATTCTGCTCGGGTTCTTGAAGTATATCACCTCTATCTGCATCTAGAGCACTTCTTCTATCGATGTCATGGAGCTCCAAAAGAGGATCGCAGTTTTTCAAATCAACAGTCACATTATCATGATCTTTCCGTTCGACTTCAACGTCTTCCAATTTCAGCAACATCTCAGTGTTTTCTCCTTGAAATTGAGCTTTCATGTCTTCCAGTTGAAGCATCTGCGCATCTTCTTGTGCCAGTCGAGCATTCACGTCCTTGAGTTGAAGTTTTCCGGTTGATGGAGCTTCAGGCGACCTCGGAATGAAATTTTTACGCCAAATGCATCCAAAACTACAGACGTTGCACTCAAGGTAGCTCTTCGGTTTGCTTCCGCAAGCCAAAGTGAAGTTTGAGTAGTCGGCGAGAGCTAATTCTTGATCTGGATGAGGACTTGGGTCGTTACCCAAGAAGGTATCTGGATGAGGACTTGGGTCGTTACCCAAGAAGGTATCTGGATGAGGACTTGGTTCGTCAGCTAAGGCTAACGCACCATCCGGATCGAGAGCACTGGGCTCAAGAGGACTTTCGTCTTTGGAAGTACGTAGTGGTGAAGGTGGAGATCTTTTAGCATTTGGCAGAAGATCTTCTAAATCTTCTTCAACCTCCCTATTTCGTCCGTGTGGCGCTTCGCTAGTGCAACTACTAGTTCGTTCCTTCAAAGCCTCTACTTTTGTACTACGACTACCACCTGTACCTCCTTCTTGATTTGGATGATCTTCTCGAAAGTTACTACAACTCAGAAGAAGTGTTGAGGCTCGATGACACTCTTGGACAGGACTTAAGTCTGCTAAACCTGCGGACGAGAGGCTTCCTCCGCGTGCGTGTGGGCTTCGTTCACTCGAACAAGTAGTGGACGCGCCAGACGTAAGACGCCTCTTTTTGGAAGGCTCCGACGGAGAGCACGTTGCTCTAAGCACGCAGGAGGGTGACTGATCGGCGCCCACAAGCGTCGTGGAGGTACTCGCATTCTTGTTTTGGAGGACTGTAATATTACCTGCTATAGGTGGGCCTTTCTCATTTGCTGCGTTGAATGTACCCTTGGCGACCTTTTTCGTCGTGGCAGGGATGAAAGTAGGTATTCGCTTCGAATGATGCGTGGTGCCCGAACGTCGGACTGTCTGCGGCCGACATTCGGAGTCATCATCATTTGCCGCTTCCGGGGAGGTTTTTTTTGCGTCCTTGCTTGCCTTAGAAATTTTCGTGCACGTAGAGGATGTGGCCTTGGATGTACCCTTGGCGACCTTTTTCGTCGTGGCAGGAATGAAAGTAGGTATTCGCTTCGAATGATGCGTGGTGCCCGAACGTCGGACTGTCTGCGGCCGACATTCGGAGTCATCATCATTTGCCGCTTCCGGGGAGGAAATTTTTGCGTCCTTGCTTGCCCTAGAAATTTTCGTGCACGCAGAGGATGTGGCCTTGGATGTACCCTTGGCGACCTTTTTCGACGTGGCAGGAATGAAAGTAGGTATTCGCTTCGAATGATGCGTGGTGCCGGAACGTCGGACCTTCTGCGGCCGACACGCGGAGTCATCATCAGAATCCTTCGCCATGTTGATGAATCTTCAATTTGTTACCTACATGGCTCACTCAGTCGATGATGTAGTTCAGGTTTCACGACTGTTCTTCTAAGAATTCTGGGTAAATTTTTACTCATCTATTTAACTTGTTCGAAAGATATTTGACAGGTAGTACTAGGCAGCAGTCTGACTTGGGGAAAGACTGATAGTTAGAACTTGATGAAGAAGGACAATACATATCTATTATTGAAAGCTCTTGTTTTCAACAACAATACGATTATATATTACCGGGGAAGACATCAAAATATAAATTTTTAATCGGGAGAATGGACGTATACACATCGTAGGTGGTTGAGCAGTCAAAATTTAAATTCCTGGAGTTTGAGGTCTTTTTTTAGGAAAAAAATTGAGGTGCCTATTTGTGGATGTTTTCTTGGGTTCGGTTTGTCGGTTTTGAAGGCTATGAAAATGCTACTATCAGTATGATTGCAGCGGAACAAGAGTACTCTGGCTTGTAGGACTGAATCACTCCAATCTAGTCATGAAAATGAAAAACAGTAGTCAAAAGTAGAGGAGTGAGGCAAAAGGCAAAAGTGAGAAAAGGCAAAAGTGAGAAAAGGCAAAAGTGAGAAAAGTCAAAAGTAGTAAAGGCATGCTGCGCCTTCAAATCGTGGTCCAGCAGCAAGGTCGTACTCTTATTTGTATGACCTTGTTCGTCTATTTTCCACTTCTGGACGCCAGTAGTGACGTGTAAATGACCCGACATGACCGATGATTCAGAAGGATCTTAGCTACAGAATCTGTAGTAGTGCTCCTTTAACGTCCACTGTTACGTCATCTGTTCCTGCTTCTATCGAGCACAGTAGGCGTGTTTGATAGAGTGCAAGCAAGAATAATCATGCACTTCTAGCCTACAATAGGGCTAGTTGTAGCTTGCTTTTGCTTATGAAAGCTTGTGCCTTCTTTTTCGAGGAGTACACAAGGACGAGAATGGACCAATTTCTACTCCGCCTCCACTCTCGATGCTTCTATCTTGTATGTCACAAGACAGCAACTGTTTTGTTGTATCAATCTGCGGTGATAGACCGTTTTTCTTCGAATATCAAATGATGCTAGATAATGATTAGCCAAATCTAAATTTTCGTGGACATCATTGACCACATTGCGTCATGCAGGTCGGCGATTCATCATACAACTATATGCGTTATGAAAGTACTCCGTAGTAGAGCAAAGACCTGCGTTGCGTTATATTTAATGTCATGTCGTGCAATCCAGAATCGTTTAAATAATGCGACTCATGTCATCAGTACTATCCGCCTTGATAAGTATGCATCTGCGTGAAGAGATTATCCTAAAAACAACACATACTCATGAACAAAAGTGCATATCGATGTAGTTTTTGATCTTTGTAGTTGCACCATTATTTTGCTCTTTGCTTCGCCTCGCCAAACCTTAAGCTCATTACGCTTCTCGAGCTCCTTGTATGCTTGTGTAAGCTGCTTACGCCTTCTCGAGCTCCTTACTGCCGCCAGTGGAACCAAACCCGCCCTCGCCGCGTGCGGTTTCTTCCAAGGATTCCACCTCCTTGACTTCCGTGGAAAATGAAAGGTGGGAGTCTGTCTATCTCTATACATAGCAGTAGCACTAAGATGGGGGACTCAGCTTCATGATACAACGCCATAAGACTGCCGAGCGTGGGCCTACACACTATAGCGCCCCTGGGGGCTTTTAGCACTGAAAGGCGCCAGCCGTGTGGGAGAGGGCTGGTGACTTGCGGCGAGTAAATGTATCAAAGCCAGCAGATACAAAACAAGGGCCGCGGCAGCCTGGCTCACCATCTATCGCCCGCGCTCATGCGTAGGTAAGCACGCGCGGCCTGCCAGCTCGGGGCACTTCACCAGCAAGACTTTACTAGCCTCAGGCAAGCAGGTGCACCCTCCTGCATCTTCTCCGCGGCAACACACACAGCACAACAACAAGCCAGCCGCGCGCTCGTAGCTTTCGCCAGCCTGCCAAGCAAGGGCGTCGCTGGCAGCATCTTCCAGAGTGCCCACGTAGGCGCCGTGGTCTTCCTTATCGGTATTATCTAGTGTGGGAAAAACAGGCGGGCAATGTGCTGGCTGTTTTGTCAGTCCTTGGCGCGGCGGCCTGTGCTCCATGCGCGTCGTTTCTCTTCACGTTTAAGACCGTGACCGCGCGGGACTTCTCAGCCAGCTCCAAATGACACCCAACAAACCAGCCAGCTCGCTCGCAGACGGTTCGCCTGTCTCGTCTGGGCCGCGTCCTTCACAACGCTCGCAAGAGGTTCGCCAAGATATGCGAGCTCCTAACTTCCCAGAACGACCCGCACGTTGGCAGGAGGATCGCAATGCGATCGGGGGCGTTAGCCTTCAGCTGCGCATGAGTTCGCGGGGACAAGTTCCACGGCCCTACGCCGCGCATCTATTGACTTTCCTGAAGGTGACCGGCTTGAGGACTGCCCGCCGTCTGTCGTCTGTCGTCGTCCGCCGCCAGACGTCCTCGCCCGTCGGCGATCGTCGTTCTCGGTACATGGCGCCACGACTATCTTCATGCCGATCATGGAACTGCGAGAGCCAGAATACCTGGAGCAAGCCACCCAATTCCTTGCGCATGCGCCTCACGCCAAGCCGATGCACCACAGAAGCGCACTTGCTAGCCAGGTGACACCTTCAAGGAGCTGCGTTGGCAATTCCCTACATGTTTGCAGTGTGGTGGATGGCTGGCCACGTGAGCCCACAAGCAGCGCAGTCTCCCCTCCCATCCCCAGCGTCCAATAATTTGCGGGCCTTGCCTAGAAAGGCCGCCCCAGAAATGTGCGCGCCGGTGGCGCCCTGTTTTACTGCTGTCATGCCTCCGCGGGGTGCATGCCTTTGCTTCTCCGCGTTTTCCCCGACGGTCTCCGAAATGCTTCACCCCACGATGCTGCGAGGCTGACCGGCGAGGCGCCGGCCCCTCCACTTTGGACGAGTGGGAAGCCTACGAAAAGGCTTCTGCGTCATGGCTCCCACAAAATGCGCAGACGGAACGCCACAACGCCCGCCCAAGTGGTACGCCTCCCCACGCTATGAACGCAACCGGGGGCGGCGAACGCGGGAGAAGGGCCACCCGCTAGCCAGCACAAGAACCGCCGGGGGCGATCTGCCTGGTCCACGAACCAAAAACAGACAGGCCCAGCGCCCTAGATTCAGCCGGCCCCCGAACCAAGGCGGGACCCCCCGCAAAGCTCTGCCCTTCCAGGTGCATGGTCCACGGGGATCGATCTGCCTGGTCCACGAACCAAAAACGGACAGGCCCAGCGCCCTAGGTTCAGCCGATCGACGAACCAGACAGAGGCTCCCGCTTCATGCTCAGACAAGACCCGCCCCGCCCCGTCCTCGGGGACGGCTGTAAAGAGGTGGACCTGAGAAGCGGGCCTGCGCCAATATCTCCCCAGAGTGGTGTCTAGTATCTAAAAATCCAACTAGTACAAGAACTAAACGAATACAGCCTACCACGACTATACGTTCCCTACCACTACACAGTACAGCCCGGTAATAGTTCTTTCTATGACATCCTCGTCATAAATTCAAGTAGCGCTCCAGAATGAGTTGCGCGATTCGGTCACCTTTTTCGATTTTGAAGGTTTCTTGCGCGTGGTTGAAGAGCACGACTCCAACGTTGCCACGATAGTCAGCATCGATGACACCAGCACCCACATCGATGTGCTTCTTCGCAGCCAGACCAGAACGTGGCGCCACGCGTCCGTACACACCTAATATTTGGTGGGCCTATTATCTTCAGATGAATCAGTTGCCTCTTCTCTGGGAATGGCGAAAAGTAGAAGTACTAAATTTATTTAGGTTCACACCACGAGTATGGAGGACTATTAATCATGTTTGAGTACACGTGGAGATGGAGAAGATAGCAATAAAGTTCAACGTTTTATAGACGTTCTCTAGTACAACTAGTAGTTTTCTTGAGTGATAGCTCTCTACAGCCGACTAGAAGTTGATACACTGGAAAACTTAACGCTAAAATAAACGGCAATCTTTGTATTTTAGGATTAGGATTAGGAGGGTGTCCGCCGTCCGCAGTTTTACCTGCCTTCTCAAGCGGATTAGCGTAGCCGTAGAAGGACTAAAAAACTACCCATCTACTTCTTTTCTTAAGAAAATTACCTTCACCTTCTATTTTTGTATTTCATCTTCTAAGTACTTACCTTAAAAAAGATATTAGTACCATCCGGAAACTTGACAGCGATGTCCGTCTTGGCGATGCACTTTCCTTGAGGCGGGATCTCATAGTCGTAAGCCGACACCAAGTCGAATCCTGCAGAGTCCGGCGTTCCTTTAGCCGGGATGCTGGCGTGTTCGCTCAGCTTCTTCACGAACATAGGGGCTTCAGTGGCGGACGGCATTTTGATCGTCAGTTTGGTGGATGTAGACAAATGGCTGTGGAAATGTGATTTGGGATTCAATTGTAATTCGAGAGAGAGCGATTGGCCTTGCTTTCTTGTTCGACCCAGTTCTTGGAAACGTGTGTTGATTGAATAGGTGTAGTCTCTAAGACAGTTGAATTTTTTGCCTGGTGTTTTAGTGTTTTATGATGGAAAGTTTACTATAACTTGCAGCATTATTGTAGTATGGGGTTATCTTTGACATATGCGGCGATAAGGTAGTTGATGTGAGCGATGTTGTGAGGCTCGTAAGGTCTAATATTATGCTATTGATGCGAGAGTAGATGCTGTAGAATTTCCAAATCACCTATGGCACGAACCAGAATGGTCTTCCAAATTGACCAGACTTGGAGTGAGATCATCTTCTTTTTCGTCTTGTGAACTATCAGGAGTTTGTGAACTATCAGGAGTTCTGCACAGTCTTATCGGAGTACAAACAACATTGATCAGACTAGCGAACAAGAATATCCACCACATCTAACGGCAAGTGAGATCTCATACGCATAGGCAGGCAAAGATACTCATGCAGCAGGCACTAGAGTACAACAAGAGTCCACCTTCATGATGCGAACACAGCTGCTTACTCCCTTACTTGGGGGCCGTTTTTGAGCAAAGAGCCCAAAGAAAGCGACACTCATCCCAGTGCATCATTAGATGTACAACTTTGAAAAATAGCGCGCAAGAAGCGGAAAGTGGGTCATCTCCTCATCATTGGACGCCACAGCATTAATACCAGGAAACACATGATCATCTCGAATATATATAATATTACGTCTCACTTCAATTTCAGTTTTTTCAGAGGTGGCTCTTGCAGAGGCTTAGAGGAGGAAGATCCCATAAACGATAGAAGTGTGCGTGTCTTGTAGCGCCATGGTGCTGTTGCCTGAGTCTGAGCAGGTGGGATGCCAGCTGGAGTCACAGGTAGAGCTGCTAAAATTTCATCTGGAAGAAATAAGCTTAGCATAATATGGTCACTGTAACTTGGAGGCGTGTAAATCATATTGGCTATGTGTCTTTTTTGAACAGAAGAAGTGTCTTGATGTTTAATATGCTCTGCTTCTATGTCTTCTAACGGTGAAGAAATATGATTCGTAGCTACGTCTTTATCTTCGAAAGGTGAAGAAGTATGAACATCTGGGGACGAGCTTTGTTGAGGACACTCTGAAGAAGAAGAAACTTCTCCAACCAAACGCAAGCTATTCGACCAGTGATAGTGCAGTGGCGCTTTCAGTAGCTTGCAGGATTTCTCAGAGTGCGCAAACTGGAAGTTGTTTAGTCTTAGATCGTCTTTCAGGCTGTCTTTTTGCATCAAGAAGCCGCCTCCAGCTGACCCAAAGCGATTGTTGTTGATCCAACCGCCGTAGCATGTTGCGGCATTACGAGAAGCTAGTTCTGGGGAGACGAAACGTGGTAGGGGAGGAGCAGAAGAGGAAGATGCAGTGCTGGGCATTTGTTTTCTCACTGGATCAAAACTACCTGCCAGAGGTATCGGCATGGGCCATGACGATGGAGCAGTGTCCCCAGGTGGACCAGAAGAGGCTAAGTTGCCAACTTCAGATTGCTCGATGTAGCCTAGCTTGCGCACTATGCTTCCTGGAGGTGGTGTCCACGCTTTGTCTGTTGAAGCAGGTGGTTTAAGATCTGTAGGTTCCGCTGAACTACCAGCACTAGTACCATCCGTCGTCTGCACGTGCTCCTGATTAAAACTACTAGTACGGCAATACAATTCCCACAGCGGCTTCGACAGCAATATGAAATCGATTCGGGATCCGTTATTGCTCTCCGTTCGATCCGAAGTGAACTGATTCCACACTGTAAATCGTTCACGAGCGCGCTCACCATAGACTTGTGCCCAGACGTCGACCATTTTGTCGCGAGAGGATGAAGGAGAGGGGAAGTCGAGAGGACAGGAGTAGCAGTGAAAGGTATGTCAGAGTAAGGGGTCCAAGAAAAAAAACGTACTTAACTGTTGCAATGCAAGTCAAAGTCACTTAAAAAAGTCTGTTATTTCATGTGCAACCCGAAAAGAGTACTATCCATGCAGATCTAACAGTAGTACGATTCAGTCTCATAACAGTAATTTTTGCATCCACAGGACTGCTGATTCTTCATATTTCATGTGTCGCGGTAAACCACAGTTTTGCAGTAAGGAGTGATCTCGTGATAGACTCAGTCCTGCGTGTGTCGTAGCTGAAGCCATAGAAACGAATCTGCCAGTACTCGACTTGTTAGTTTTGCTATAAAAACTACTAGAAGTTTTTAGTGCAGCTTCATTTTGCGCAGAAGTTGGTTTCGGATTTTTACTCGTTGTTTCTTTAGACTGTGACTCGTTCGTTCGCGTGTTCTGGCTATCATTTTCCTTTTCTCTATTGGGAGGATGTTGCGCTAGAAAGGCCGTGATCTTCGGTGGTGCCCCACGGATTGACGTCGACGGCACACTCGCCACACTCGCCGCAGCAGCAGTTGAAGATTTCTGATTTTTCTTCGCAACTACTCCACCATTCACTACCCTCTTCGCATTGCCACCTGCAACTTCGCCTGCACCCGAACTAGTAGATATTCCTATTCCACCTTTTCCTGTGCTATTTTTAGTACTGTCGTTAATGTTGCCAGGTGGTACCTCAGGTGTTGCGTCCACCTCTGGTTCTGACTCTTCGGAGTTTACCAGCATCAATGGAAACAAATCCGGAGGTGCGCCCTCAGTTACAACACCCGTATCGTCTACTCGCAGAAGGCGTCTACCGACTTTGACGTCTTCCTTTCTATACGAAACATTGAAATCGCCAAGAAGTATAGTGTAATTCTTCGAATCTATTGTTGTTGATGATGTACTACCTTTTTTTGGAGGTCGAAGAAATCGTGCTTCTAGTTGGGTCAGGAAACGAAGTTTGAAATCCCGTCGAGAATTAGAGCTACCTCCGCGTTCTTCGCGTCATATTTTTTTTGAAAAATTCTTGGCGTCTCATCTCTTCTTTTTCACCCTTTGAGAATAAAGTAGCCAAGGACATCATGCTCCATCCATTTTTTAAGAAAGACAGCTAAGGATCGTGCTGTAGGGAGATGCTCTTAATATACTTAGTTGGGCATCACATAGTACTCGCCAACAGATTCTCTTTATGATGCGAATCTCTTCGGCAATCCGCCACCAGATTCCCTTAATAGAACTATCATTTGCTCTTAATAGTACTATCGTTTGCTGGACAGTTTGCGAAGGGTGCGTAGATGTTCAGCAATCGGAAAGTTCCGAAATCGAGGAGCAAGGCCCTTCCCTCGTCGTCTAGGACCGGAGAATATGAAGCAATGTACTAGGTGAAGCAGTGTACTACAACTCGGAGTAGAACTAGTTCTAATGTACTATGGTTCATCTAATTCTATGTTGCATCCAGCTACAAGAACATGAAAATTTTTGGGACTGCAGCAGAGTCGCATCATGTCTTCATCTACATTTTCCGGACTACAGAGTCTCATGAATTTCTTTTAAGTAGTTCCCTGTTCTCAGCATGGTAATTCCTCATAATTCTCAGCGTCACATCTTCTAGTTCTAACTCCTAGTTCTCAGCATAAATCATTGAAAACTTTCTGCGTTGCACCAAAGACTTCATACTTGTCTGTCCTCACGAAGCAAGCGACACCATTGAAGCCGCTCTTCCCTGCGGCTTTAGACCGGTTGAACGCGAAATAGCTGGTCCATTTTGGACGTGGTGTGCTCTGCGAGTGGAGGCCAGAAGGTTTTGATTGATGGCCTGTTCCAGACTTCTCTTGCAAATTTTTGACTGATCCAGCATGTGAAGAGGAGCCAGCAGTTAGGCTCCCACCCAAAGCCAAGGTTCCTGTACTCTTCACGGCACCTCCCGAAGCTGGTAGTGTTCCATTCGCTACAACGACTTCCAACCCCTGAGCAGCTGCTTCATTCACTGAGTGGAGCTCCTTAGCTTTGATTTCCGACACTTTGGCTTCCTGGATGCAGAGGACGTCTGCCTCGTGCAATTCTAGATACCGCTCTAAAGATCCGTAATGCGCTACGATGGCCTGATATGTTGGTATCCAACCAGCCACATTCCATGAGAGGATCTGCATTTTTTATGCTCTAGATCTTTCTGAGGAAAAGGAGGTACTATATTACGTCATTCTCACGTTTAAAAATCATAGGTCGTGGGCCACGCGGCATGATTCAGGTGGAGATGAAGAAGCATTATTCCGCTTTTATATGGATCACGAGTTGCCTTTTGTAATACATCGTGACGAGGTCGTCAGATCATTATAACCGTGTCCCTGATAGGTACTATTACGTGCTTTGTTGCGTCGTTCTTTCATGCTATGAAGAACCTGAGCTCTTTTATTAAAGCACACGCTCACGACCGAGGGGTCACTCAACACATAAGCTTGCTTATGAGAAGAGCGGTTCATTGTGCGCAGAGACGAGAGCTAGCCAGTCCACCAACGATCCTGCGAGGACTGTCCTCCTGATCAAAATTGCCATTGCAACGTTTACTGAAGTACATGAGGTTCTGATTTTTGGCCTTCCATTTTTTCAAGGAACAGGAAGCCAGTACGAGAGTCCATTCTCGGAATTCCCTTGAGGTCGCATCAGTGAGTGTCACGTTTTCACTCCGTATAAGGATAAGTGGATGATGTTGATTTTGGGATTTTGCCATATCCTTTTCTTGTTTGATGGATAAATAAGTTGAAGTTTCTGTCCAATAATTCTTGTTCGTCGTTGTAAAAATGTTGTGTACCAGGTTGATTTAAATTGTCGAGTTTCCTTGCTCTAAGAATGAGTGCTGCCATGTTCGCCCGCCACCAGTTGCATGGCGCAGGTACTAGAGTTCTTTGTTGTAGTCTCCTCTCGTCGTGGTCATAATCCACCAGCTAGTACCCCAATCCCGAAGCCATCGAAAACAGGCCTATGAGCCCACCGAAGATATTACCCCATAATTAGCGCTAGCTTTCCACTATGCCTGGTTGAGTGAAGAGTTCCCCCTTTCCCCCTAACTTTCTCCCTTAGGTCAGGGGGCCATGTCATGGCGCCTCTAGCTATTAATGTCTTCACTCAGGGGACAGTTCACTCAGCATTTCTTTCCAACACGGAATAGTGAAAGCCTAGCCTTAACATAAGACTAGCCAGCCTAGATTTAAAGCTCAGCCTTCAATGGTCACTGACTCTGAACGGAAGGGACCCCATTCAAAGCTCTCCCCTTTCCCTTCGTTTTCCCCTGTTCTACTCTCCAGGGAAGGTCGCCTCTTCCATTTCAGTGACCAACCCCAATGACCATTGAAAGCTGAGCCTTAATAGGTGTGAGCGAATCATCTCCTCCAGCAGTGTTTTCACTAGCTCTGGCGTCAGAAGCTCTAACTTCTCAGTCATTAGCAGGTCGATCTCCGTTTTCACGCGGTCCACGGATACGAGACGTCGGAGCTGTCTTGAGGGGTGGTGATATGGTGGGATCCTAATACGGTTGTGTTGTATATTAAAGAATGGAATTGATCTCGACTGCGATATATTAATTCGTAGGTAGAGAGGACAACAAGAATGTCCTTCTGCAACACAGGACAATGAGCAACCTACCGTACCGTAAACAAGCGTCGAAGCTGCTTCCAGAATGGGGTGGTTCGCGACATGAAACTTCATCAAAATTGATTACCTATTTTGATTACCTATATAGGCAGCAAGAACATGATGAGTGTGAATGTCATCTACACTACCTAGGCAAAAACAAGTAATAATTGTATACGATCATACAACATGGACATTCGTCTCGAAAGTGATAGAGTGATAACAAGTACATCAATATTATCTCCCAGATCTTTTGCCAGCGTGATAAGAACTGGTCGGACCATGGGCAAAAGGGCGTCAAAACTTCCGCCAAACATCTGCTTCACCATCTGAAGCATCATGCCCTCTGGGGTCTGGGAGATGACATTAGAAGAAATGTTCTTGTTGCGGACTTAGTCACTCTCTTCTGGGTATCCATTAGTTACGATTCATCAAGGACATTGTAGAATTACTAGAGACTTAGATGATCCCATCACAAGATTATTAGAGTCAGATTATTAGAGTCCAACTCCATTATAAGGTTGTTAGAGTCCATCACACGTCGACATGGTTTTTGCATCTTGGTCAATGCGACATTCTACTACGTATGAAATCAAGACATTCATCTACTACGTAAAAAGAATGATTACTGATCAACCTACCCGAAAAAAAGCAAAAAGATATTACAACAATACTAGTTTTTGTCGAGCCAACCTAACTAGGAGAGGATTTAAAAAATTGATACACAATACTAGTTTTTGTCGAGTCAGGCCTTAATCTCTTCTAATTTGGTTTTCAGCCCACTCTCGAAGTCAGGCGCGGAAACAAATTCCGCAACTTTCCCACCTATATCCATGGATTTCAGGAGTCCACTACCTCGACTCTCGAGATAGCTGTTCAGGAACCTACGAGGAAGTGGAAGGGTGGTGCTTGTGATGAGTTTGTGATGAACATAAAAGCATCGTATGTTTGTAGTAGTGTGCGCTGATGCTAACGATCAATCAGAATCACCATGTTTTTTTTTCAACCAAGCGTTTCTGACAACATCATGGCTCAAATTTGCATACTTCTGTAAAGAAATTATCTTGTCGCGAAAATAGTACTCATCATCGAAAAAGGCTTTCATGATCGTCCCCTTCACCACTGTCCTTATCTCTTGGCATTAGAAGATTCATATTAAGCGAGTCTCAGTAGGTAGACATCTTACGACATCTTGAACTCTTCAGTCCTGTTTCCTGTTATTTCAACACATCATTGTCCTCACACTAGAAAATCAAGTTCCCATCTTCATAATTGAATCTCGCAGGAATCACGCCGCTTCCTGGTAAACCGCAGACTTTTTCGAAGAGCATTTTTATCGCGAGCCAGTTTGTAAAGCCTCCCGCAAACCCGAACAGGCCAAAAGCAAGTATGTAGTTGGTGGCTCGAGAAAATGAAGGGGTGTAGCTCTCAGCGAAAAGATGAGCTGCAAGGTGGTCGAAGTCAAATGGAATGAGTTATCGTACTCTTTGTATTTGATAGTAGTACCTAGTACTCAGCGACTTCACCATAAGAGTTCTGGCGTTGTGTAGATCGTCATGTTGAGGAAAATGCCAAGGAGCATGATCAGAAAGGTGACGAAATTCGATACGTCTCCTTTATTCAGATACTCTTAACGCTAGAGTGTCAGAGTGTCACTATCCCTGGTTAAAAGCGTTGAGTGAGTTGCTTTCATTCCCCCCTGATAGATTTCCCTCTAAGTTGTCAAGGGGACACCAGCACCACTCAGCATAGCCATAGTCTTTCTACTAGGAGTAGTGATAAACTAGTCTTAATACTGGTGTAGGTTTGGCGGTAGGACGTCTCTGGCATACTTGTCTGCTCGATTGACCAAGTCGGTTAAAAACTCTACTGCAGGACCTCCCTCGGGGTCAAGATAGTTGTAGCCAACGGAGTTAGACAGAGAAGGGTGAAAAGTCGATGAATTACAGACGAGCAAGGTTCACTCAGGAGATTGACGATGAACGGAAAGAATCTACTAGCTCTCTCAAGATTGATGATATCAGAGTTTGAATTAAGTATCTCTACAAAGAACGAGCTTCCACGACGACAATACCTACTAAGAAACCACATAGGCATAACTTGTAATCATGTATGAAGACGAATGTTGGAGAAATACTCCAACGAACTTCTTCCTATATGATATCTCTACCAGCACTGACGACAACGACATCTAAGAAATCTATGACATAACAGAATTGCCTCCCGATGAGCCGTTGTCCAGCATTCTAGCGGCGTCATCAACTGGGTCTCGTCTTCCTGGTGAGGGTGGCGGAGACAATGCCACATCGACGAGCTCGTGCTCTTGCGTTGATCAAGTATGAAGCAATAGCAAAATATTAAAAGCTAAGTAAAATAAAAGCTAAAACATAAGCTGGCTGTAACACGAAGTCAGTTTAAAAACAGATGAAACTTAGGTGTTTTTGAAGTACCCGTGTCAGTCTGAATAAGTCTACAAGTTTTAGTTTTTATCCAAGAAAGAAGTAGTTAGAGTTTGATATCATTACAGTGGTTCCACCAGACGTGATCTGAGTATCAAGAAAGAATGTGTTACAACTCTTACTCTTTTTGCCTCAACATCACCATATGAGTGACTCACAGCACGACAGAGAAGCGCAACATCCTAGTTCGCTACAAGTTCCTTCCTCCATACAATTTTGGCCTTGAGGACGATGCTGAAGATTTGGATTTTTCGTTCGATACTGTGCCTGAAGATGAACTTGGTTTAGAGTCTGCTAGATTGCATCTCGGCACCCTCATCTTGACTCCTTTTACCTTGTATTTCACGAGAATACAAGCGCAAAGGGGACCAATCATTCATTCATTGGCGACGTCGGCGGCCCGATAATCAGGCTTTTTGGCCGTGTCACGACGGTCGTGCCTACTCGAGTGGGACCAAGATGCCGAGATGAATGATGGACACTAAATGGTGACCATAATTGGTGGCTCTGGTAGCACTGGTCGCCCAATCTCCACTGCTACATGGCCACTTCCGGAGGGTCCTAGCAAGGTATCCCCTTCCTTCGGAGTAATCAAATCTCCGGCTACAGGAGGTTGACCTGACATTTTTTTTCAGAAGTTTGTTGGCAGCGCGCTGTAGCAGTTTTTAGGCAAGCATGAGCTGCAGGGCCTGCTGTTTTTAGGCAAGCATGAGCTGGAAGTTGTAGGGCTGGAGGCCTTGCTGTTTGCCCAGGGTTTGCACCAGTGTTTTAAGCAAGCATGAGCAGCATAGCAGATTTTAGGCAAGCATGAGGGGACGTGAGGCTCTCCTCGGGATGACGGCGACGACCATATTTTTGTTCCCTGGTACTAAGCTGCTCGGAGAAAAAGCACAACTTGATGATGAAACGACGACGACTGGATTGGGATTGCGATATTTCAGAGAAAGTCTCTTTTTTTTGTATCCTCGGTGGCAGGCGGAACTTAGAGCCCCTCTGTCATTCCTCAAGAACGTATATAGGGAAATCAACCACTCAGCTATAAATTGAAGGTCCTCGGTCTGAGTCTGGAGCACGCGTTGCCGCGATAGGCCAATCGGAGAGTCCTCATGCACCCTAACCCCGAACCCTATGACTTTACCGATATTTTTACGAACACATGGGATCGCTCGATACCTTTTCGCGCTTTTCGTAAAGGAAATTCAACATTCTTACTATTTTTGTTCGAAGGAGTCAATATTGCACTTCATCTTATAACGTCAGCGCCTTGAAAGAAATAATAAGGTCGTTGCCCTGCAAGATTTGTTGCAATAAAGCGAGTATCAATACTAGCTCGCCTTCGATGAGTCATTAGTTCACAGTGGCACCGCATCCCTATCCCGCGTCGGCAAAACTCGCAACATCTCGCGTATTCGCATTGCCGCAACCCGCGTCTGCTCTATCCCTTCTTAGGGCTATGGTAGTCGCTGAGGATGCTCTCTTGAGAAAAGGAAAAAAAAGGGAAGCTGAGGCTGACAAATGGGGGATCATGACCCAAAATATTTTTGCCTTAATCTTCCTGTGAAGGCATACTGGCTCCATTCAAGAAAGTGTGTCTCTGCGCTGAACTGCTGACTTCCTGGACACCGTTAAGCAATGACCGCCTGTCGCCACTTGTAAGGGCACCATCGCCAGTAGATAAGAAATGCTGTTATTTCAAGTGGAGCAGATCTAGATTTTGTGATTGATTGGAGGTACAAAATTTCTAAACCAGTGGAATAAGTAAAAGAGGTCCTTTAAGGAATCTTTGGATTATGATAAAAGACTATGGAGTGGTAGATCTAGAAGATTGGGTGATTGATTGAATGTGCAAACGGAAACAAGTTTCCCGAAGTGACTTACAGATACAGCCTATAGAGTTTTTCAAGAAACCAATAGCGTGCGTCCAAGAGGGCAAACCAATAGTGTGCTTCGCCGGCAATACAGCCCATAGAAGTTTTTCAATACCTCTAACTCTGTCGGCGTGGTTCTCCCCTGATGCATTTGGCCAGCATGCTCAATCTTTTCGCGAAGTGTCCTCAATTGTGTCTCCAATCTGTCATCACTGCCTTTCCTTAAGCCTGCACTGACGAAGTTTTCTAGTATGGGAGTATGAAAGTGCTGGGACAAAAGGTATGTCTGTGTAGTAGGTATGTCTTCGGTTTCAGTGTCCTGAGCCATAACGAAGATCGCTTGATAATCGTCGCCACAATGGGGCTCGGCGTCCCCCCGATGAATCCGGAATACCAGCCATCGCTATTCTCGCTTCTTTCTGCAATGCACAGTAAAGGGCTGAGATTAGACGATCAAGATTGATTGATTGATTGATTGATTGATATGCCTGAAAAGAGGTAAGTCTAATTGTGCATCTAGTTCTTTTGGTAAACTAATGTAGTATACAGAGATCTGCCAGTTGGCCAGTTGTCCTGTATTTGTACTCTTGTTGTAGAACAGGTAAAAATCGATAAATCAACATTGTTCTTGTTGTAAGAGAGTTGAGGCCCATTTGTTCTCGGTGCTTCATCAAAGAGCAGTCAATAACAACATTAACAGATTATCATTCGCATTTACCAGAGGACGAGAGCTAGATAGAACTACGCTACCTAAACATTGATTATAGCAACTTCTAACTTTTTCACACTACACCCACTTCCATAACAAAGAGTCACTTTTTGCTGTATCTAAAGCGTGCAGCAAGTTCGTCCTCACTCGCGGCGCATCCTCTGCAGCCAACCCTTGTCTCAACGTCATGAAAGTGTACTTTCGACTCTCATACTCAAAAAATTACTCGAAAAAAGAAAATAAGCGAGTAACAGACGAGAATAACAGAGATACTAATGAGAAGGAAGAGTAGCCTTGACGTTAGGCTACCTTCCTTATTTCAGTCAGTAACTCGGTTATTTTGAGTTTTCGAACTAGAAGAAGTTTCCGACAACTAGAACCCTGTTCCTGGATATTACTATAGGAGCTTCCGACGTGAACCCTAAGCCCTGAGTATTCGACTATACGACTGAGTATAGAAGGAGTTTCCTACTTGAAACAGAAACCTGTTCAGTGAATATAATTTTTAGTACAGACTACTTCTAGAATACTATTTCAAGGACGTCATAAGCGTAGGCATGACGCTATCTGCAACTGCATTGTCGAACTGCAGCTTCAGCTTATTCTGTAGTATGAAGTGAAAAAGTGCTCTCACACTCAAGGAATCGGCTATGATTTAAGTAGGAAATAAATAGCCACTTTTTTTGAGTGTGAGTGCACTTTTTTTTTCATATGTAGCCCTGCGATGTTATCGAGACCGTCAAGCATGCCGCGTTTTGAGTACCGCAATTGGAACGGATTCAGCATCTCCGCAGGACAGTCGATGGGGACGTCATAGGACGCAGAAACCTTGTTGCCCATCTTGATGATCTTCTTGTGATGGTGCTGGGTAGACAAGAATCAATAGGTTGGGGTAGTAGTAGTAGTAGTAGTAGTAGTAAACCCATTCTAGGGGTACATCATGCTTGAGCTGAGGGAAGGGTAGACAGGGTCCACTAGATAAACCAGCAGACTTCAGTGGCTGGGTAGACAAGTAGAATCAATTTTTAGGTCAGAACTCCGACACGACGATCCAAATATTGTTGTAAGAGTAAGGTCGTTCTGGCCCGCCTGTATTTTAGACAGGAGACATGATCGTCTGTGAAATAGTATCAAAATCAATCTCTGTTTTCTTCCTCAGTTGTACTGACAGGGAGTAGCGAGGGAACAATTGTTGAAGTATAATCAGGCTACGTGATTGATAGATACGAGCACATAATTGGAGCGACTGCATTCTCTTGACAAGAGCTTTAGATATGTCACGTTAGATTGTTTTAAAGAATAGAAGAACGACGATGTTTTTCGTATCCTTCTTTACCGACACTGTCTACAATACAAGTAGATGCCGATGTCCTAGCAGCATTTCGATATGTTGTAGAACCGAATATCATGGACAGCCCGCTTGGAATCCTACAAGGCTGTCGATCTTTCGAACCGAATATCATGGACAGAGAGCGGCTTTACTAGCTGCTTGCATCTATAACCGATCGAATGCTTAGTACAACCATGCTGAATCCTTATAGTTCTCTCTATCAGAGCATTTCTCGCTATCAGAACATTTGTCCTTCCTATCAGAGCGTTTGCTCATTGGATTCCACTACTTTGAGTCTAATGGCCGATGTTTCTTTCTGAAGTTGAACACGTTTACCAGAGGCTCAGAGGTGGGATCATCGATGGCTATTCGAATAGGTTCAGCGAAACTTCGTCTAATTTCGAGAAGGGCTAGAGGTTCGACTAGGGAGGTTATTAATTTTGGGCGTAAAAACAGTTTTGTTCGAGGATCGATCGTGTAGCTACTAGTTGATCGTGCAATAATATTCGATCGCGTAGTGGACTTGATTGCGTAATTATAGATACAAGATTTCGGTCCTCAAGGTCGTTTCGCGTAATGGACTTTGGAAAGAGTTCTTTCCTGCTAGCATAATCCATCGACATCATTAGTACCTGTATGACAAACTAACGGTTATGAGAATGAGTTCAACTATTCATTAAATGGGGATACGTCTACAGCTCAGAAATAGCGGAGAAGCGATCGGTAAAGATTAAGATAATGTACATATTAGGGGAACAATTTAAATTTTGATTTTGTTCTCACGTAGATAAATAGATAGATGCACCCACTCACGGGGTATAAGATCATTGAGTATACTGCTCATGCACTCGCGACTCATGTTGAAGAGAATGTCTATGTCAGGGGCAACACGATGTCTCTACTTATATCTATATAAGTCTGTTTATATTTTTCGTTCTTAAATTCTGCTCGGAAAACAGCACAGAATGTAGGATTTGAGAAAATACTGAGATGGCAATGGAGTAAATGACATGGGTTTTTTGAAGGATATGCAAATACGTTCAACGCAATGTCAAAATGGGTAAGCACTGATACTGGATAACTACATAATCATGGTGATATGATGCGAATCTGTCAGCTATAAGCGTCTTTCAACATGAACATTTTTAGAACATCGGTCTAGTTCTTTAGGGAACAACCATACGGCATCTTCTATTTCTATGCAGATTATGAGCATTAATATGATAGTTAGATCTAGTTCGTTGAATCGTTTATCATGTTTCTAACAAACTGCTGTATTATATCTTATTCTTAACTCTCAAATCAAAATCTCTCGTACCACTGGTACATTTTTCTAATTCAATCACATCTACTTACTTCATCCGCCTCTCCCCTGGTTGGCGACCTTCCAAAAGTGTCTTACTGAAGACACGACTCGTAGGTTGGAATCTGATATTTGATGTTGAAGAAGGCGTTTTCCGGTGCCGCGCGTTCCAGTAGATGGATTAGAGGCGTAGGAGGAAGATCATCCCATTAGTCATCTGGGTCCCTTTCTCGTCTTGTTTTCTTCTTCCAGATGACTTTGGAGATGGATTTCCCACACCCTTAATTGGAGCAGTTCTTGCGACATGATAGCGATATTCCTGCCATCTTCGTGGCGTTGAGCATAGTCCATCTGGTCGCCCAGATTGCGCCACTCGCAAACGAATAAATTCAAAATCGGTAAGAACAATTTGTAGAAGGGAATCTGGGTTGGTTCAGTGGAGAAGAAGGAGCAAGTAATTTGTAGAAGGGGGGTCTCTAGTATCGTGAATTGGTGGACTCAGCAGCAAGAATAATTACGATAATCTGCTCTGAAAAAGGGGTAAGTCGTGTCACTGTCTTACACTGAGTAATATCACTCTAAAATAGTCAAAAACACAACGCTACAAATTATACGTAGAGTCTAACTCTAACGGATCATATTCATATATTAGACAAACACAATTACCATAGCTTCTCCAATATCGGGCCCCCTTGGTATCAATTCGCGCATGAGCTTGATGCACTTGCAGATGACGTCTCGGTCTTTCTCTGCCATGTTTCGGTGGATACTAGCCATGGCCTCAGGCAAAGCAGGCAAGAGGCGTTCTTGGGGTAGTGACCGGATCATTGAAATGCTACCTGTGAATAACTGAAATTAATAGTGAAGTAGAACAAAGAGTAGCCTGTAGAAGCTACGTCCCTTATTTCAGTCATTGGATGGAGATCACTTAGTATCTTGATACTAGTGGACATTACTTGGTCTTCTGATACAGTACAAGAGGTGAAGAAGGAAAGGTAGTACGTTGGTACACCACAAGAAGACGAGGTTGGTTGCTTTTACCTAGTTATTCAAGAAGAGGAGGTTGCTAGTCCTAGTTTATATTACCTACTTAAAAAAATCTTCCATGATGTCTGAACAAGCTGAAGTAAAAGTAAAGCTCTTATAACCAACTACTCTCTTACTCTTTATAAGAAGTACTTTCTTAGACTCTTTTTAAGAAGCTCAAGTTCTTGAGAAGTACTTCTAGTAGTACCTTCGTAACTGACGTAGTTGAACGGAAATTTTCGTTCGCGAATGCCGTCAAGGAAGACTGGCAGGTAGATCTGCACGTTCACGTTTTCTACAGGCACACGCCACTCCAAGGACATTCTGGCACCATGCTTTAGCCCAATAGGCAAATCTCCACGCTCAAACATCTTACGGAATTTGGTACCTGTATATAAAATCATAATGGTTCACTATCGAAAGCTTCTAGTTCGATCAACATGATTCTCAAATGGAACTAGGACTACTTCTATGTACTAAAGCCAGCACAGCATAGTTGTACCAGGATCTTTTAAGGCGAAGATTATAGCATAGTTGTACTTGTAAAGCCAGCACAACATAGTTGTACCAGGATCTTGTAAGGCGAAGATTGGGTAACAAGAAGATTAACATAGTTAGTAAGTTGTACTTACTTAACCAACACATTAATTCATTACCGGGATCTTGCAGTGCGTCGAAAGTGAGATTCGGGATGTCTAGCCGCTTGTCGATGATAGGAGCTAAAGCATTGCAAGGTGGCGGACCACGGCCCCAGGCACTCTGTGGTCGTGAGGTTAGAAAAAGAGAGGGAGACTTTTAACGATAAACTTAAACATAGGAAGATGGGTAGAGATAGTGACGGGAGGAGTGAAGGCACGAGAGATGATAGGGTTGCGTTGGCGCTGACCTTGTTTGATGTCAAATTTAATGCCTTAACAAGCTTTTTGCTGATTGAGAACGCAGAAATTTTTGCCGAAGTTTTGTTCCAGGATGAATAGGGTGCTCCGCTCCTGGTGGCGCCCTGATAGTATTAGCTGGAAGATATTAATATAAGGGACAGGGAGTCTTAAAATAATGTCATGAAGATGAGGTAGTAGTGAGTTCCTTAGAAATCTCGAGACCAGAGGATTAAAAGATCGCAGTACTAGTGGAAGCAACGAACATTTCTTTTTCTACCACAAAATATACCGAACTAGTAGCATAACTCTGCGGCCATATGTCAATGTCTGTAAAATGAAATGACCTTAGAACGGCAAATATGTAGATACTACCATGGTTTCCCTGGTTTTACGCTTTCTCGTTTGGTGCCGTCCGCCGTCTGGGGGCGGGCTTTCTTGTATTTCAATGCTGCCTGCACAACATTATCGGTACCCTCACAGAAGAGACTGGTTATTTCGTCGTCATCAATCGTCTCTCTTAGTTGCGTTTTTATCATACTCGCGGATGCACTGCGTGGACGGTGCCGCGAAGCTGAATGGCGTGATAGGGTAAACGAGGTAAGTGAGTGTAAGTATGTTGTAAGGAAATCGATGATATTTTCGCTAGCTTTTATGTACAAGTCGACGTCGAGATCATTCATTATAAATACTTGTTTAATATTTTCCTCATAATTGTATCTCGCTTTCCATCTCTAAAAACGAGGAGCTACTTCTACTCCCGCTTATTCAGTATACCGATAAACAACAACAACAACGAACCAATAGATGTCCAACAACCAATAGATGGATGTTAAACATGATAAACAAATACCTGTATTCTTCTCTTTTGAATCGTCCGCAAGTTTTTCTTGAACATAGGCTTGCAGTGCCTGTTTGATTCCCCTCTCATATTTTTCGCTTTCCTCCATGAAGTCCTCAGCTGTCGGGTCTCCAGCTTGCGGCACGATCTCGACGCCTGGCTTTTTTCCTCCTAGCAGTCGTGGATGTGCTGTGTGCGGACGGGCTGTGGTCGTTTGGTTTTTAGCAGAGAAAGAGACAGACAGTGGAGTCAGCTTCTATAACTATAACAAGGGGGACTTACAGATACTAGATGGATTCGGTTTTTAGTGGAAACAGCTTCTATAACAAGGGGGACTTACAGATTATCACAGGAAAAAAAATTAGCAGAGAAATGAGCTTACCAAAAGCTTCTATAGATACATGGAATCAGGAGCTTCTATAACAAGTGGGACTTACAGATAGGAAAGTGGGCGGATTAGACACCGCAGGTAACAAGTGGTGAGATCGAGATCGGTGGATAGAAAGATCAGGAAATCGATAAGTAAAAGACGGAGAAATAGATAATCAGGGTAATGGATGAAGATGATAACTTGATGAGGGCAGTAGAGAAGTAATATCGAGATCACCTATGGAGAAATAAGCGAAGAATCGCAAAGATGTAAGCAAAAGAACGGAAACATGTCCCATGAGAGTTCTCTGTTGTCATAATTTCGCTTCTGCTGTGTGACAGGTTTTCCTTGTTTTCCTCTGAGGAGGACCCGAGCTCCATGCTGTTGCGATATAGGGTTGTTGACTGGGTCACGTTAGAGATATACATATTAGTTGTCCTTATAAACTAATAATAATGTTGAGGTTTCGAGAATTGATACAACTGATCAATTTTGGACTGCAACGTTTCTTACAACAACACCACCTTACAGCATAGTCTCTAGAAGGTTCGAGAATCTGGCTAGTCCCGTACTCAGTCTAAATTCTAAAAGTTTCGTGGATACAGGTTAATATTTATAATGACTAGTGCTACCAGGTAACCTAGGTGCAGGTGTACTACCAGGTAACCTAGGTGCTAGAAGTTGTACTACCAGATAACCTAGTTTCAGTAAGCGCTCGTCCTTCTTCTACAACTACCAGTCGCAGACATGAAGTGAGCTAAGTAACTACTAAACGATCAATGACCACGAAGACGTGTGAATTTTGTAATCAATTTTTTCCTCCTGACATCAACGACATAAGAAGTTGTGTTTTCCTCGTTGCACTTCCAGACTCGCGAATGTAGGTCCTCTTGATGTCTGGCCCAATTCTGCCAACGTTACTGCTGCTACTGCTATCACGTTAGAGCTGCCATGAATCCATCTGCAAGAGTGTCTCCTTGGTGCCCCGTTTCCCTCGAAAAACGGGATCAAGATACACACTTGAGGTGGACGAAGATGCACTTATTCTTGTAGCCTTAATCGCGGGAGCCGGTCCTGTCAATGCCCGTGCTGGGTCGAACCAAGTCCACATTGCTGCTAGATCGGCGGATGGAATGAAGTCGACAAAAGTTTCGTAGTAGACCAAGTTCAAACTGCCTAGTTGTATCAAATCAAATCTGGGTCACTAGTATCGATATTGAATAATTTCTCGCTACTAATATCTAATCTCAATGATTAGACTAAGTAAGTCAGTTTGAGTAAATTAGGTTGATCTCCGAGATGAACGAGTACCATAAAGAAGCGCCGTGTACTGTCTATTATCATGCCCTTGGCCTTGGTCAGGTCGAGGAGGTCGGAAAGGAAGTTGCTCCATCCCTTGCCACTTTGTGCTATCTAGATGCTTTAAACTGCTAGCAAGCGGTGCCTTTCGAGGCATTCTGGAATAGGGTGTAAGTTGTGAGGTAGGTGGGTGTAAGTTGTGAGGTTAGGATGTAGGAATCCCAAGATCTCATCATTCTGAGTAGTTGATGGAAAGAGGTTGAGGACCATAAAGACAGAATTCATGACCCATTTTGACAGAGTCTGCAGGTTGTGGTGGCGTAAAATGAAAGATCCAATGACCTTTCATGTCCTCCAGAAGATGATAGTAGCAGCAGTAGGGTGTAAGAGCCCAGTATGAGAGGATCTTGGTATCAGAAGTTGTGAGGTTAGGATGTAGGTCTTAAGTGAGGTCCGCCTGATGTTGCGAGGTTACCATCATAAGTGTGAAAAGAGAGCCAAGAAAAATGACCACGAGTCTACTATGATAAGAGTAGTGGTGGAGCCAACCTAAAAACAAGGAAAGAATCAAAAAAGGTAAAGGCACACACCATAAGCATAAGAATCTACCATTTAGCCAGAAGAATCTTAAGTCCTTGGAGGCTTGGGGATCATGTACCATTCAACAAAGCCAGGTAACTACTTAAATGATAGTACCCTCTCTGCCCAGCGGGTTGTCGCGTGTGCGCTTGAGCTCGTGTTGACCGACGTAATTTTCCGCTTATTACTCGTGTTTTCTAATATGAACCAGGTGTAGGAGAGATTGAGGATGAAAGAGAAATTGCTATAGAAAGATAGTGTATGTTTACTAGAGGTAGAGATAAGAGGTTTACGATGAAATAGAAATAAGTAGAAGTTTAAGATGGAATAGAAATAAGTAGAAGTTTAAGATGGAATAGAAATTGCATGCTTAAGATTGAATAGAAATCAGCAAGTAATAAATTATCAGCGAGTAAGGAATAAAAATTGCAGTTTGTGATAGCATGCTAAGACAACTCAGCACCAAGCAAGTAGTTCATCAATCCGAATTCTGTGAAAATGAAAGGTAGGTCTACGAGGTCGTGTTTGATTCTTTTATGCACCTGTTGAACTCAAAGGCAATACCTAGAAATAATTGCTGAGCTTTCGTTTTCGGAATTTCTAATGGTCAACATCTGTGGAAGGACAAGGAAGAAACGAACTCCCACAATTCACGTCATAAGTCATCAGCCAGCAGCATATCCATCTTGCGTTGCTGAGGTGTCTGATAATTTCGCGTCCTCAAGTCCCCACCGAAATTCGTGTACATTAGCGGATGTTAATCAATGTACTCCTGTGAAGATTCTTGTTGATTTTATCAATGAGATATGACTTGTGAACATCTACAGCCTGTAGTTGATCCAGTTAGTAGCTGTCATCGTCATGTGTCTCTGGTGGTCATTCTCTACCCGTTTCAGGTCTATTAGACGCCTGATTCATAAATATGGTAACCGCTTAGCCACTAGCACGTCTCGTAGCGACCTAGGCTTGGGCGGCGCCAAAACGCCACCCGCCATCTGCGAAGCCATGGCAGGCATTGTTTTTTGATCTTTGGTCAGAATCAGAAAGAGACTTTCGACAACAGAGAGAAAGTTCTACTTCTACAGAGAGTTCTACTTCTACTACAGAGAGTTCTAGTACTTCTGCTTAAGAAGTTTAGGATCTTTGGTCACAGAGAGGAAGTTCTACTTGTTGTTCTACTTAAGAAGTTTAGGGTAGTTCTACTAAAATCGAAGGATCTATTTTTTTTACTTAAGAAGTATAGGGTAGTTCCACTTAAATCAAGGCAAATGCAACAGACAACCGAATCGTTCGAACAAGAATCATTCGAACCAGATCACGAATTCGACTACCGAAACCGATGACTTCGAAATTTTGTAATTATTCATAAACCTCCAATACAGAGTGCAGCCTTTTGTTCCTAAGGCAATATACCGACTTGGATCTCTTGTTCATGAAAATCGAATGCATAGGGGAGTAAGACTGAGTACCAGAAGATGCGACCGAAGACACTTGTCCGATTTTTTCTCAACGACAACAGATCAGGATCCTCATCAGGATGAGTAAATAAGTAGGTGGCGTCGTGATTCCGAACACGACTACAGGCAAGAATACTAAAAGTGCTTACGTGAAAAGACACCTTATCACGAGTTACATGATTACCTTTATTTGTGCAAGAACAGATGTCGCATAATTTCTTGTAAGTCAGTTTTTCGTCGGTGCTTGTTTGATTGCTAACATTACTTTTTCGATATTACTGTCTCGTGGTTCATTGAGTTAACATTACTTTTGTGATGTTCCTGGTTGTTGTCGCCAAGGTGAAGGTCTGAAGCTAGTTGCTTAGCTAAATACATCCTTGACGAATACTCCCATCGACATCAAGTTTTTTCGTTATGACATCTGCGTAGACTACTACAAGTTTGGGTCATTCTCCTACGAGTTAGGTCATGTTATATCTGTGTGTCCGGTGTTGCAGTTCAACATAACCACTTTGTATCTCCTACTAGTTACGCAGGACTAGTAATGGTCATTCTGGTGCTTTTTAGTCTTTTTCCCGAAGTGTGTTATTGCATAATAATTGTTTCGATACTAGATAGAGATAGTTCTTGTCTGTTATTAAGCAGTCTTGTTGTACAATGGTGAAACAATTACAATGAATCATGTTTTTGCGGCCTTACTACGTGCAGAAAGAGTTTTTTTGGTTCTGATCCACTCTAAGTCTAAGGGGTGGCGGTTATCGTCATCAATCATAACAGTGTGTTGTCTCTGGATTTCAGATTTCACCCTCCTCAGGGAAATCACAGAAACCGAAGTTTTCTCTAGATCTCAGAGTTCAACCTCCTAACCGAAGTTGTCTCTCCGTATGTCGGACATCATAGAAAGTAAGGTGTCCCGCTAGATCTGCAGCGTCTCTAAATAAGCAAGTCTATGTCTGTGTGTCTCCACCTCGTCACAAAGAAACTTTCGGCCAAACGTGTAGTTAATGATTTTTATACATGTCGCATTTTTGATTTCGATCAAGAAGAGGACATAGATATGTGAGCTGATATTGTTGATGTTGAGCCATTCTATGGATGCTTTCAAATATATCGATTGTTATACGTATGCCTTCAAGTTCTTTTACTTACTGTTCCAATAACGAGGACGAACCACTGTACAATTGCTTTGTGCAAACATTCTAAAACTACTACACTTCTTCCACCAATGAACAATGGAAAAAGCCAGTAGATCTATTCCATCTGCTGTCTTTGTCGTATCTATCTCAATATCGCTATCTCAATATCTGTTCAATAGATTCTGATGTCATCCCCTACAACTTACTTGCTTCTGTGTCTATCGGAGATAGCGATACCTTGCTGCATCCTGCTCCTTTCCATCGATCTCGACCCGAGCTGTCTAGTCATTAGAGGCACCGACAACCCATCTTTTGGGACATCTTTTAGCACTTTTCAAGTTGAAATTGGCTAAAAAATGGTGTAAGAGATGGGTTGACGGTACCCATAAAGTTATTCCTAATCTGAATGAATGAATTTGCCTAGCAATCTCTCTTTCATCTCCGCCCAAGATACTTGGTCTTCCACATATTACACATAACATACACATTCTGATGAATACAACAAGTACTACGAACAACAGGAAAACTTCTGTAGGCACAGAGAAGTGGCACCCCTACATCTACTATCATTTCTTTACCCATCACCAACTCCTCCACGACCCTGTAATATCTTCTCACACAACTGCCCTAACGAACGCTATGTTTCATTCTCATCCCCTAGTATTAATTGAAACAATACCCGCTACCTCATCTCCAGTACTACCTCATCTTCATATTATTTCATCTCCTAGTATGTGAGAAAATATCGCAGCGCCATCTTCTCCTCTTACCTACTCCACCACCTTCGTCTTACAGTTACATCCACCACCACCACCATTTAGCCATTCACCATCCACCACCACGTCTCCATCCACCATTTATCCATCCACCACCACGTCTCCATCCACCATTTATCCATTCACCACCACCACGTCTCCATCCACCATATTATCCACCATCCACCACCACGTCTCCATCCACCATATTATCCATTCACCACCACCACGTCTCCATCCACCACGTCTCCATCCACCATATTATCCATTCACCACCACCACGTCTCCATCCACCATTTATCCATTCACCATGATACTAGCAGCATTCGACGCCACTACCGCTCGTCGTACCTAGTCGTGAAAAAACGGGAAAAGTTGACCTATGAATGATGACTTACTAGAAAGAATGAGGTGGACCTAGGAATACCAAAGAAAGAAAAAAGATACAACGATACTAAACCGAAGGATCTTTGATTCCTACAGAAGGATCTATGATAAGTGATACTAAAGACGAAGGATACTAAAAAGAAGAAGGATATCAGATCTCTGTGATGTAGGAACCTCGAGAAGAGAGTGACAGTTTGAGAAGAGAATTTTCGATAGGGGTTCGAGATCTATGATATTAGGTGAACCTGGCGGACGCCTTGAGGGCCCCGAGTGGTTCAACCTCCTTCGATTGCCCAAGGAATGGGGTCTAAATACAACTATATTGCGAACAACATTATTGTATACTAAGGAGTGATTATGATGTACTCTCGTACCTTGCGCACTAGCCGTGGCTGCGGGAGAAGCGCTGGGAGGAGATGCCGCAGAAGCCGGAGAAGACGGTGGACTGGCGTTAGAGCTACCGCGGCCGCATCTTTCTTGAGTGCATGGCCCTTGGCGGGTGCTTCTTTTTCAAGTAGAAAAAGAAGAACCAAGGATCACAGTGCTAAGGACATGCTCCGACGCTATGGCCTTAATGGCGGCTGCAAGAGTAGCGGCGCTGGAAGGAGATGCCGCAGGCGCCGCACTATGTTGTGCCGGCGGACCTGAGAAGTTGTTCAATGGAATGGACTTTAAAATTATGTTTCTATAAATATTACTTGAAGAAGAAGAAGATCCTACTTGATATTCATTTGCTGCTGTAACTGTTACGTCGAGTTCTATCAGTGTAAAATCTATCTTATTACATGTAAAATTTATCTCTAGGAGACGACGAGACATTTTCAAAATTGATTGAATATTTGACAGGTTGAGGAAAATAAAATGGCGTAGTTTGCATTCAAAGTGGTGAGGTAAGTGCTTTTGCGGTAGTGGTTTGTAACAAAGTGGTTTGTAACAAAGTGGTTTGTAACAAAGTGGTTTGTAACAAAGTGGTTTGTAACAAAGTGGTTTTGCGGTAGAAAATTATTCTTCTATATAATACTAGACCTAAGATGAGTATAGTAGTATGTGCCGCGGACGCGGGCCCGACAGCGGTCCGCCCCGTCCATCAGGGCACAGGTTGAAAAGTACTTAGACGGATGAGACGATATTGTTCGGAGCTGGGTAGAGGATAACAACAACAACAAATCCAAGAGAATGTTTCTATAATTGTTCTTCATGAAAATTACAAAGTGGGACCGTGCTGTGGATATAACCTTGCGCACCTTGCTCTGGCAACAGACTCTCACGACGATGCGCGACTCCTCCTGCCGTACCACCCGAATTAGCTTGACCATATTGTTGCTGAGGGACAGGAGTCGCCCTGCTGACGGTGGACCCTCCTGGTCCGCCAGGTCCGCGGGGATCGATAACCGGAGCGCCAGATAAGTTGCTACCCCTGTGGCGAGGTGCTCGCTCTCCTGCGGGCCTAAAGTAACACATTGGCTAATAGACATGTTGTAGGTTCTTGAAGTTTTCTCCAATATTTATTAAATCTATTGTCCTTGATAAATCTTAGTTCTAGTTGGTCTTTACCCTCTGTCCACTAAGCATCTTGTTCTTGAGACATTCATCATATAGATACTTCCATTGTTGTTGTTCCTATCAAAGAATATTACACGACAAACACAGCGATAACAATAATTACACGAATAACCGGAGGCTCTTTGTATCATGATCTCAAAAAAAAAAATATTAGTTCTAGTTGATCTTTACCCTCTGTCCATTGCGCCCAGCTGCGAACCGGTGTAGCGGATTTTACCATCGTCGTTGGCTTGATGAGATACTTGAGATCGACCATAAGTTGTTGTAGTACTAATTTGCAAGAGCCCACCCCTCAAAAAGCGCCTGCCGTCAGTCGCATTCGTCTGCGCCCCTTCATCTTCAAGCATCTTACAGTTTGAAACAATTCATATTTGCCTTACATACTTGACACCTTTCCTCTTTAAATGTGATGTCAGATAGAGCGCACAAATATGAAACGTTTGCTCAACCCCTAATAACAGGAGTTGCCGTAAGTGCAGGATCGCCTAGAGACAAAGATGTGGGTTGGGATCCTTCCGCCTGATATCATCTGTGACCTAGTAGAAAAATCCTGAAAGAACGATCAGAACAATTGTCATGCTCATTGATTATCTTCAACATGGTGAAGGGAATATGGAAAGGTGCGGGGGGAATCATAACCAAGAAAGGTGACTCTCCGTATTTTTATGGTAACGAAGAATTGGGCGTTTTTTTTTTGGTGGGACAACTGCAATGGGCTAGAAAGATAATTTCGAATTACATATCATCATAAATACGGAAAGCCTTCGTGAATTCACTTTAGTTGTATGATTATGACTCCATTCACTGTAGTAGTATGATTATGTTCCCATTCACTGCAGCTGTATAATCATTACTCTAAAGACCGAAGGGGTCAGGAATAAAAGTCATTGTAAGTTAGTAGTGATCTTCAGTGCAGTGGTCAGGAATGGAAGTACCAGCAGAGCCGTGAGAGATGGTAGTGTGCAGAAATCCTCCCCTGAAATTTGGATGAGCAGCATGCGCATTAGTTTCCTCCCCCTCCACAGTGTTAGATAGTGTGATATGTGTGAAGAATGCCGAGGGGCCCGCCAAGATCACCAGAAGTCATAATTATAGACCCAGCAGTACCAGTTCCCGGCTCATCTAAAAGATGGATCATGTTGTACGACTATAATAATGAGTCCTTGCGGTTGTAAGCAATTATGGCGGATGGCGAGGATGGCGTTGTAGTACATACTACACGGAGTCCTGCTAATTTAGTTGCCCAGCCTTCTTTCATGATCATATCGATTAAGTACTATAATATATGAAGAACGAGCTTTCTTCCATGATGAAAATTGAAATGAAGTAGACTCTAGTATGAAGATTACAGTGCCTTCTTCCATGATGGTTTGGGTCTATTCGGTAACGAGCTTTCTTAGGTCCATAACAGTGTCCAAAGGCTGAGGGTTTTGTTTCGCAACTGCTGCGGGGAGAAGCATCGGCAGAAGGCACAAGGTCGGACCGAACACCGAGAGGAGCAGATTTGGTAGTTAGAGGTATTAAACATGTCGCATCAGTGGATGAACGAGTGGTCCTCACTACTTTTACTAAACTCCATACTCGAGGACAACTACCGCCCAGTGGCTACCTCCTCCGTGAAGACTTCATTTGCATAGACACAGATTGATAGTTGTATGACATCATCATATAGTTTATGGTAGTTGTATGACATCATGTTATAGTTCACGTTTATAGTAGGTTAGGTTAGGTTATGGATCCTGCACAACGAGCCCCGCCGGCATAGTAGAGATTGTTGTAGGACTACAAAGAATTATGTATGAAGATACAGCCGCTGATGACCATGTTAGTCGATTTGGACTGGAAAATACCACTATCTTCCAGTCCAAATCGACTAACATGGTCTGGATCTTCCTATCCTTCATGAAGTACAACAAACAAGAATAAGTGCTGTAACAGGGTTTAGAGGTGGTAAAAGTAGCTCCTCCTGCTCCTTACAATTATAATTCAATAGAGAGAGAGAGAGTTGTCCAGTCGTTGTCCCTGATCTTCGGTGTAGAAGAAAAAGTAAAAGCCATAAAAAAGCGGCATGATCACCATCATCGATGCCAGCTGTCGAGCCCCCGATGCTTTGTTCGTAGAGGGAGACATCGTTTTGTCGTCTGGGGAAAACGAAGTAGTAGTAGAGGATGTGAGCTTTGTAGAAGTTGTGGAGGTTTGTGTGAGTTCTTGTGAAATTCTACTCTTGACTTAGCGCATTCACGAATTCACGAGTTTTCTTCAAGTAGTAGTTCTAGGAACTGAGTTCTAGGAACTGAACAACAAGGACAGAGTTGTAAGAAACCTACTCCTACGACGTAGATGATTCAATATAATTCAGAGAAATTTCCCTATTGGTGAAGATCATCAATGGTGTTGGTGAAGCTGTACTAGACGGGTTGTCCTGAAGATGTTGCAGCGCAGGATCAGGATGATAATACTAAAAATGACTGTAATGATATTAGGTGGGCTTCCCTCCATGTCATCCCCGTCTCGCTGGCTTGCGCATTTCTAGACGATATACACTTTTTAGAAGAGTCCAAGGACGAAGAGAGTGCGTGGTCTCTGCTTCTCGATAGTATCTCTACTCGTAGCTAGCGCGTGGTCTCCGCTCGTTACGACGATTGCTACTCTCAGCAACGATCAGGTACCTACCTCACTACCCTTTTGTTTCTCGCCGAAGGCCTCCTCGTCCTCTGCAGATGAAAGTTATAGATACAACGTCGATCCGACTCACTCGTCAGATAATTTCGTACAGACGTAGCCCTTGCGAGTGTGATAAGTTGTGAACAGCAGGCCAGCGTAGTCTGCAGACACGTCATTGCAAGCCGTCCAAAGTTTATTACGATCGCTAGAATGACAATAATTCGGCTTCCTTGTGGTGATATCAGATCTCTGCCTTTCATGATCACTTAGGCTCATACTCGTCATCATCAGATCTCTACCTTTCATGATCACTTAAACTCATACTCGCCATCTCTATTGGAATAGTTTCTTTCGAGTACTACAATAGTCGACGTATGACGTACTGCTCTTATCCTCAAATTCTGAAGGAGCAACCCAATGAGTTCTAGATCAGCAACCCCTGTCGAAGATATTAAGCATCGGGCTCTTCAGCGTTCACAGACGAGGCAGGGCACTGTCATGCATGTGCCTCTGCTGTGACCGTCCGCTATCATCGGAAAGGCGAGTAGATGGCGAAAAACAGGGACAGCTAGAGTGCTTACCCTGTAGCACGACCGCCGAATCAACCGCCTCTGCTCTGTGGTCACTATATGCTCGCAAGTTTACGAATGCGAGCCTTTAGTTGCTGATTCTCCAGCTCAAGCTGCCGAATTTTCTCGTCTTTGGTCTTAGAAGAGCTGGGAAGATAATAGTAAGTAAGGAACGAGTAGTTCTTGTTGTAGTGATCATCGTATAACTCCTAATTGGTATTTTCATGGTTACTAACTTACACCCATTGAAGATGACACACAGGATAATTTGCGCCGTAATTTGCACAACTTCCGCGTTAGCCCTTTCGCGACCGCTGTCCCCTGCTGAGGTTGAGAAGCTGTCCACGGCTTCTGCAAGACATGAAAACGACATAAAATTGAGATCTTCAGATCTCTTACTTTGAGATTGACTTGTAGCTGCTCGTGTCCTAATTTACTACCTATTCGATAAACTGAAATAAGCAAGTAACTACTTAAACAAAGCGAGGCACAATGGAGAGGAATGTCCTAGTGATCACATAAGGTAGGAATCTATTCCTTGGGCAACTGCAAGTGTCTGACACTGACATTTCTTGGGTCGAACTGCTCCAACAAGCCTTCATGACGTTGATGTTCATTACATAGAAGTTGTATTGTTCTTTACTAATCCATAGGGGACAGGATCACTGTTTCTGTTCTGTACTACTGTGTCTGACACTGACATTCAGGGTCACTGTTTCTGTTCTGTACTACTGTGTCTGACACTGACATTCAGGGTCACTGTTTCATAAGTATAATCTGGAGACTCGGTCGACTTCGCGGTGTAGCCGGTCCTTCTCCTCTAAAAGTCGGGCATTGCTTGTCATCACCCGTTCGAGGGATTGGTCTTATGCGTTAGAGGATGTTTAAGACGAACGTTGTACTGGCTTTTCTATTTGTTTCTTTAGTTTGATTCTTGAAGACAAAGATTTTTGAAATCCTGATAAACAATCAAAGCGAAACAGAAGGAGTTATCTTTGTAGGGTCGCGGATAGCTTTCATTTCCACATATAGAAGAATCTATAGAATAGAAATAGATACACTGGTGTTCGTGTCTCATAAGTGTAGTCTTCGATTTTTCCGCGTCCTCGCAGAGTTGGTCTACTCTTCGCGCTAAACGATTTCGCTCCTCTAGCAGAGCACGATATTCTGTTAGTTTGAGAAATTCTTGATGGAGATAGATTGATTCAACTTTTGGGTTTTTACATGGTCATCGTTTAGCATATGATCATAATCTTCTAGCTTTGTGTTATGGATGATGCCTCTGTCTCTGTTTTAGCACAGCAATCCACCTTTGATGTCCTTCAGAAATTGAGACCTTGACATTGAAACTGACTAAATTACCAGAGCTCTCCAGGACTGCATGCGCTCCACTACTGCTGCTGCTACCACCGCCGTAGTAGTAGTTACTAGTCCCTTGCATCTGCAGCTTCGATATGAAAAGAGAGGAAACCTCCAAAAAAAAATTCGCTCAAATAAACTACTTTTGTCCACTTTCCAAAGGGATTTACTCTCACCAGAAGCGTCCCTCGTCTTCTATATTCCACATAGGGGACACCACCACTCCCCTTGTTCCTATTCTCAAGTACAAATACGTGATTATCAAACAAGAACGTCTCCCATTTAAGGTTCAAGGTTCAAGGTCCGCGGCTTTGCGGCCAAGCCGCGCCGCCCGGGACGAAACAGGCTCGAGTACGTAGAACATTTCCCACTTCCTGCCATACTATCATATTCACCCTTGACGAAGGAGAAATTGGTCGACAACTCGTTTTTTTCCTGGTCCGCTTGCCGCAGTCTGGCATGCAAAGTCTCCCTCTCCTCTAGCAGTCGATCGTTTTCCACCCTAAGTCTTCTCACTTCTGTGCTTTGCTCACTCGTGCGATTGATTAGCAAGAAGTGAATGTTGTTGCCAGAAGTGAATCTTCCACCATCTTCTATGTGTGGAAGCAAGTCCTGGATGGCGTTGACTGGAGCTTGATGATCATGATACTAGAATGATGTGATCAATACTGGATCTCTTGCTGTAGCTGCACCTGTTCTTGCCATGTTGATGACACTACTGAGCCTCCATAAAAGAAGCCGCCGATTCTCTTCTTTGAGTCGCTCTATTTCTGCTTTTTCTGACGCGTCGCCTCCGGTGCCAAACGGGTTGCTTAACTTGGCTTTGTGCTTCTCTTGTATGAGTTGTCTTCTTTGTTCTTCTGTTAGCGCTCACGCTAATCCATCTTCAAATGCATCCTGATGCTTCCTTCCCCTTAACATGGGACAGCTTCAGGATCATCCATCATTAGAGGAAGCCCCCTTAACTCTAATTCGATCTTGAGATTCGAAATCTCCTGCTGCAACCCCTCATATTTGCCCAGTGGGACATGGTTGGACTGAAAAAACGGATCTCTGCTAGTATCGGGTTGCTGTGCCTGTGGAGAGGATACGGAAGATACCGACAGGAGGTCCGATAGGAGGGAAAGGGATATGAAATGAACTTAAAGGTTGGAGGGGGGTGGATGTGAAGCAGGCGGACGAGTGTTTTGGACCTCTCAAGATAAGAAAGTAGTACCTCTCCTTGCAAGTGTTGTATGACCCCTGTGTAGCTTGTAATCGTGTCATGCAACTGGTCGTCTAGTAGTAGCTTCTCCTTCGCGATCTTGTGGTAGTATGAAGAAAGTTCGTCTGGTTGTACATGTCAAAAACATTATACTTACCTGGTGTGTATCAGTTGTACGTGTACCTGATTATTTCCTTCTTGGCACGTTCATACTTCACGAACGCCGTGTTAGATGTAGATGAGCACCTATACAGGATCAGAATAGCACGAGATAGCCAGACGTGACGAGGCTCCAGACTCGCGTCGTGTGTATTTTAGTTGGACCGTGCATAAGTATTGTTTTTCTATCGCACCACGGGTTTCGAGTTGCCGCATCAGTTCGCCACGCAAACGATCAGTGTACAAGCACAGATCAAGCGCCTCTTTCTTAGATGAAGTAGCTTCTTCGGTAAATTGATGCGTCTTTCTTCACGCGGTATCACAAATGTTGATGCTGTCTATTTATTGTCAGCAAGCACTAGCAGGACGAGCTTTCTCTTCCTTGTGAAGCGAAATCAAATCGGAGTCACAAATGTTGAATCAAAACCAACCACAAGTAATCAAGAAACAAGCCTTAATAGTGCTGTTCGATGGATGCTCTAATCTCGCTGTGCCATGGTTGCCTGGGTTTGCTAGCACTCTATCGAGCAGTGCTGCCGTTGAGATGTGCCTGATTGTTGGTTGAAAGAGTTCAGATCGTTCAAAGCAAGCAAGAAGGCAAGCAAGCAACATAAACACTCTGACAAAAAATACAAAAATGAGGTATACATGACAGCACAATGCTGAAGATTGGCTAATAGATACCTTCTCGCGTGGAAGCACCGCATGGTAAGGGCAATGAGGTCCCGGGATTGGCGACTAAGAGAGGCGAAATGCATTTCGCAGACGTTTCAGAGGTTAGAAATGGTCGTTTGATTAGGTGCTCGAGGATTTGTACAACTCGAACTCTTTTATTTGTACAACTTCAGGACTGTGGTCTCTGGTGTCTGAAAGACAACAGTGTATCTTCATGTTCACGATGGTGAACACCTAACATGTCCACTTCTTGTCGACTTTTCCATAACATTCTCTTCTAGGATGAGCAGCTTGAACTTGAGAATATCGAGCGGATGTATCAGGACTCGCGGAAATTCTGCCGAGTATGCGAATAATTTAGAGGAAAACTACTTCGATGTAGTAGTAGTAGTAGTATTAGTTGTAGTAAGTACCCAGATGTCGATGTCCATTTTTAAGTAAACGCAAATAGTCAACTCAGGTACCACTGCTACTGCTGGCACACCTCGGTAGTCGTCCTCCACTTTGATCAAACTGTTGGAAAAGGAAGTAGAGCAGTAATGAGGTATTTCCTTCTGCATACCTGTTGTGTAAGAAAAACATTAGGGAAAAAATAGACCGAACCATAATTGATACTTCCCGATCGAACCTCTCCATTACGCCTGGTTGTATGACCTTGATTTCGTCCGCTGTGACGTGCAGCATGTAGTTTTGCTTTGGCTCGTTTTCCTTCGAAAGATGAACGAGAATGCATTTTTAGCTTCACAAACGGTACTTCAAACTACATTTTACTTACTTACTAGCAAGCCTTGGAGATAGACGTGAAAGACTAGCTACTTTCTCCTAGCCACGACTAGTTATAAACTTAGAATCATTATAAATCATAGTTTTCCCCGAACTTCATACTTGTAAAAAGTGACCGGAAACCGCGATCCTCCTGCATTGATCGAATTCTCCAGACTTTTCCTTGTCGACGGATCCAGCTCGAATGGACCCATTTCTCCCAACGCTGTCCCCACATCTTAGAGCCCAAGCAATTCACTTCTCTCCTTCATTCCCGCAGAATCCCAAGTAGGAAACATTTAAGAAAATGACCAGTGGAAATGAATTGTATCAAACCTTAGCTATAGTGTCCAGCTTGCGCAGAATCTGCCAGTGTCGCCTCTACTAGTATCCTGCAGCCTATGTCATCCGCAGAAAGCTGGTACATGTTCGTTGATATGCCAGCAATGTCCACGATCAATTCGTCCACGTTTCCTCCTTCTGTAGTGATTTGTCGACGCCATCGGCACTTTATCCCTAGCGGAAGTTCACTCCCAGACTCCGTTTTCTTCTCGTTGGCAGAGGCTACGAGGATTCCAGTATTGGAAAAGCCTTGGCCGCCTTCAAGTCGGAGAGAAAAATCAAAATTGTAGTCTCCGCGAACAGCGCCAAAATCACTGTTGCATGCTCCGGGATTAGAGGCAGACTCATTCTGTCTTTTACGCAAATCAATAGCGACAGTATCTGATACTTACGCTACTGCTGTAGTAAGGGAGACTAGAAGTTAGTAGCAGACTCTCACTCGGTGCTTTTGACAGCGACAAATCAATCGCTGCACCAGAGATAATCATACGACTTAGACTTTCTTTGTTTACTATAGAACAACTTCTGTCCCCTCGATGACAACCCATTTTATGCATAACCCCATTTCCTGCAGTCGAAGCTGCGATGCTATTAATAGCAGCTGGAAGTTGCGAATGCACGCGCTGCAGGAAGTCCGTTACGGCTGATGCGTGCAAAGGAGACGTCATTTTCTTCATGCAGTAGTAATAATTCTTCTGGAGATCGCCTGTAAAAATAACTTTAGAAGTGTTCTTCCTGATGAATGTGATGCACTAGACAGTAGTGGTAGTCTGTCTTGGTGGACCTAGTTGATCTCTCCTCGACAAAGAGGGTTGGGTTGTTCGTTGTAACTGCTCGTACCAGAGAGTAGAGCCAGCGGTCCGCTAATGAGGACGATCGATCAGCGAGCTTTCGGAGGAGCACATCCTTTCAGGCAAATTAATCGCTTCTCGTCTGAGTTGTGTGCACGCTGCTAAAGTAAACTACGTGTCGTCTGTGAAAGCAAGGACAGCGGCGAATTGTGTGTCCTAGACTGCGGCTGCGCGCATGGAAGCAGACGTAGGAATCGTATTCTCCCGATCAGCTGCTACGGGTAAAATGCATCCGATCGGCTGCGCGAGACGGGCGGAGGTGAAACAGAGGTCATGGCATTTTCACTTATGGAGGCGTCGCTCAGGTAATTCTAAGTCTTGTGATTTTTTGTCAATTCTACGTTTCAGAAACTCTTTTTAGCAGTTCAACAGGCAAACATCTTCTAAGTCTATTTTAGTCAGCATTATCTCAAGAACCCGCTTTCCTACTATAATTGTGCTTCTGTTTTCTTTTCCAATAACTACTTGCACTTACTAGTTTAGTTAGAAATAGAATTAAAACGCTGAGACGAGATAAGAGTTCCCGTTCACTCCATTTTCGGATCAGCTGATTTTTCGTCTTTACCAGAAAACAGATTGTCCTTCAGGTACAACAATATTTTGAACAGATGACAGTACAAGAGACAGATACTAGAAGCGATTCTTACTTGCAAGTAGAAAGCGGAATGAAGATCATTGGAGATGGACCGAAGGTGGAGATTCGAAAAGACTCTAGTATTGCCACGTGACAGTACTTCTCGCCAGCGTTTTAGCATCAACACAGAGAAGGCAGAACAAAGTGGCAAACGAGCCTGCACTTCGCGACTTCATCTAAGAGCGAACATTGTTATGGTGATATGCTTGCGCAGCAGAAAATAGTGAGAATATCACGAAAGAACCAGCGCAAAAGCAGGTTGGCAAACCTTTACTTACCATACTTCACTTTTTCGGAGGTTCATTCGGACTTAGTCTTCGTCGTTTTTCGCGTAGCCTTGCCAAGAGGCTACTCGGCGCGAGCTCTTCAGCATCACTATCCTTATCTGTCGGCTGCATTAGAGCGAGAATGTTGTGCCCATACCATAGGAATAGATGATTCATATTTTCTCTAGTAAGCACAAGCACTTCTTGAAAAATCGTGTTTCTACTTTGATAAACTAATTTTTCGAGATGAACGCCATGAAAAAGAATATGACAATCTTACAGGCCATTGCCATAACTGTTCCGCGCTTCGTTTCATCGGCCCACGACCAAATAGCTTCTCGTCATCATCTGTTTCGTCTTCGGATATTGCATCGAAAGAGGACGACTTACCAGCACCATTTTTAGAAGACTGAGCTGCAGCGTGACCCTTGTCCGACAGCGCGTTGAATGCGGCAAAGGTGGTAGAAGAAGAAGCACCCGAAGACTCTCCATTCATCGAAATGCCACCAAAGAAGCGTGCTGTCGCACTAGAATTTATTCTGGAACTTGATGTCGCCGCACTACTAGTTGTACTATTGTTTCGAAAGCCATTTGTCCGTAGACTGCCCAGCAAGCCAGCTGTGTTAGTGCTCAAAGAAGAACCACCAGCTGTTGCATTGTTAGCGCTCGAAGAAGAACCACTGCTACCTATTGCTGAAGTAGTAGGAAAGGCTGCTGAAGAAGTGGATGTGGAAAAGCCTGGTGTAGTCGTTGATGATGTGCCAGCAAATCCTGACGCTGACGTGCCACCGAACCCCGTAGTTGACGTACTCGTTCCATTTGAGGGACCTATTGACATATTAGGACCACCTACAGGTACAGACGACGCCAAGCTAGTTGTTGGGCCACCAAGTGCACCGTTCGGCGTTTTAGCGTTAATTTGCTGTCGCGTCACTTCATTCTGCTGTAGTTGGTGCATGACCGCTTGTTCACGCTGGTGCTCCTCTTTGGAGGCTGCTATAGCTGCTAAAACTTCAGAATCCGACGTCTCCTCGTCCGAGTCGGAAGTCTCAATATCATCCTCTAAATCGGTAGAGTCCCTGCTTGAGGAAACAGAAACTCCCGACGCCTGGCTTCCTGCAGCAGCCACGGTTTCGACCATGATCTGTATTGACGGTTGGGGAGAATTGAGAAATGCGGAGCTCCTAGGTCCCATCTTCAGTATGTTCCAACTGAACTTTCCTGCACGACCGCCTCGTCGCTTTTTGCGTCGGCCGCCACGGCCTTGGGTTAGAGGAGCTAGATAATAATAATAATCTACCCATTCGGGGGGTAAGTTCAGCATGAAGGAAGGGGAAGTGTTCGATTGCAAGGAAGGGGTCTTGAGCACTAGATCACAGCCATAACTGACTTGAGTCGTTACGAAGCTGTTGCACTAACTATCAATCTCTAATTGAAGATTTTCATGATCAGGGTGAAACCAAATTACAACAACTCATTCACCTCCTGAAAAGTAGAAGTAGAATTCCCTTCATAATGTATTCGCTGCGGCAGTAAAAGAGCTATTCGACACAGTCTCTTCGATCAACACTTGCGCAGTTATCATGCTTCGTAGTAAATTCTCACATGTGCCTTTTCCTTGTTGCATCCCTTAGAAGAAGAGGTAGAAGAGGGTAAGTAATTGATATTGAGCCCATGTGTTCTATTATCTTCTGCGGCTGATGGCAATCAGTGCAGAGCTTTTACGACTCTATTTCTAGAGAAAAACTCTCTCTATGTCCATTGACGTGGTGAAGACCGCCAAATTGACGTGGTGAAGAAGTTACGGCGTCACAAGTACATAATTAAGTGACGTGTTGTGGACTGTGTCCGAATGACAATGCCGCCAAATTGAATAAGTACGATTACGAACATAACCAACATGAGCAAAAAGTTCTTACTGATACTGTAAGTTCGAGTCATAATTCAAACTCCCAAAGCTGCGATGTCCCATTATCGTGTCGCGCTTTTGGTTCACTATCCGCTGATATTGTTGACTCGTATGGACTTTTCTTCTGCCCTTTCTCCTACTTTGAGGAGCTTTGGGCAAATTCAACCCTGCCAAGGCGTCTCGCAACTTCGCTACTGTCAGTTCGCAACTCGCACAGTCTCTAAAATACATCAAAGCGATTTTGGCCTCTTTTGTCATGTCTACAGTTCTTGCAGGTGGCAGACCCTCTTGCTGTCGCAAATGTGCATCTCGTTCGGCTGTTGTCATGTTGAGGCCACTACTACTACTCGAAGCCGAAGATTGCATACCCAGTAGATGATTGTTACTGCCACTAGATGCAGCAGGAGCGTTTCGGTTCAAGATGTTGGGTACTAGGCTGCCAGTCGCGGCGGCAGCGAACGAAGAGGAACTACTTCTACTATTAGAGCAGAGATGGATAAAAAATGCTCTCATGCACTACGTAATCTGCCGACAGTTCAATCATCTTTATCTCACTGTCCCAAAAATATACCTCGTCCATCCATAACAACTCCATTCGATGCGCGACATATATCGCACTTGTTCTGGCAGAAGCGAGCGTCAAAATCCTCGCCAAAATACTCCAATAACGCTTTTCGCCTACATTGAACCTGCTGCCTCAAGAAGTTTCGCGTGGCCTCTAGTTGGTTTGGGGATTAGAGGGATTCATGTGCTGATTACCTACTTGAATTGAAACCGGTGTCTCGTATACTAGAGATAGTCGTTGTGATGCCTATCTGTCAGAATGTTTTTACTTTCTTGCGAGATAGTTTGGTCGTGATTGAGGTTAGGCATTAATTATCGCCCCTTTAATCGATCTACCTAGTTATCTTTTACTCTTCCTTCTCCTCCAAATCCAATATTGATGCCCATAAAAGAATCGTTGATTATTAGCTGCTGCGGGTCCAGAGCTCATGGTTATGAGACGTTTATTTCGTTCATAGTCGCGGTCGGAGAACCAGCAGACGCAGGTACTACCCTTCCCATCACGACCGGCACGACCAACTTCTTGGGATTAGAGCCTTGGAATAAGCTCGCTGCCTGAAGATGATCACGCAATTATCCTTGATTATACCAGTGAAATCGGGATCTTGTTTGTTTTCCCTTCTCTTAATTAAACATACGCTCTCTTAATTAATTAATAGAAACGAGTCCGACTCCGAGTGCTTCTTCATCTTCGCTCATAATGATAATACCGCTCAATAGAGCTAGGCATGACCAAGTGGCCAATGAAGCGGACATCTGGTTTGTTGATGCCCATTCCGAACGCGACCGTTGCTACTATCACTTGAACTCGACCCGCCATCCAGGCTAGGAGATGAAAGGAGAAGAAGGGAGATGGGTCTGGGTGTGGTTGCTTCGTCTGTAGTTATAACAACAAGGGATAGAAAAACAAGAGTAATTTTGTAGACTTATAATTGGAGGACGAGGTGTAATCTTTGTTGAACAAGGGATAGAAAAAGTAAAGGCCGGTTCTTCGAATTTCAAGGCCTGTAGTTGTAAATTACATGGAGTTTTCAATACGGAATCCCATGTTGAGGAGTCCGTGGTGCTCGAAGAGATTCACGTTCTAGACTCACGCTTTTCCTTTCATAATCTTGATTTGCTTTCCTGGTTTCCGATGGTAGCCCCGCGTGATAAGGTTGCGCCTTCACTTTCAGAGACCGTAGCCCCTTGGCTATTGTATCACACTCCGCTTTCGATAGCACGTAGAGAATGCAAGCGCCCAAGTTTGCCATCGGCGGTAGGGATTAGAGACGTGAGATGTTTGGGTTCAGATTTACCGGTGGAGTTTGGATTACCTTTGGAATTGATCATATTAAAGCTCAGCATTCAAGGGTCACTGACTCCGAACGGAAGGGACCCCCTTCAAAGCTCTCCCCTTTCCCTTCGTTTTCCCCTGTTCTCTCAAGGGGTCGCCTCTTCGATCTCAGTAATCATAAGCCTCAGCGTCATAAAAACTCCCACCAGAATTTGCTCCTCCGCGATTCCGTCTCGCGTCTATTTCTAAAGACTCGCGCATGACGTCCACGATGCCACGAAAAAACGTGTCCGCATTCGTTTTCGTCAGGTTTGCTTCCTTTGGCCGTACTATCAGCGACAAATTCTTACGGTCAAAGCTGTCGACAAAAATTGACAAGCTTCCACGGTTTTGGAACAACACAGAAGCAATGTCGTCTCTGCAATGTCGTGTCGCGCTTGCTGTACAGGCAAGAATAGGGACTTGGGGAAGGAATTAGAGTGCTAAAAAGTGGAGGAGGTGACCACGGCAATTGACCACAAAGACAACCATTAACATAATATCGAAGTAGGACAGCTCATCGTAGGCGTATCATGCTCAAAACCCCTCTCTTCTTAGACCAATACAGTGCCTCGGCAAAAATAGAACTAGAAGTAAGGTCCTGGCGCCATAATAATGCCTCCTCAAAACAGGCAATTGTCGATATTCTGGTCTAAAGTCCAGTCCCCAGTTGCTGACGCAATGGGCCTCATCCACGACAAAGAAGCTGATCTTCTGACTTCGGTATAACGCGTCTAGCACGCCCTTAAAGGAAATAAAAGAGGGATTGGCGACGCGCTCAAAAGCAGCTAGCAGTTTTTCCGGAGACAGATAAACCAAATAGGGGACACGGGCAGCGCCGTTGCCTGTGGCTAAAGCTTCCAGATTTTCCAGTATGGTCCTCTCCTGGCTCCACTGCATTTCGCGAAGATTAGCGCTGTTTCGAAGGCCTTGTTGTAGTTGTGGTGAGTACAACACTATAATATGTACTTATACACTTCTACTCATCTTCGACATCATAGAGAAGTAGTAAGTTAGAACGCCAATTCTCTTCCCCAGTCTACCCCTACGTACTTGGAATCCGACGTAGCTGGAAACAAATTAGTTAACTCTGGTACAGTACTGAGTAGCCGTAACATGAAACCATTCTGCAGCTATGCCCTTTCTTTGCAAATCGTCGACTTGATCCTTCATCAGGCTCTTTAATGGCGATACCACAAAAGCTACTTTGCTCGGTTGGTCACTTGTTCTACCCGCCAACGGCTCCTCGCCTGCTACGACTGCCGGCAACTGATAACATAGACTTTTACCGGCTCCCGTGGGCATCACTGTGAGTACATCTCTGCCATCTAAAGCTGCCATGATGACGTCCTGTTGTCTCGAGCGGAACTCCCTATGCCCGAATTTGCGTTCCAAAACCTGTTTTGCACGCTGCAGGGTAAGCATTTTGTTCCTAGAAGAGGAAGATGCGGATGCAGTTGAGGTCGATGTTGTTGATGTTGTTGAGGGATGAGGGGGCAGAGGTGCAGAGGACGAAGAGCTTGCTTGAGGAGCATTTAGTCCAGAAGAAGGCATGGAGGATGAAGCTGATTGAAATCGCGGAGGCACGCTGGACGTAGAGCAGGTTGAGGGCTGTGGAGGCAAAGGTGCCGAAGAGGATGACATGCTTGTTTTATATGGAGCTGCTGCAGAAGTAGGTGCGCCAAAGTTGTTATAACATGCTTGTGCGGAAGCGGCGGAACTTGATGAACTTGCGCTTGGTGCACCTAGACCTAGAGGCCCTGCAGAAAAAGGATCGCCGACAGGAGCACTGCCAAAGACAGATGGCCCAATAGCAGGAGGATTCAGACCAACCGATGGCGTTGCAGCAGCTCTAGACGAGGAAGATACAGTTCCACCAGCTCCAAGCTGTTGATCCACGTGTTCCAATCTCTGTGACCTTGTTTTCTCATACGTTTCCATGTGCATTAAGCCCTTTTCTAGCAGACTTTCTTTCCGATCTTGCGACAAGATTGTGCTCCCGGAAAGAGCATCGAACCATTTCTCAGCCCAGGTGCTGGGGAACGCTTCTCCAGTTGCTATTGTGCCTAATCCCTCAAGGAGACAGGTGGTGGGGAGTTAGATACAGCTAAGAAATTTGTGCCTTATCCCTCAAGGAGACTGGGAAGTTAGATACAGCAAAAAAATTTGTGCCTAATCCCTCAAGGAGACAGGTGGTTGCGAGTTAGATACAGCTAAAAAAATAGTTTTCATTACACTAAGCAAAAATGGTTGTAGTGATGATGTTTCAAGATGATAGTCTCACTTTTAGTACAAGTTATTTTCTGCAATCCATGGTAGATTGGTGTTATTAAGGAGTAAATGGATTGGTACACCCGACTAAAAAATGCGAACACTGACCCCTTGTAATGGTACCGAAGCAAAATTAGAGAGCCTTAAATCGTTGTGATTTCTTTCTGCGCAGCCAGTCGTGTGGCTTGGTTGCTGCTTTCGTCTGTTCCTGTTTCGTTTTTCACGCTGGTCGTCGCGCTAGTCGTCGCGGCAGTTATTTCTTCCTTTTTGACAGTAGTACTTGTGGTATCATTTTTACCAGTCGTCACTGCTGCACTTCCAGCAATATTCAGCGGTACAACACCAGCACCAGCTTCATCAACAACATTATCTTGTTCTTTCTTCAATGTTGTAGTACTGTTTGTATTAGCATTCGCACCAGTTTCATCATGATGAAGCAGGTTCTTTCCCACATGAAGCTTTTCTTCATCGGGCCAGTCATCGAATAAATCCATGCCATCGTCCAAATCATGGTCATTGAGCGTAAAGTCGTCGAGTGATAGATGCTTATCGTCCGCGGGAGTTGTTGTGGTATGCTTCAGTTCTTTCGAAGCTCCTAGGTCCTCATTAGGACGACCTAACGTGCCATGGTCTCTATCTTCTTTGACACCGACTATATTTCCACCACCAAGTAGCCCAACTTTTTCATCTTCTCCTATGGGTGAAGATGACGCCTCACGCTTTATTACGCATGTGGCAGCAGAGGGCAGAGCCGTGAAAGGAATGCCAAAATGCTCGCCTGCTCCATCGTCCTCTCCTTCGCTGTCGGACAGCTCGACGACAGAAACACGCGACACGTTTGTATGCGACATGCTTTTGTTAATGTTGCTGGCTCATGCTCGTGTACTATTTCTCATACATTCATCTCTCTACTGAACAATGAATTAGTAGTCAGAAGCACAAGATAAGCAACAAGCCCGCTCCTGTCGCGATTGATGATGTGAAAAACTATTCGGCAAACAAACTGCCTAAAAAGATTTCCCTGGCGTCTAATTCTACTAAATTAGTTCACGGAAAATTCGAAAAAAAGAAATCCGTCATCCTCTAGGTCGTTTTCTTATCGATCTTGGTCTTTAAAAGATGATCCTTCTCTTCGCTCTGGTACAACTACCTTCTGGATCGTTTCGGTTTCCTCTGTAATGCATCCTTGTTTTTTTCCTAAACACAGTCGTGTCAGCAACTCAAGAGGTGGAAATTTACTGTTCTGTGCCATTGATTATGGGAATTATCAACAATCCACATGAAGATGGAAACAAAAAGCATCCACATGAGTACTTAATTCCTCCGAACATTGTTCTCGTTTAACAGAGTTTGACATGATTTTGATTATTTTTTCTCCATCCATTACAGTGCGAAGTACTTTGATTAGGACTAAAAATTGCTTTCGGCATGACATCAATCTCGCTATGTTATTTGCACCCCTCTACCTTGTTGCAATTCTGTGCATATTGAAGAGTCGACCGGCCCACGGCTCTCTTACCTCCCGACACCAACAATCGTCTTAAGTCCCGCCACACTTCATGAGGTGGTCCCAGGTAATGAGCAGGCCACCGTTTACTGCATTCGGTGCCTCGTGATGATTGTCTAGATTTCTCAGCACCTTGGTCTTGTACCCGTACTTCGAGAGCAGAGCTGAGAGAGGTTTGAAAAATGCCAAGGCCCGCTCCTCCTCAACTTCATCATCGTCGTCCTTGATGTGCGGAAGCTGGCACCCTGCGTCAGCCATCAACCGCCAAAAACTTCCAGGGTCGTTGGAGGCTGCATTGAGGTAGTACTCGCAGTCTCCCTTCGCCTATGAAATGTATGTAGGGACACGACGCAGTACACATGAGGCCACGACTTTCGTCGGCAGCCCAATGTATCTGCGTCTCGTCGGGGGTGAGTCGGTACTTCATTGTTGTAACGAATGGAGTCGACGTCGCGACGGACGGCCAAACATTACAACTTATGATATGCCTGTTGTCTACGTGCTTACCAGTATCTTCTCTAGTATAATTTGCGTGAGAGACGGCGTTTGTCAGCTAGTAGACGTAGATGGAAGAATTTTCCGACCATAACTCGCTCGCCTCTTTCAGCAACTTTCCCAGTACCTCTGGCACCACCTTCTCCCATTTGGCCTGGGTCGTCGCAGCCAGTTCACTTGCTAGGATTCGAGGTCGTAGCAACACTATTCACTGACGCCGACACTGATCTATGCGTAAGCCCATCGCTGAGGCTGAGACTATTCTTGAATTGACGAAAGTAGGATAATTACTTGTAGGCTTGAAGTCACGAGGTTCGTTAGTAGCACGAAAGACGAAAGTCAACCTTGTATAATTCAACGGGCGAAGTAGAACAATACAACAAGCCCTAGAGGACGAAAATGGCAATAATAAACTACTTACTCCACCCTAACAGCGGCATTCCCGATTTCACTGGTCTTGCGTCCAAAAACTCGGAGACAATGCGTAGGGAGTCGTTGTCCAAGACTGTGTTCGTCAATTGTAACGATTAGAAGAAGCCGATCAAGGCGAGATAACACGAAATTCCCAAAAAGATGCACTAAAAAATTAGCGTCATGGAGAAATGAGCTCTCGCCTTCTTCTACATCATTACTCACAACTGGCTACGCTTCTTCTACATCATTCCTCACAACTGGCTACGCTTCTTCAACATCATTACTCACAACTGGCTACGCTTCTTCAACATCATTGCTCACAACTGGCTACGCTTCTTCAACATCATTGCTCACAACTGGCTACGCTTCTTCAACATCATTACTCACAACCGGCTACGACGATATTGATAGTATTCAGTTGGTGCTAACAGTGTAACGACGGGTTGTAACTAACATGATAATTCGGATGTAGCTTTAGCCTGCACAACAGAAAGAAAGACACTCGCGTGGCATGACTGTATCCTTTTCATTAAGACTTTCGACCATAATGCAGCATGTGATTTTTGGCGAATATGTTCGTCACGTCAGGCCTCTCGACTGTGTTGGTTCTCACTGCTTCCTTCACGAAGAATTCCCGGTACCGTCTGCTCGATGCATCTACTGCACGTCGAGGTCCCGGAATTCCGCCGGAAGGAGCGGGAGCAGCGGCGGCGGGCATGACTATACTACTTTTTTGCTGTTGGCTTTGTTCCTTGATCTTATCGAGTATTAACTTCTTCCTTGATGACACGCGATGCGTTTCAGAAATGTAGACAGATATCAACCTTATTCATCCTGGTTCCCATTTTGGTTTTTTTCTTTCGGACTGCTGCTTTTTGTGTTGACTGTTAGCAGTGGATCATATCACCTTTTTGTTTTTGGTGATTTCTACCTTTTCTTTTTATGCTTTTCAATTTTGCTTCTGCACTTTCTTTTCCTCTTCTCCAACTAGTTTACTCTCGTCTCCATATCATGCAACTCTCGCCACATTTTGTGCTAGTTTTTTTGCTTTAAAAAAACATCGAACACGTGTTTCACCATCAGCAGTACCCCATCCGGCGCACGTAATCGCACACTGAGAGACTCGGATGAACCTCTGGGTGCTGGGTCCGCTGTTTTCCGTGTCCAACTAGATGAACCTGTGTAAGTATGCTGCCATCCACATGCCCAGAACTTGTGTTTGCTGTTTCCATCTGCACCTGGACACATATGGGCAAAGCGAAGGAGTCGCTGGAGTAGAGTAAGGCGGCTTCCTCTTTGCCGGGATTAAAAGAGTAGAGAGTGTAGTGGCAAGTTAATCACTGGTGTGGAGAGGAAAGGATCTAGAGCAAGTGGTATGGAGAAATGTTCCACGTGACAACATGGGTGACACATGCTCGAGAGACCTCACACTCACTACACACACGACAGAAACAATCACTTCCACCTCAAACCAGTCGCAACTCCTCAACTGCTCCACGAAAGTCCCCTGCCTTCAGCCTTTAGTACCATGGATCCTTGGCATGATTCCCTTTCTAACAAAAGAAAGGCCAAATATGATATCATTTTGATGTCTACTGGGCCAGCAGAGGCAGGAGTGACGCAGCTAGTGTGAGAGAACTTGTTGCACATACTTTTCCTCTCCTCCCATTCCGTAGACACAACTTGTAGGCGAAAACGATATTATCGCTTTGCGCAATCACCAGTTCTGTTGAGGCCGGAGAGAAGTCGAGAGAAAGGTTAGAGAGTGGCTCGAGAATGCAGTTGGTAGAATCATTGTAGCGAGCAGTGCTTCTGCTAGCCGTGCTAGAAGGTCTGTGTCAAGCATGAGACTAGGATCATTTTGAGTACACATCGAGCTTACTTCTGTAGTTGGTCATGGTCATGTGCTTCATGTCGAACCCTCCCTGGGCAAGCTCAAGTTTGAAGCAATTCTAGCACACAGTAACTGCTCAATGACCTACATGAATCATCCTCCAACTGTGGTGCTTCCACCTTGAGTAGTGTACTCCTGCTAACTACAACCACGGATGATAGAAACATCGCGGTCGCCACAAGTAGAATGCAGATGCGCCAGGAAGGCGCAAGTGCTTCGAGCAGGTGTCGAAATTTCGGTATCATTATTATGGCGAGAACTGTGAACGAGCAATCCATAGAGGAAGGAGAGCGCGTCGTCTGGTCTCGCCTGAGAAGCTATGATCCTATAAGGATGTGGCTTGGTAGAGGTCATTTACAACTAGAGCATCATCGGAACACGACATTGACATATATGATCACAGGAGCACCTGTAATATATTTATCACCTTCTGGATGTTGGGAAGAAGAACTGGAAAAAGGAGTTGAAGACGGTGCTGCAAGTGGAGGTACTGGACCTTTGGCTTACGTAGCTCGTTGAGTGGTGCTGCTGCGTGGCCGTAGCAATTCGCTACGATCGCCGATCTGCAACGTAGTGGTGCTGCTGCGGTGTATATCGCAGAGTCATAGTTGTGGATATCATCCGCCTTCACGCTTGTCAAGTGCTCGCCCAGCAATCTTGTTCCTCTCGTCCTTCAAGAGTCACTGCTCCAGATCCTACAGATCCTAAGATAGTAGAAAGAGCAGCTGGCGTCCTCCTCGTCGCCTCGCCGCCCCGTGCCAGAAACTCCATGCACTTGCCGCGCCTATTGACACTGGCTTCAACAGAGATTGGATTTTTGAGGGTCATGCATTCAAAGTTAGTTTAGTTTTAATATCAAATTTGTTGCAACACGGCTAATAAACTACGGCGAATGAGTCGCTTACTTCCACATGGCTGTTGCAGTGCATTTTCTCCGTCCTTTTCTTTTCTGCGACACCGTTTTCTTTAATTATTCATTTCGCTTGTCTCTACCACACTCAAAGAAGTCGCTCTTACTTCAACACTTCGGTGGTCACCGTGCAGTCGGATCACAATCTTTCGCGCTTTCGAGCTGAGCTTGGATTAGAAGGCCTCTGGATTGACTTGCAGGGGCCATGGTTCCAGAACGTAGTGCATCTTGCTGATTTTTTCAAATTCGTTCTCGTTGCATGCAAAAAGGCAGGTTGAAACGCATACAAGTTGGTTGTGATAGTCGTGGTCCCTCATGAGGAGAGCTATTATCTCGCAAATGGCGACTACATGGCACTCCCCTGCTACACTATCATCATCAGCGCACCTCAAATGATTATCCTCAGTCAGTGGTGAGATGCTACACTATCCCACAACAATACGGAGAATGATGAACACGTTGAGTAGATCTAGGTTAACTTCGTTAGCTAAATCTAAACACTTGCTACTTTTATCGTCTCTTGAAATTCTGAGATAGTTGCTCTTTCAATTAGTTGTAACCTCCTGTTGGATACACCAATTGAAACTACGTGACCCAGGAGCGAGAACCTTCCCGAAATCGATAAAAAAACACTAACAATTTGTTCTGAACTTCGTGACAGATGTTAATTCTTGCACGGAAACGTCCCCCCTTGTTCCTTTTAAGGTAACTGAGGGGAGAACGAACTGACTCTTACACAGTTCATTTTCCATCTTTGTAGGATAACGCTATACGACCTGTTGGGCAGAAACTGACGACACTGACGGTATTTCCTGAAGAAGTACGGAAAAAAACGGCTGTTGTAAACATTTGATGAGAAATAGACAAAACCAGTTACTTCTTTAGGTCACATGAAGACGACAAGAGAGAAAAAAGGAGAAAAACAAAAACAACAATAGGATTAGGATAGCTAATAGGATCGCTTTGCGATTCGTAAGTGTAACAAAGGAACTCAACGGAAGTTTATTCAGATGCAATTATTAAGAGATGAACCCAGAATATCAACAGAAATTTACAACATACTTATACGAAAAACAGGATGGGTGTGGGCAGAGCGGTAATAAGCTTTAGTACTTGTAATCTAAAACATATTCTTCTAGTAGTATCTACAAAAACACTTTTATCTACTTAGTCTTCATTGTTCCCTATCATTAGCACGTCAGGATCTGATAGGTGTCCTTTTTTCTAGCTGAAAGAAAAATTGAAATAATGCACCCAAAAACGAAGAGATTTCACTTCGTTCGTAGGTTGTAGGTTGGTTCATGTTCATGTTATGCTACCTCGTGGGACGTTAGTCGAACGTGATTGAGGCCGTTCAATCCCCTTGTAGTACCTTTATTGTTCTATTGAAGATCTACTACTCTACAACAGTTCCAAAATTTCCGATTCATGATCTTGCCCTTACTCCCTCTAACTATGGAGAGCACCACACGGCGTTTAGGACATGCCCATCATCATCCCCGGCGCACCCCACGGCGCGATGAGTCGCGGCTGCGGCATCATCTGCGGCGCGATCTGCTGCTGGACAGGCGGTTCGAACAACGGAACCGGAGCTGTGGAAGAGCTGTGCAGGAATTTACCTGTCGTCTCATACGAAGGTTAGAAGATGTAAGGATTGAGATCACTATTCTATTAACAGCCGGGAGGAGCCATCTTTTGTAGTGACGTAATTTAACTGCAAGTAGAAGCATCCATAAGTTGTCCCATCATTTTGTCTCATGATAGAAGATGCCACAAGGATTCCGATGAAGGTTTCAGTTATTGTTTTCACGGCCTCTCCTACTTGTAATGCAAAGGATCAACAACATTTCTTAACAGTCATCTCGCTCGAATTGCTGCTTTAGCTGGACCATGTACGCGTCCTGTACCTTGCCGAGCTTTCCCTTGCCCTTACCCTTGTTGCCACCCTTCATACTGTTGAAATTGCCTCCCTTGTTGAAGCTGTTGTAGTTGCCGCCTTTACCGTCGGTGCCATAGCTGTAGTTGCCCTTGTAACCATCTCCGCTGGAATTAGAAATAGGAAGACAAGGACCTTAAACTGGTTACGTGCTTTGCGGAGGCTGCGAGCATCTAAGAACAATACTTCTAAACTAGATCACGGTGTCTCTTTCTCGAGAAAAAATTTTTCTGATCGTCTTAACTTTCCATCCACTGTTCATCTTTCCGCCCATACCACCCGCAAATCCCTTACCACCTGCGAAGCTGTTCTGCTTAGTACCCTTCTTGCCTCCAAAACCGTTGTATAGGTTGCCGTTGCTTCCTTTAGAGGACTTCGAGTTCTTGTCAAAACTAGTTTTGCCGCCTGCAAATCCAGCATAGAAACCACTACCAGTGCTCCAGCCCTTCTTGCTGGCTCCCTTCTGGCCTTTTTGCACAGAAGATGTGTTACTGGTGCTAGGAGCATTGTTCTCGTTGGAGCTATGACCACTAGTATTGGAGAAGGACTGATAATTGGTTGTCGTCTTAGTGGATTTCTTCGTCTCCTCTTCGGCAGTTGTATCTGCTTTCTTCTCGCCATCCTCGTCTTCTTCCTCCAGATGAACTACGTTCTGTTGCTCACCTTCAGTCTTGTCTTCTACTTTCTTCTCTACTACACCTTCAGCCACTTTCTCAGCGTCGTCTACCTTCTTCTGTTCCTCGTCAGAGGAACAAGCACCCTCTACTTCCTGTTCCTCCACCTTCTTCTCCTCTACAGCTTTCTTCTTCTCCTCTACCGTCGTGGTCTTCTCTTCTACTTTCAATGAAGGAGCGACCACCCCTTCTTCTTCGATTTCCACTACGGTCTCTTCACCACCTCCATTTCCGGCTCCACAACATTCCTCGATCTTCTTGCTCTCGATACCGCCAGCCCCGAGCCCACCGACGGCATCCGCGTCTTCGACCGCATCAAGCTTCATCACGGCAGCCTTTTCGTTGGCCGAAGACATCTTGATATTTGGAAGGAGGACCAAGTTCGTATATTTTTTCAGAAAAACAATTGCACTTTTAGTATAGAAGAAGCTGAAATTATGAACCCGCAATTTTTGTCTGATGCAGAATAAACCTCTTGAGTACGAAAAAATGCCACTTCGAGTGAGTGTGATTGTTGACGCAAGAGGTTTAGTCTCTAACGCCCTCTTGCTTCCTATTTTTTTGGACAGCACAAAGACAATTTTTGCTTACATAGTTTGCGTCACATACAGAGTGCTTTAGGCCGTTAGAAAAGGAGCTTGAGACATTTTTTGAATAACTGAGTCGCGTTGACCTCGTCACTTTACGGCATTACAAATAGAGAGAGAGAGAGTTGTCCAGTCGTGGTCCCTGATCTTCGATGTAGAAGAGGAGGTGCAGGTCTTATTTTTCTACTGCTCTTTCCTGTCGTGAACAAATATTACTTTCTACTGCTCTTTCCTGTCGTGAACGTAAACGATCGGAGAGTCAACATCATGGTTTCACGCTGCAAGGTAGGTAGGTTCTCTTTTGGTGTCTGAAATTTTCTAAAGAAGCCATGTCATGTGTGTGTCCCTGTCGTGATTGCTGCATGACCACCTAAGAGACAATTTTGTAAAGAAGCTCTCCTTCCCGTTTGCTTTCACAGTCTGTCACACAGGATCGATTGCTTCATCTTCAGGCATCAGATTTTCTTGCAATATCAAAGGGGCGACCTGAGTTTTACGCTGCACAAAAGATTGAACGCTGAACTTTTTAGCAGTCTAGAACTGAACACTTCGACAGACACGCATGCTTGCTTCTCATCCTTTCTCGTCGTCGCAAACCTTTCTTGGAAATGATTCGTACAATTCCCTCTTCGATCAGGTAGTGCGAACTCCTCTTATAAAGGGTAATGTACTACAGCAGCAGCACCAGGGTAGAAATGTTGAATTTGTTAAAATGCCTAGGCCCATAAAGGAGCATCTTCACGCGCGATGTGAATGAAATTCAGTACTTGATGTCGTGCTTTGGCTTTTGACAAGGGATGAACATGAATCAAGAAAAGGTTCTTCATCATTTCATCGGTACAGAGTCATCGCCCTCATAATCATCATCGTCAGTCCACTCATCATCGTCGGCGTCAATATCTGCAGGATTCTGCAAGGGCTCTCGTAATTTCGCCTCCTTCGCGAGCTTGTATAGGACGCTGATATTAGAGGTAATAGGGAGAACGAGGGAGCTCATGCATTGTCAACATGCCGCTACGTCGATAACGAGGTGAAATAATTGTTAGTTCGAGAATGCAGATGAACCAGAACCTCTTGTCGTTTACTACTTGGTGTTGCTTTGTACCACATTGCTAATGCTTCAATTTCAATTATCGACGTAACTACATCAATATAATTTTAAAAAATTTATAACAGAGCATGGAGCTAAAGGGGGAGCTTCTTGCGCCCCTTAAAGCTCTGCGCTCCATGCACTCCATGCTACTCCATGCACCATGCGTGCTATAAACTACCCTGTTATTAGAACACTACATGTACCTCTACCTCAACATGAACCTCTCAAGATTTGAGGCTACTTGGTCTTCAACAACAACTTTACTACTTGGTGTTGGTTTGTACCACATTGCTGCATTATCGATATCAACAGACCGCATTTTCAAAAAATAGATCACAACTGTAGTGTAAATTATACTGGACTTATCAATCTCCAGTCATCGTTACTCCAGTGATCTCATAACGATGGTGGCAAGTTCCAAAATTCCGAGGGCGGTGAGAAGCAAAACGCCCAGTGTGATAAGTGGTGGCTCCGGGGCCGTAGGAATAGTGAAGTCGTACACACGAGCCGGGGCACCAGGTTGATCTGTAGGTCGGATGTGGGAAACACGTTCGGGAAAGTCGGCGACAATAGTTCGTTTACTTCGAATTCATTGAACGCCGCAGAATGAAAGTAGTACTAGCAAGATAAAGGATCAGCGAGCTTTGAAGCGGAGAGAAGTAGAGTGCTTCTAGAAGAATGAATGAATGTGCCTAGCAAGAGAGAGATATTCATAAGACACCTAGTTGTAACATACCTGAGCAGCAGCGTGGGCCAGCAATGAAAAATGATGAAATAAGTACACTGCGGCACCGTGACCGACTGAATGCCCGTAGCGGTGACAATCTCCTTCTGCAGGATGTCCAAAAACGCGGGATCCCCCAAAGCCTTGGACCCGAAGTCCGCTGGTAGCTCACCTGTGGTGTCTATGTAGCTGGTGACGTAATCCACGTAGACGTACCAATCGGTGGCCGTAGAGCCAGAGGTGTCGGTTGTGCGAGAATTGGAGCGCAACTTTAATATCCATCCTGAGCCGCGTCCTGGGTCCGCTTTCCCCTTGAAAAGCCTCTTCAGGATGCCGCAGAGGATGGATAAGGGTAAGCCTTAAGAGAAGTCGCGCCCCCAGCTTTTTCAGAAGTGTGGTCTTCTAAGAATTCAGTCTCGCCTTTGGTCGAAGAAGAGTGGTCCTCTTTAGGCTCTGGGTCTGGCGCTTGTCCTTGGATACTATCGGTTACGGCGGTTTCTTCTTTTTCGCCTGCATTGGCTGTCTTAGAGGACGTAGATCTTGTCTCCGCAGCAGGTACAGCTACTTGATCAGTTTGTACTTTCGCGCCTTCACGACTAAAAGCTTTTTGCTTTTGTGTGAGTGTGTCTTCTTCTATTAAACTTGAGGACGTTGACGTTGAGGTTGACACAGCAGGCTTAACCTTACTTCCACTGATCTTTTTTGAAGTTGACGATGCTACTATTGAACCGTTATCCACTGCTACTATGGAGCCCTCTTGTCCTGCTACTACTGAACCGTCATCCACTGTTAGAGCTTCCCCTAATTCATCCGTGAAGCGATCCCGCAAAGACATGCCTTACCATTTCCCTGGGATTGGGGTGCATCCTGTTGAGGGATGCCTATGGAGATGGATTAGGAGAGCCTTAACACTGAGTCTGTCCCTGTCCTCTGATCCTGGTTCTTGGCGTCTGGCGTCTCTTGATTAAGGACTCCTCGCTCCTCCAGCTCTTCCTCAGTCAGTTGTTTGGTGGATCTGGACACATCTGTGAGTTCTTTGGAACTACCTGCGTCCGCGGCTCTCCGTAACCTTGTCGCGGTTGTCGATGAACTACGCGCGGTCAGCAACATTTCTTCATTTGAAGAAGGAAAACTACTCCTGGAAGCACGCGTTATCAAAGTGTCATCCTCTGAGTCGGAATCCGCTACAGCGGAAGTTCCTGATCGATGATGGACTCAATGAAGTGAGGCTTGTATTAGCCGTACAATGTTTATGTTGAGTAGAAAGATCTGCTACTAGACTGTTGTAGCGTCTGACTCATTCATTCACTCATTTACAAGTTCGCGAGGTACTATTGTTTGGTGTGTGGAGAACGCCTTGTCATGGGTAGTGCAGGGGAAGAAGTTGCAAAGGGGGCTTTATTTCACTTTTATATTGCCGCGTGGCTTGTTTTCTTTTCTTCTGAACCAAAAAAGTGTATGTAATGAAAGTGTTCCAATGTAGTCCTTGATATAGATGTATGGTTTGAAAGAGACTACTCTACCAATCAAACATCAGCTGCTATTTGACCTTCTAAGTACCATCGCTGCTTGCGCTATCCTCTTGCTCTTGCAAAGCGGCTCCGGTACTCTGGACTTCCACATGAGAAAGCGTCTGAGCGTCTGTTTTGCCGGACAGAGCCTTTGCAGACGTTGCGAGGAGCAATACGACTTGCAGAGGTCGCAATCGCATGGGCATGGCGCTTTTGGAGGGCCTCACCATTTTTTACACGGTGACGATACTCGTTTGGTCCATTCCTTGATTGCGATGAATTTTCTAACGCGTCTGTCTACATCTACGTAGCCTAATATCCCACAATAATTTCATTGGCCTTAGAATTCAAGAAACTCTCTCTCTTCATGATTAATATCCCACAATAAATACAGAGTTTTTTGAGTGAACCAAGTCGACGATTTTTTTCCACTATGCCACGTTTCCTTTTTACCCTCTTTGACTTTCCTTCTGCACTTGCTTTTCGTTCTCTTATTACATGAAGGACCTGGAGGACCATCTTCAGGACAACTGTCTCATAATCATCTTTGTGTTGAAGTGGTCGTAGCGTCTTTCTTGGTTAGGTTTCGGATACAGTGCATGTGGACAAGGCTACACAGCGTCTTTCTTGGGGTCGTTGGCTCTAATATTATCTGATGATAATCATAAAAACATATTTAAATGAGATAGTAAGAACATCAATGAAAGTAGTACGGCACTAACAAGGTATGAAAGAATGGAATGAGATGGATAGTCCTGCTCCCGCATTTCTATGATGAAGTTTCTCGTCCACCACGACTTCCGTTGCTTCTTAGCGTGACGCCAACTGATGCGAATAAAATCATTCCCGTCGACCTTGCACTCGTACCCATATTTTGAGAGAAAATCTTCTAGCCTATCGAGACTGCGGATTGTACAATTCTCTGCCTTTAGCCTGTGCATGTAAGCCGCTCGAGTGAGAATCAGCTCGCTTTCGCCGCTCGCTTGTGAAAAAGGAGTCGAAGATTCAAGAGGAGGTTAACTTTGTTTTAATCAATTCACAATGCTGAGGCGCATTTCACACGCGCACGAGTTGAGATAGACGTGATGAATGTCCTCTCATTTCTTACAATAGGCTTCGAAGCGGAGAGAACAGGGCAAAAGATCGTACAAGTACACAACACCTAGAGGGAGACTACCTTTTATCTTATCATTTTTTACGATAATAAGTCATACACTACTGCGTTACACTTGAAGGGTGATTTTACACTTAAACCATAACTCGCTCGCTGCTTTTAACAACGGCCCAAGGCTTTTCGCGATGGCCTTTTCCAACCTGGCCTTACTCGTCGCAGCTAGCTCACTGGCTAGGGGAATCATATTCGACGTTTCCGGCATGGCATCCATGTAGCCGCAAACAATGCGGAGCGAGTCGTCGTCCAAAACGGTATGCTTCAATTCCAGAAATTAGAGATGAGGAGAGGATTGATTGATGTACTCACTCTTTTGGGGCGTAGTATATAAGACAACTCATATGTTCTTTTATACTAATACTTTGATCTAGCCGTTGGCATATGATGGCCCTCCGTGATGGTTGGAACAGAGTTACTTTATCCGATGATCGTACTGCATTTTTGGTCTAGAAGGTCATTGAAAATCTCTTGAAGAAAAGTAGGCAATTGATTGATTGATTGATTGAGGGGTAGTCGGAGCTCAACATAATGGAGCAATTTATTTTTCACGAGTGCGTTCGTGACGTCAGGTCGACTTACAGTGCCGGTCCTGACTGCTTCTTTCAGGAAGAACTCCCTGTACTGAATGCTTGAAGACATCGACATGTCCTTTTCTTTGATAGGTTCGTATTCGAGTCAAGGTTTATTTCCTTTTCTGCTCTTAGATTGATTGACTTATCATGGAACATATACATAAATATGCCATATGGATTGATGATGTCAAGACTGCGTAGTTTACTTGAGTTTTACTGGAAAGATGTTGTGTCTCAAGACGAAAAATAATATTGATTGGATCTACAAAAGAACAAGATGAAGATGCGCCTTTTTGTCATGACCACGACTCGAGAAGGAGATGAAAATGTGGAGTCCACATTTTCATCTCTTTCCCACGTCCTCTTGAAGCAAACGCATTTTCTACGCATCCTTCATCTTCTGCGATCATGAAGACAATGACAATGTGGTGCTGCTTCAATGAAGAAAGGGATGATCATGATTTAGATTTAGAGGGGTTCCCGCCTCAGCCCTGCGCATGAAGCACCGGATCAGCAGAAGTTATGCTTGAGTCTCACCACAGTAAGTACAGAACAATGTTTCTGTTTGTGCCTCAGGGATGATGAGAACAACCCGCCATCAATCGAAGAAAGGGCTTAGGATTAGACAGATTAGATAAGAAATTGCACATCCGAATTGAAGTGGTATGAGGGTACTGTGCAGGCCGCGTAGAATATCCACATGGGACAACATGTGAATCATGCAGCAGTATGATCGAGGATGCCGATTTGTTGTATGTGATGATTGTAGCCGAATGGAAGTAGTTCATAAGGATGAAGATGATGATCGCCGAATAGAGTGGCTTCGTACTCAGAGTTCCAAAGGGAGAGAGAGGAGAAAAAGAATGGACCAAAAAGGAGAGCTGATACTCGCTTCTCGATGTGATGAACCCTCTAGTAAGTTGGTTCTAGTTCGACATATAATAGAGAAAAGAAAGGGATGACTTCTCTACGGATGACAAGATAGTTCCTACTAGATCCGACAAGCGAAATGTATCAACTTCTAGTTCCCAATGGGACCATACTTACCAAAGGGCGTTATATTTCGTCCTTGGTTATTGGTATTTTCAAGTATTACAGCAAAATCGTCAGCCGCAAGCTGCTCCGCGTCCTCTGTGCGCACTCGATACTGAAGCTGAGAATAGTGGTCGGAAAAAGTGACTGTCTTTGTTGTACTGTAAAGATGAAGAGATACTGTCCTTGTTGTGCTAAAGATAAAGAGATATTACTGTCTTCGTTCTACAACTAGAGATAAAGAATACCCTGGTGTTGGTTCGTTGGAAACAGCCAGCAAGTAGCTGATTGTCATGCCTAATGTTCGCGGATTGCTCGAAGAACATGACCTATGCTATCTCTATCCAATGACGTTGATGAACCCAGGAAGACCGAAGACTCGATATTTCTGTATAAACCAGGGAACTCGCTGAGCCTAAAGCTTCAACTTGGAAGAGAGAAAGTAGTAGGAGTAGTAGTAGGAGTGTACCCATTCGTGGGATATTACAGACAACTTTAATTATTGATTTTGCCGAAAGAAAGAAATCATACCCCTGGCGTGAGCTTGATGCTTCGTCCGTCAGAGAGCACCACTTCCTCGGCTCCTTCCACGTCATTGTTGTCAATATTAGAGCCTTCTCGCGGAAGATGACGAGTCTAGAACTGAGTCTTTTTGTCACTTATGGTTTGAACACTGCTCGGTAGTGGATACTCAAACCAAAAACGAATTCTTGACGTAGACATACTATCACCTGAACAAACCTGCGCCCAGCCTTAACGATAATCCGTATGGTCGTGTAAGCATCGGTCTGAATGCTTCGGTCGGTGGCGAGATTCATTCCCTCGAAGCCACACCCAGCCATGTACTCGTCGACGATATCGTTGTACTTATTCAGGTATGCGATTTCTTCTGGTGCCATCTTCTGGGAGTTAGAGGATGAGGAGTTCGAGGATGAGGGAGAGGAGAGGATTAGTTCATCGTTTCTACTCTTTCGACCAACTAGGCGTATTGACCAACTAGACGTAATGAGTCTTCCATCACTGAAGATTCGTCCTTCTTGCCATCTTGTCCGCCTTATAATCTCTAGCCTCTTGCGAATGTACGCAAGAACACACCGTTTACTCCGCAAGAGGTCCGCAAGCCAAACCTTCATGCCAAGCACTGCAGGGAGACACATCTCTTCGGATAATGAAGGCGAGGAGAGATTCAATAAATGAAGGCTACCAACGTAGAGGTCAGGTTCGACCTACAACATGTAAACTAACAACAACAAAAAGTAGCTAATTGCGACCGTTGCTTAGCATTTACCTGCAAATAGTCAGAGATGCCACACAGTAGCAATGTCTGCAAAAAGTGAGAAACTGTCCTGCCAAGAATCTTGCTGACACCCATCAAGTAAAAGCAAGCGGGCTAGCTAAAATTAGTACCAATACCAATAGATTAACCATCCAACCATCTAGAAGAGCACATCTCCATAGGGTGAATTCAGCTGGAACGTCTTTTATGTCGGTGATTGGCTCTTCGTCGTTCTCCCTCCTCGCCTCGTTGTAGGCTTCTAACGCCAGCTTCTCTCTACGATATAGCTCTGCGTTGCACACCCCAAGATTTTCGTAACCTCGTATGATCTATGAAAGATTATTTATTGTATGATAAGTAGTTAGTAGTTGGAAGAGTGAAATATATTATAAGAGAAGATGGGGAGAAAGGAAAAAAGATAAAAACTGATGTCCATTGTAAAAAAGCCACGCTGTATGATAAAGAGTTTTTTTCAGATGAAGATTGTTCGATAGAGGATTTTTCAAAAAAAAAAAGAAAGATTGTCCTCGACTGAGTTTCTAGACTACAGGCCTGTCTTTAGTGCGTTGCATCCTTCGTCTCTTTTAGCATAGAAATCGGAACAAATATGAGTACGACCATTCACTCACTCATTCTGTGCCCGCAGAAAGGTCTGCGTCGACTCCACAGTGTCTGCCTGGTTAACTCGAAGTTTTATCAACGCAACAGAAAAGCCAGTGAAAAACTGAGAAGCGAACAAGAAGAAGGAATCGTACCTCATCAAGAATCTCGTCGATTTCCTGCTTTGGGTACGTCGGCAGCCAGCTCGACTTGACCAGGTCCTGCAGGAGCAAGACCGACTTGCGAGACGTCGTCGACATTTTTCGACCACACGTAATCAGCAACTTGTCTGAAAGTTTTTAATCACCTACTCGGTCACTTACTAGAGTCAGCCTCTTTTGGATAGGATAGGATAGGATTTGATTCGAGGTCCGCAGTTTGACCTGTATCCTCAAGCGAATGTGTGCACGTGCAGCCGCAGAGGGACTTCTACCAAGTCTTATCTATCTTCAACTAATGTCTTCTGTTCCATTTGGTTTTCCATTAGATATCTTCGTTTCATCATCGTGGACTTTTATTGAAGGGAGCTCACAAGTTTTTGGTTGGTTCACCCGATCGCTGAATATCGTGCCAGGAGAGAGTCCTCCTAGGCGGTTGCATTTTTTCGAGGACTCAGTTGACTTCAGTGCCCGTATCTGGATGTCAATGCAGAAACACATTGCCCTGATTTTTGAAAGTTTTTCGAGTTTGTTCGACGCACCAGCTTGAGTGGCGGCAGCAGCCCTCAGCAGGCTCCCGTCTACGCGCAAGCGCGCGCCTCTGCCAGACCCAGGGCTGAGCAGTTCTTCGAATGATGCATGGAAGAGGCTCGTCGAGCGGTTCTTCGTAGTTATTTATTTTTAGTATCTGCAACCAGTCTTCGTAGTCATTTGTGGGTAGGTGCAAGAAGCCTGCTGGCAGTAAGTCTGTATTCATGGTCGGACCATGAAATACAAATACATGCTCACGATCGTGAAGATCCTGGGTCTTTGGCGGGTGTCTTATCAGTTACCCATGATTGTTCTAGCAGGGAACATGGTGGATGGTGTGTACACTATTCATGGTAAGAAAGTACATATTTATATTTTATGTTGAGTTTCTAATTCTTTTAATACGACCGGCTTTGAGTTTCACAAACATACATTGATTACAATAGTGAAGAAAACAAAAAATTGACTGGTAGTTAATTGACTGACTGGCAATGACGGTAACCTCGCCATCATGATGCTGGTGGTGTGTTGTGGTTTTTTTTTTATACTAGGATCTCTTGGAGATAACACCACAACCCCAAAGGTACTAGGACGACCTTATCAAAAAATATAAGACATTGATTGCAGCGTCGGAAATAGGAATCTCCTGGAATAGAAATAATCGGAAATAGGAAGACTGAAACGGAAACAGGTAAGTAAGTTGTTTGTTATTCATGCTAACAACTGAAAACTAAGATTCGTGTTGAAGCTTGGATCTTGTGATTGTGGATTTATCGTTCTTGTCATAGTCATTGTCGCTAATTATCATCACAACATTACGGCTTGCTTCGAGGAACAATTCTCTGTACATCAAAGCTACCTATTTTATTAATGCTTCACAAGTAGTAAAAATTCATATGCAAAAGTGTCACCTTTTCACGAATTGTTCCTCACTATTCAAATTTATTCAAGAAGAGTTGTAGTACTGTCTACTGATTAAAAAGGGTTCTGATAACCAAAAAAACTAGTCGCTAATTGTAAATAGTACATAATACATGAAGGTGGTTCTTGGTAGCTTTTCGATGGTAAAGGAGTATTGATCATCACATAAGGTGACGTTATCAAGAGAGAAGGACAGCACCTTGCTAGGCTCAACTGGAGAAATCTGCATGCTCTACCCCATACAACCTGGCTTATTTAATTTGGGCAACACTACAACGAAAAAAAGAAGTTGTCATGTGCGTGCGATTTAATTTCACCGCTAGATGGCTGGTTCTAGTGCTAAACTACCTGTACCTCGGAGCAGAAACTTCTGCACGGGGAATTTGCTGCTGTTGAAGATAATCGTCATTATTCATTTTTTTGTATTTAATACGTGTACAGGTCAACGCCAGTTTGCTTAGTGGTTCAGGCGTTCAATCAATCAATTGGCGAAGCGCGGTAGCCCTGTACACTTAATATCTGATATTTTTTTTTCCATGATAATATCAGTATTTCCTCTAGTTCTACTACGCTAGAATGGCTATACCACCCACTTACCTACATTCACACTATCCGAGCACAGCTGGGAGAGCTCCTTTTCCGTCAGAATATTGAGGCAAGAGAACTGTTTTCAACAACCTTGAGAATAGAAGTAGAGAATAGCTAATATTATCACTTTAGATTTTTCTGATTGATTCATTTCTCTAGACTATTGCGCACACAACAGTTAGAGTCTAACTGTTAGACGTAGTGCTGCAATATTTATAGATATACATGTTTTAGGAATGAACGGCACCCCCTCCTGCGCTGGGGGGTACCGTAGCCCTGAGCCCTGAATCATACATAGATTTCCTTTAATATGATAATGCAGAACTCTTGATCTTGTAGACATCAATTAGACAATTTCTTCAGCAGCGTTACCCCATGCAACAACGGTGTTCTTCAACTTCTGGAGAAAGAGAACCAGGTAGTTGCCCATCAAAACCGTGTGTAATGTATCTGGCAAGACGTAGCACCACAAGAATGCCGGAACCTCCACAGCGCGGACCCCTGAAGATGTTAGTACAGAGTTGTTGAGACTCATAGTTTGATGAAGTGAGTGAATGAATGAATGAATGAGTGAATGAATGTGCCTAGCAAGAGGTTGCGAGATCCCGATCGAGACGATTACAGTCTTAGTCATCGTGCGAGTGAATAGAGGATCAGGACGTTGATTGCTGCAACGCAGAATTTGGCCCACAGGCATAAAACAGGCAGTAAGGTACATCGTAACCAAGAAGAGCACTGATTATATCTTCTAGGTACTTATATCAGCAAGAAAATACAGGCAGTGTAGATGATGTGGCCCCAAGCGAACATGCGTAAAACTCGAGAGACGCATAGAGTTCCGACAAAGTTCGCGGCTCCGTCTGATACTGGCTCGTCCGTCTTATAGATCACGTACAACTGCGGAAACTGAGAAGAGTGAGGATGGGTTTGAGTGTTGAATGTCATGTCATGGCGCCTCTAATGTAGCTATTGTTGTCTACTTGTGAGGCCATCCAATGCTGTAAGTAGTACCTCGTAAGGCTTGTGAAAGGAACCACAAGGGTTGGTTCAAAAACTAGGTGAGTTGGTAGATGGTGCTGTTGATCTTAGATGTTGAAAATCAAGAATATGGTAACACCATAGCAACGCAGTCGAGGGTCATGTTCCACACAACTGAAACGTCCGCCATTGGCCAAGGCTCGTTGTGGATATCGCCGGTCCAGCTCTTCACTGGGGGATTCAGGTAGTGCAACACCATCGAGAAAAAATAATTAGACACCTCAATTTATCCTCTCTTCAACATACATGATCTTCAACATGCTCGATATCAAGTATAATGGATGGTGCTGCTTTCTCCATCTAGGCAGAGGATCGAGGCCTTTTTTAAGAACCTATACAATTTTAATTAAGTAAGGGGAAAAGGAACAGTCTCTTCTGTTCTTCACTTTTCTTCATACTCATGTTGTAGCCATAAAGTATGTGATCACAGTGAGGGCCGCCCAGTTCAAAGGAATACTCTGTCCACTGCCAAGGCCTATTCTCAAGGATTGTGTGTACTTCACCTGATTGCGAGCCACATGCCAGCACACCGCTCCCCAAACCTGCGAGGGGGAGGAGATTAAAATGTAATATGGCTTGAGACGAGAGACTACGCTACTAATCATGAGGTTTGAGGAGATTTTTACTCAGATAGATTCGGTAGACACAAGTGATAGTTTTGTCTAACCTCAGCCGCGTCAGCCAAGAAGTATTTCTATTCAAACACACCACCCAAACAACAACAACAGAGTCACTATATATAAGTAGAATGAGTACGATCGGCGACATGGTGATGTCTAATTTGCAGAGAATCTTGACCAGGTCAGACTCGTTCGACCAGACTGCTGGCGGACTAGCACTCCAATAAAATCGCAAGAGGGTTCCGATAAAAAACATTATCTGGTGAAGGTGATTGTGTGGTAGAGAGTTTGATTAGTGTCGGACTTGGAGCCTGAGGATGATATATTTGATACTGAGTGTGCATGCGAAGATTCTGATTGTAAAACTCACTGTTGAGACAATAGTAAGTAATCGCTCTATTCTTGCTGAAGTAATCCTTCGATTGAATAGAAGGAACAAAAAGACATATAGAAGTTCATTGTACCTGTGTATCTCTTGCAACCATGACTTCCTGTGGTTTGCTCCATTGGTCGCTTTTCTCCGCCATTCTATGCTTCTCGAAGAGCAGCATGATTCCTGCCAGCAAGAAGCAGCCATTTGCGATCACGTAGAAGAGCACCTCCATCTTGACGTGAGAAGTACTAGACTTCCTTACTCAAGACTTGAGTTGATGTATGTTCTTCTTCGGTATTTGACCGTAGTCCTCACGCAACTCCTTAGACCAGTGTTCTACTTTGTGTACAACTGCTAGATGCTGCGAGAGTCCTGCTGCCTAGCGGACGACGATCTTCGAAGAGGAGGGGGATATCACTGGATGTTGAATAAGCGGAGTACTTCTGCGGGTTCGACACTCCTCTGACTCTATAGCTCTTCTGGTCGTGATTGCTGTTGCTATAGTTCTATACTTCTCAGTACTTCTGCTGTTTGCTATAGTTCTATACTGCTCCTGCGTCGCGACTCAGCAGTCGTGGAGGCAGAGGTGCTTCTTGCCGTGCTGTTGTAGAGCAGCCAATGCTTCTGGATGCAGAGCTTTCTCAGTGCCTTAGCTGCAGCGTTTGGTCTGGTAGTTCTTTTTGTCAGTTTGTTATACCAATTTTGTCGTAACTAAAACAAGACTGTCCTCTCCTTCAAGCTACCTACAATTTTTGAGAGAGATGTTGAGGAAGCATGAGCATGATGGTCGAGCAGAAGTTGTAAGATGGAAGATTTGTCTTCGAGTGCGTCTTAATCATTCAAGTAAGATTTCCATTGGCGGCTGATTGAGTCTGCTCCTAAAAATCACTCATAGAAGACCATTCAGATTCACATATTGTCATTTACTCGAGAGAGACGAATTTTTTCATCTGAAGTCTTCACCTTGACCTCGTGCCGTGTGTATTGCTCTCTCTCAAAATAAGGACAAGGAAATCACGTCTGTCTTTGCAATAGTACTGTTTTGCTTTTGGTTTTACCTTTCCTCCAAGCGGAACTTCCAGAACAGTTTCATCATGAGGGAATCTTTATTCAATTTCAGTACCCGTCCTTCATACATTTCAGATGAACAAAGTTTGACTCACGAGCAAAACAAGCAGAGTTTTTTCTTCTCATCATTCTTCCAAGACTCAACAATTCTTGAAATGTAATAGTAGAACAACTACTACGTCATGACAGACCTGCACGAGACAATCTAGGCAGTGGAACACGAGCGCAGTAGAAGAAAGGCACGATGGTCCGTCTGTGAAAACGACATAACTTGACTCGACTGCTTGTGAAATCCGCGAAAAAGATTAAGATATAACTTGACTTGACTATTAACTGACATCATCGGCATTGATTTCCACTTCTTGTGACATCATGAGCACTTCTTGTGACATCCAGCATTGATTTCCACCTCTTTTTTCTAGAAGGCCCCCTTGTGTCGAAATTTAGTTCTTCCGCCCTTCACTGACATCATCGGCAATTCTTCACTTTTTTTGGTTCTGCGTGTCTTCGTCCTTCTTCTCCGCAGATACCATACCATGCACGTCAAATTGATGACCCAGGGGCTGAATAGACGCTCCGTCTTATGGAGAAGGGTAGTTTTTTTAACTCTATTAAGTGGTACTACTAGTACTTACAAAAAATTCTAAGGATATAATTAAACCTCGTAGTACTGCTGCGATGGTCTAGAATATTCTCAGGCATATGCACAACGTACCACGTTATGCATATCCTCAAGGATAAGGATTGTAGCTTCTCCGGTCTAATAAGGCGATCACCTAGCGTCAGTAACAATTATTATGTGTGCATCTACGGGGTAACTTTCTTTTTGACTAGAAGTAGTCACCTCCTAGTGGGAAGGAGGCTCCTACAACAAGAAAGCGGTAGCAATCTTATTCACATTTCTGAACATGGGCACCATGATCTCCTTTACGTCTACTAGAGCACCAAAGAAAGAGCCATAACTCTTCGAAATCACTGACATCGCTATCCTCGAAGCCGTCGTCTTTCTCCGCTGGATCTACAGCGCCGCCAAGAATCCTACTGCCTCCCATTGCCTCCTCCAGGGATGCCTCTTGCAGAGATTCCTCGCTTGCCTGGCTATGAAGAATGGGAAGTAAATCTAAATCATTTGAATGGGTGAAATATATGAAACAGTCACTGTTACGTTATTTTCGTCTTACTGTTACGATATTTTTGAATATGAAAAAATGGACACAGCTCGAGTGTAACCGAAAAGCAATGACAATGATGTGTCTTAACCTTTTTTAGCTGCTTCCGTTGCTGCTATCGGAGGCCGCTGCGCTTCTGTGGATACATCTCTTTCTGCCTGTGATACAGCTTTCTTTGAAGATACAGCTTTCTTTGAAGTAGTATTCGTTTTCTCTATGTCTGCTTTTGGCTTTGGCGCTGCAGCTTTCTTGACTTCTTTCGTCGCTTCAGATTTCTTATCCGCCTTCGCCGATTCACTCTCTGCTGCTGCATCGGTCGTCACTTCAGCTATCGGAGGCCGCTGCGCTTCTGTGGATACATCTCTTTCTGCCTTTGATACAGCTTTCTTTGAAGTAGTATTCGTTTTCTCTATATCTGCTTTTGGCTTTGGCGCTGCAGCTTTCTTGACGTCTTTCGTCGCTTCAGATTTCTTATCCGCCTTCCCCGATTCACTCTCTGCTGTTGCTGCTGCTGCATCGCTTGTCACTTCAGCTTCCTCAGTAGTTTCAGCTTTCTTCTGCGTCTGATTTCCACTCCTATGCGTCCTCAGTCTTCTGATTCCGCTCTTCTGCGTCTTTGGCATATTGCTAGGACGCGCTGCAGATCTAGAAAGGGATACAGGTGCTGGGGCTGTAGTCTTGAGGGCTGTGTTATTTTTAGAGGTGACAGTTGTAGTACAGGTAGGTGGTAGCTAGGAGATGGTAGTTGCCTTCAACTACTGCCTTGCAGACGTAAAGGAGTAGGGTGAACAAAAGGCTTATCGACTAGGATCATCAAAGGTCCAAGGTTTGACGTCCGCGGCTCTACGGCCCAGCCGCGCCGTCCGGGACGAATCAGGCTCGAGGCGCCAACCCTAAACCCATCAAAGAACTAAGTCTACTTCATTTAAGGCATCTACTTACTCAGCTATTGTGTTAATTACTTGCTTATTTTGAGTATTCGAGTACGTAACTCCAGGTACAACAGGTACAACTCCAGGTACTGCAGCTTCTGCAGTAGATGAGGCAGCAGCACTACCTAGCATGGCACTGCCCATCACAGCACTACCCATCATGGCACCAGCATCAGTACCCAGGTCCACAGGTTGCATAGAGCCACCAATGACCATGCTAGAGCTACCACTGATAGCTTCCTGATCATCAGCTTCCATATTGAAAACGGGAGGACCTTCATCTCTACTGCCACCGAATGCTATGCTGGCATTCTTCGAAGAGGACTGAGGGTCTCCTCTGATCTTAGAGCAGCTTGGGTGGATTGGGAAGGAAGATGCATTCATCACATCAAGGGATGTTGCGTACAGAATCATAGCCATACTCATAGCAAACGAGTACTGGAGTATTGTAAATATTCTATGACAGACTCTCGGAAAGCACTCGAAAACGAGTTGTTTATCTAGTTTCACCGTAGAAGTTGTAGTTTATCTAGTTCCACCGTTGAAACCCTCTTGGACCACACTGATCATTTACTGAAATTATGACACTGTTATCATTACCTCCCTTAACAATTGCCATGCTGCCTGCAAACGAAACATCTTTTTCCTGGCCAGCACGAGAGCTCTTAGTTTGACCGAAAGCAACGCTTTGATTCGAGGCGGTAGTCTTCGGAGGTTCTGCTTTTGGCAGGATTAGAAGCAAGGGCATCTTCGAGTAGATTACTTCCCTAGTAAACTATGAATATTAATAGCATAATTTTTATGAGTAGATATGGTTTATCGAAAAAGTGTAGTGAGCGATTGTTTTTCACGAAGGAAAAAACGAGTTATCTACTTTATCATGTACGCACATGCAGCGTGTACGTACCAGCAAAAGCAATTCACCCAGCATAACTGTTTTTGCACAGCACTACCGCTTCCCAGCGCCATGCTGCCTCCCAAAGCAGCACTACCTCCCATAGCCATACTCGTTCCACCCATGACCATACTACTTTCGCCCATGACCATACTACTTTCGCCCATGGCCATACTCGTTCCACCCATGACCATACTACTTCCGCCCATGGCCATACTCGTTCCACCCATGACCATACTACTTCCGCCCATGCTCATACTACTTCCCATATCTTCAATGTTGGTTTGGTCCGTTGCATTGTCGTTCTTCATGGTCACGCTCTGACCGAAGATGTCGTCGTCACTCTTGTCTGCTGGAGGACCAGTGCCGACAACGACAGTCCCTACTGCCACCACAGGTTCTTGCTGTTGTTGTTGTAGAGTAGTACTAATCGATTGTTCTACTTCTTGGTCTTTTTGCTCCACAACCGCCACAGGCTTGTTAGGCTGACTAGAGGTCGTCGTTTTGTTCGGTTTTATTACAGCAGAAGTAGAAGGTGCACTACTACTAGCAGGATTCTCCTTGTTCTGTTCTGCTGGTGGGCTACTAACAACTGGGTCTTTCGGCACTACAGCAGCAGCTGAAGGAGCATTATCCGGAGGTTCTTTCGTATCCTCTTTCGTCTGCTCCTTAATATTTGCCTCAGGTTGTGGAGCAGATGTCCCATCCATCGACGCTACTTGTGGACTACTTGGACGTCGTTTTCTAGGCTTTCCTGCGTGTCCCAACACGTGTAGCAATTGCGTACCATCCTGATCCATCTGCTCAGCTGCTGCCTCTTTTGGTCGATTGTCGGGAGAGGAGATTAGAAAGGGCTTAGGGTTTAGGTACCTAGGCTGTAGTGTAGTTGAAGTTGATGTAGACAAAGATCCCAGGTGATACAGAAGAGAAGGATCCTGGGTATAGTGGCTGGAGACCTGGGTATAGAGGCTGTGCTTCCTCTTGTTTCTCACAAATGTAAATCCACTTCTGGAATCTACTCAGTTACAACTAGTACTACTTGTTATTATCGGAATCGTAGACAGAATTTTGCCTCTTTTTCTGCGTCTAATGCAGCTATGTTGAATATGCTTTTTACTTATGTTTATTTCCATAAGGTATAATACCCCGCTTGTTGCACTACTTCTTGCTCGGTGATTACGATTCTATTAGAGCTTGGGAATCTCCGTCCAGCCGCAGCCTGCGTTGCTGCTCCCAAGGTGACCGACAGTTTTAGATGGGTCTTTCACGATACATGGATGGATTTCGCAGCTGAATAGGAGTAACATCAAGTAGGCCTCGACACGATAAGCATGGACTTCATAGTACCCTAAAAAAAAAAAATTGACCGCTTCGTCTTTTTGAAAGACTAAGACTCCGTTAACATGATCCTTAAAAATAACACTCCGCCACCAAACGCCAATAAAAGCATCCGCACGTGTGCCGAGAAAACATTTGCAAAGTCGAAATCGACGAAGTTGAGACTGAAGGTTCCTTGTGCAGCTAGGATTTCGTTCGAGTCGCTGGTATCAGTCACATCAACTGGACCCAGATTACTGCCCAATTCCTTTATAGGTTCCCCGAACAACTGCTTGTCTACTGTGGGCTCTGCACGACGATTTTCCCTTTGAAGAGTAGAGGAAGAAGAAGTTATCCTATGATGATGGGAATCAGGATGAGACGCGGCACGGCGTAGAGTTCTTCTAGGTGAAAAACCAGTGCTGCGATCTTTTTCACCCTTTGTAGTAGTATAATCAGAGGTACCGACGTGCATCCCCGAGAGCCTCCCTCGGCCCTTTTTCCCCTTGAAAAAAGGGCTAAGGATGGTGTTGAGGATGCTCCAGCGGTGGCCTTAATATAATATTCATCAGATGATGTATTTTGTAATTCTTGTTCCCGAAATATCAGAGAGATATTTGGAGACTTCACCTCTGCAAAAGCTTTAGTCAGAGCTTTCGGGAAATCTACATGGAAACTGTTTGTGTCCTTGGCAGTCGGTCTTCCTTGACGAGTACTATTCTTCTTGTAATTAAAGCTCAGCATTCATTGGTCACTGACTCTGAACGGAAGAGACCCCCTTCAAAGCTCTCCCCTTTTCCTTCGTTTTCCCCTGTTCTACTCTCCAGGGAAGGTCGCCTCTTCGATCTCAGTGACTCCAATCTAAATGATGACCATTGAAAGTTGACCCTTAATGTAATATCGGATTTTTAGGGGCATCACATCGCTAGGATAATCGAGTCTGGTTGTACTAGGAGAAACTCTATCAACATCCGATGACGCTGAAGCTGAGGCGGGTGCTCCCAGAGGCCTTTTCCCTTCCCTGGTCATCATCTTTTTCCGTGTCCTACGTTGCATCGTTTCTTCATCCGTGGTCAACGTGGATGTCGAGTCACTCTCAGCACTATCTGGTGCGCTAGAAGACGAAGGCGAGTCGGCATCTCCTCGTCTTTCAGTTTCACCCTCAGCAGATGAAGAGGACACTTTCACTTGCTCCATGAAATCCACATCAAGGATCTCAATCACATCGAATTGCTGAGATGCGATTTCGTGAATTTTTCTCGTGATTGCAGAACGAAAGGCTACTTGGTCTAGACCTGACGCTGACGCTGGTCCTGAATGGTCTCCTGCAAGTTGTACTTGCAGGTCGAGTTCAGAAATTCCTGCAGATGCCCTGCGGCCATTGGAACTACTGGTGCGTCGCGCAAGAGTTTCTAAGGATGACGGGTCGCGCAGGTGTAGCCCTACCAGCCAGAGGTACGCGAGGGAGCGGAGAGGGCGCCTCGTCATGGCTACGATGTCATTTTTTCATCAAGTCATTGTGTACAATTTTTCATCAAGTCATTGTGTGTAATTCGTCCTCATTGGTACACGACTGACGACTCAGATCACTCTAAACCTGTAAATTTCAGGACTACTGGTACCCAGCCAAGTGATTTCTGTCTCCGCACAGCTGATGAATAAGGGGCACAGCGCTCTAATTTGGAGATGTTGCCCGTGCGCCTCAATAATATGGTGATGTGTCAATTCATTGGTCCTTTCGACCTACAGTAGATGTCATTAGATGCATCTTTCCTAGTGCCCATGTCATTAGATGTGAATAAATTGTAGTTAACGTCAGTCAGTGCTTCACTGCGCGTGCGCGATATTAACGTTTATGTTAGTACTACTTACCTTAGCTTGCATCACCTCACAGATATGCCCTACAAAATTCCTTTTGTGCCAGTGATGTGAATGTCCCAGAGAAGCCATCGTCTGGGTGACTCCTATCAAAATCTGATTGAATCTTGCGAGCCAGTGTTCTAGCACGTGCTCTTTCTGCCCCACCTCCGTCGTCTGCTAGTATACTGTCGCAAACTGACGTTGCTGAGCACGTTTGCATTAGCGGTGAGTACAATTCTAATCCATCTTGAGAATGAGATACATCCGTGATGAGGTGAGAGCCGTATTATTTCCCTGAATATTAACGCAACACGTTGATCTTCAGGACGTGGCCTCATCTACTCAAGATGGAATATAGGGCAGAATACGTAACTTCAGGGCCGCTGCCCTCCTCCACAGTAACTCCGAAACCGGAAAGCCATGTCCTTTCTGAAAGAGCACGTAGCTATGGTCTAACATCTGCAATAGATGAGAAGTGTGGATTAGATGTGCCACATCTTCGACTCGACGATGAAGCAGAAAGATGCTTTGATGATGGTACTTCTTGATGTTCAGGTTGATGTTCAGGTCGTCTTTATCCTCTCCGCTGTTGTCATGATCTTTAATATCATCTCCTTGGTGCTGCTTTTTGTCTGTTGGATGCACGCAGAGAGTAGCCCAAGCCTCGAGTATTCGCATAGTATCAAAAACATCCATCTGAGAATGGTTGCTTCTTATCCAACTCCCCAAGCCTTGCACTAGCAGAGTCTGTGCTGTGTGCCACTTCAGGTCCGCGGTTGCGGAAAGAAGTGTCCAAAATTCAGAATGAGACAGAGAGTCGAAGCTTCTCGTCTCATGTTGTAGTGATGTGCTTGTTGATGCAGTGGGAAATGAGGACACGACTGTGCTGGACGGGGAGAAAGACAGTGACGACACTTTGCTAGACATAATTGATGTTTTCTTCTCAGCGAAAAGTGCTTTCTCTAATGCAATTAGCAGCTGGCTGAAGTTGTTTTGGCGGCCGCCAAAGAAATCTTGAGAACTAGCAAGTAGCTGTGCTAGCGCGACTAGAGCTGATGGTGGCAGGAACGGCACAGCTTGCAGCAATGGGGTGTTCGAGGGGCTACTTGATGTTACTGCTGCCAAAATCGGGTACGTCTGAAATCTCGTGGTCCTTTCTGAACAAGATAGTCTTCTAAAAGTCGATGCCCTCATCTTCGCAGCTCTCTTGGTTCTGCTTGTAGTTGTGGGGGAAGACACTACAGTGCCAACGCGACCACTCCCGTACCTAGCTTCTCTCATATTCCGTACCATTTCTTGTGTATCGTCGCTAAAAAAATCTCCGATCTCATCGGCCACATCAGGATCGTGAATATGCGAAACTCGGCTCCTGGTTTTCCTGTTTCTCTTTGGCAAGCGATCAACGCCCCTTAGAAACCGCTTCCGATTGAAGTAGTATCCACATTTGACGAAGTCCTGAGCGATAGAAAGAGCTTGGGAGATGTGAGGTAAACTAGTGAGGAGAGCGAGAGAAGGGTTCTTGATGGATGGTGCTGTAGTACTGTTGTTGCATCCTGAAGATGACGCAGTTCTTGATGTAGCCGCGGATATCGTTGATCCGAATACCGCACTTCTTGTGGAGTCACCGGCTTCACATTCACTGTGCTCGGGGGCACCATAATTCTCTTTCTCGCTTGTTTCCTCCACAGAAGTAGTTATTCTTTTTCCACGACCTGCCAGACCTGCTAGTACATCAGGCAGCCCTACCAGCTTGCGTATCACAATTTTTTCGATTTTCGTGAACAAGGTTGTTTCACAGTGGCCACTAGCTTGCGCAAACGCTGAAACGATCGATTGAAGCTGGTTCATCACATGCAAGTCCTGCTGTCTACTGTGAAACGATAACGACTCTGGACTACTTCCATCAATGCCACAACCGTTACTACAGCTAAGTCTTCCCAATTTCCCGGAATCCAAATGTTTTCCAATATGAAAAGCCAGCATCCGAAAGAACCGCTCGCCAGTGATGCGATGATACACCGTCATGGGACGCATTCCTAGGTTCGAAGCTGCTATCAAAGTGTCGACTGTCAGCTTGGGTCCCAAAGTGTGGACTCTGCGAGGAATGTAGCGGACAAGGGTTAGCGGTGTTGAGTAGGCTTCCTTTCCATGTGCTGGCTAGTGTTGAATTATGATGCTTAGTTTTCCTACGGATCGTGATAAAAATAGGAATTGATACACATCATCATGGCATCTCTGGTCCTCCGTCTCTGCCACTGGCGGTTGTACGAGTAGGAGTAGATACATATGGTCCTCCTTCTCTGCCACTCGCGGTTGTACGAATACTAGATAATTCTAATATGTATTAGATCAAAGTAAGCCCTTGTTGTTCTAATAAAAATATGTATAAACTACAGTGATGTGTCCCCCGACCCCGAGGACGGCCGTAGAACTTCTTCGTATCTCTTCGTCTATTCAACATCATTTTCTATTCAACATAACAATGCTTGAACTGTCCTCTGGTTCCCGACTTTGAGCCAGTCCAAAAGGCGCAGTGCTCGTGCATGATACGATCCCCGCATGGTCAGGTTGTGCTGATTTAGAGGTTGAAGCATTTCATTTGTGCTAAAGAACAATCTGAAATGAGAAAAGCATGGAAAAATGAAATGCTTCAACCCTGCTTAACTGATACACTTCTGTCCCAATCCGCTCTGCCAGGTCATCATGGGACGAGAGGAAATTAGCCTTTTCTTCCGTGTAGGAACAGCCAGATCCTCCACTAGTACTAGCCAACTGGTCGTAATCATCTTTTTCGTGGTCCTCTTTGTAAAACAGTTTCGCCACACTTTCTCCTATATCAATCACGTTCCAGTGCTTTAGCTCGTGTAGTCTTCGGCGCAGATCCCACTTGTGTTCGCCCATTAAGGTCGAGGTAAAAAATCCGCGAGGTGCATATTTGAGTTGGGAAAATCCACGGCACAAACGGCCCATGTCATCCTCCGACAACATGTCGTAGGCATAGTCGCATTCTGCAGCGACCCGGTCTAAGAGGGGACCAGCGTGGCGGACTCGAAGCGCAGCTAGGTTGGAAACTAGGGTCACGAGGGAAGCGAGAGAGGATGGGGGCGTCGCAGTTTGAAGTAGCTGCTGTGGTGTCGTAGTAGAAAGTGCAGTGGATGAGCTTGTACTGAGGAGAGAGGCAATGGCAAGAGAGCTGCCATCGTGAATGAAGTTGCCTGCATCGGTCAGTTGAGAAGATGACAATGTTGTAGAAAGATCGGAGGAGGCCCCTTCTTGCTCTGCTGTAACATTTCTATCGTCGCTCATGCTACTATCATACAAGCGGCTGCAAACTCTTCGAGCTACCCTGTGCAAAACCGTCACGAATCGGTAGTGCACTTCCAACGGGTCCATTGGTCCTCCGGCTTTACTTTTAATACTGTTGTGACGACTTGTCCGACTACTTCGTGTTCGCACTACATCTTCAGTGTGAAGATCTTTCGCTTTCGCCACAGTCGGACTCCACACAAAGCCTCTTACTGTTTTTCGATATTTTCCTCGCATTTCTGGTCTCGGCAGATGATGTCGATCCGGTGCGTAGTTAAAGGTTGAAGCGTTTCGTTGTTTAGTAGCAATCTCAAGTACAGAAGACTTGTAAAAATGAAATGTCTCAACCCTTAATGTAGTACTGTTCTGCTCGCACGCGGCTAGATTCTCCGAGTTTCACTAGCATCTCCAACAAAGGCAGCCAACCCTTTGGATGTACTCGCGAGTTTTCCACATCTACTGCGGCTAGGAGCTTGCGGAACAGCCTCTCGTCGAAGAAGAGCAGTTCTCGTGAGCGTTTTTTGTGCGACAAAGTGCCGAAAGAAAGCAAAACGGGGAGAGCTTGTGCTGAAGTGAGTTGAAGTGGGAATGTCCCTTTCCTGGTAATTGCTTCATTATCCCTCAAAGATGCTACATTTAGAGCGCAAAACAATTCACTTCTTGCCTACATTTCTCCCAATCGATCCTAAGAAGGAAATAGGGAGAATTGACTTGTAGAAATGAAATACTTATATTGAGCCTTAGTACAACACCGTCTCCGCCAGCTGCAGTATTTTCAAACAATATCGAGTCTGCGTCTCGACTAGTCAGCAACCTGGCGACGAAACGCAAGAAAGCGTGATCCTTCTGCCGGCGCTTGTAGGGTATTGCGGCTACTAAGGAGTCCACAAGTCGTGGAACGTGGACTGAGGGTACAGCTGGTGGTCCTGCTGCTCTTGGAAGACAAGCCGCGAAAGATATTTTGTCTGATCTATTTTGTTGGACGACTTGTTGAGCTACCATTCTTGTAGTGCTGTCGGCGGAAGAAGTGAGGGCCAGGCTGGAATCAAGCTGTTCCACCGAAGTTGCTGCACCATCATCTTCTATTCTTGGAGTTCCAATTCTGTTTTGGTCTGATCCCACATCACCGCTATCAAGCTTCGCCTGATCTTCTTCTACAGCATCAATCGTCTTTACGCCCTGTCCATCACCTTCAGCCTCAGCAAAAGCAATTCTCTTCATCTCCTCCTCTTCACGGTCAGCAAGTAACGCTTTCCGCTCTTCGGGCCTCAGCATTACAGTCGTTTTGAGCTCCTCCACACTCAGTTGTGGCAGACTCAAAGGGACCGTATGCACACCACCTTCGGGTAGCTTGTATTTACGAAAATGCGGTAGAGGCAAGCCCTTACGCCCCGTTCGCTTGAACCGCAAGAACTGTTTTTGATGTGGTGGTGGTGGTGTACCTAAAATCGCTGAAGTAGATGCGGCAGACGAGAGTGCTAAACTGTAGTCGCATGACAACCTGATGTTGTGCTTCCCAGGTGTGGAGACGCGCACAGGCATCTTGAAGGACGATGACGACGATGAGGGAGCCATTTTTCTGTCCACAGGAGACACTTGATGTTCTACATAGGTACTTGATAACGAAATCAACAGGCATAAGGTTGAGCGAGACCAAGTAGAAACTCAAACTCACTCACAGAAACTCACTGTCGTCAGATAAAGCCAGGCCTAAGCATTTGACTTCCATGTTCTCTCCAATCTTTTCCGCTGGTACTTTTAGAGCCACAGGGATGGCGTCATGTCATGTCATGGTGCCTCTTTTGTAGAATTGTCTACCTTTGACGTGGGGGACAGATCCGGCTAACAGACACTTGAGAAACAAAACGAAAGATCTGCCTCCGATCATTTCTCTCTTTAACTAGTACGCGCGACCCATTCCTTCACCTTAGTACATGCCACTCGAGCATATGTGTCCCTCTCTTCTCCCACGCAAGTTCCACACTTTCTCCCCTATCCACAGTAGCTGTGGGTTTTCAGCCATTATTTTTGAGGATATCAATGTGAGCTAGCGATATAAGTGGAAACGTGAATGAGTGCGAATATTATTGATTCTCGAAGATGTTGCCACAGTGAGTGGGTATTATCGAATGAGTTGGGCAATCTTCTTCTACTATTTTTGTCAGTTGTTGCTAAGTTGTAGAAAGTACGAGTTTTTTCGCCTTTTTGCGAAGTTTTTCCGGTCAATATGATTTCTTCTGGGCTGATGATCAATAAACTTCTCCGATTAAGTTTTACTATAATGTCCACGCGAAGTGCATGGTTCCGGTATTGCGACAATATTATCCTAAGTTGTGTCGTGCTCATGCATATCGTAACTTGATGGTCCGCACCAAAACATGTGACTTATCATTCAAAAAAGCTACTATCTGTAGCGCACATATAGCGATATGTTTTACGTTAGATCGTTCATCATCCACAGCTAAACTCTTGTAAATTGTAAAACCAAAAATAGCCCGTCTGCGTCGAGCAATAGAGCGCATTTTTCTGTCTGTGATCTAAAAGAGCTAGTATAGGTTGCGTACTTTGTTCATACATTGGAACTAGAATCTAAGAATGATATCATGTTCTGGGCGAGAACTATGATATAGATATTGTTTTTACTTCACATTTCGCTGAAATATGATAGCCCGAGCAACCACCCTTAGCGAGAGTGTGCTGTTAGTTTGGTACGAAAGGTATAAGGACTTCTATAGGATTTCTTAGTGTCTGTAATGTTCCTCTGTCGTGTGAGAGGTATGTCATCGTTTTAGGTCGTATTTCTAAAAAACTCTGTTGTCGAAACTCGTCATGGTCTATAACTACATATTAAATTGGCGAGTCTTCTGGTCTTCTGCGCCAACAAGATAGAAAAATCAACTTCACAGTGACTCATCTTGTCGAGGACTACAATCGGAATCATCTATCTCCGACTGTTGAGAGTCTATCAATGAACCTGATGAAAAACTTCTTCTTCTACTAGTAGTATGACCTCTTCCTCGAAGCTGTGCCTGTGAAGCCTCATCATCTTCTGATTCTGTATCGGACCAGTCTGTTGAGGAAGTCCAGTAGCTCGCCTGTTCGAAATCTGAAGACAGCTCTTCTTCAAATGGGAGATGATATTCGCAATCGGAGTCTGCTGTTCGGACTGGTAGTTCTTGGGTGTCGTTTTCAGCAGCATTTGCTGGTACATGATTTGCTGGATCTTCTACATCGGTAGTGTTGCGGTCGCTCTCGTCGTCCGAGACCCAGTTGGAGCCTTGTTCGTCACGTCTGTCATTGTCATCAAAATCAATAAACGAAGCTCGTTCAACAATATCAGCATCAGCTAAGCTCGAACCCTGCCTCGATCCTGAGTCTTGTTCTGAATCCGAAAATCGTCCGCTTGCAATGTCCGAAGCATCAATGTGAGGCTTGTTATCCTCCTCATCACTGCCAGTGGAAGAAGAATCACTCGAGATTGCGGCAATAGGTAACTCATCTTCGTCATCGGAGGAAGCGCAGTCGCGTCTCAAACCGCGACCAGCCTGACTTGGAGGACCTCTTCTACGATCAACATTTTTTGGGATTGAGGCTTGTAGTGGTTTCGTCCCTCGTGTTGTACTAGTAGTGGATCCTCTTCTATCCAAATCACTGTCTTCGCGTGCGTCTCCATCTTCTTCTATGTGACTAGCTTCTTCAGCAACACCATCTTCTTCTCCATCTTCTATGAGACCATCTTCTTTAGCTCGAGTAGTGATATTAACGGCATCGTCGTACACGTTGTACTCCATATCAACAGCATCTCCTAGTTGAGAAGCTTGTTCATCCGCAGAAATAGATGTAGAAGACTTGAAGATAAGTGCCCTCTTACTGCCGCTGCCCAATGGCACTTGTTCTAATGAAGTAACGAAATTCTCCACATTGTCCTCTGCGAAATAGAAGGTACAAGGATCTACGTTTTCTGGGACACAGAGCCCCGCATAGGGATTCTGTCCCAGCAAATCGAATAGACGATGTCGCAGAGAGTTGAGGTTTTGCATCTGGAACAATTGCTGCATTGTCGCGACCAATTCTTCCGGTTTTTTCGCGGTTTGAGAGTGGTTCTGTGCACTGACTAAAGAGGTGTTTCGGCGAATTTTGTTGGAGATGATTTCGAAAGAAGTACTACTGTTTTCGGAAAAAATCTTGTACTTGTACTTGTTGTGGAAGGAAGTAGAAGCAGGAGGAGCATTTTCCACTTCGTCTAGTTGAAGTTCTACTTGATTTTGATTTTTCTTCAGTCGCACGCCACAGCAATGACACCTTGGTTCCAGACGAAAGGGCTTCCGCGAGGCTAATCGACCTAAGTCCAAAGCCGTCGAGTGTCTGGTAGCACTAGAGGAATGTAGAGATGGCACGCAGCTCTTTTTCGAGGTATTGCTATCGATTTCTTCTTTATCATCCTGCATAGCAGTGGTGGTCTTTTGCTGTTCTTGAGAAGTGAATGTTGTTGTAGGGAGGACCTTGGAATCTTGGGCTACTACAGCATTTTTATCTTTTGATGTACAACTAATGATCCCATCACCACTGACAAGGCCGCGCGAGCCTCGTGGCATGTATTCTTCATGACTGTTCTGCAAGTCCAGCGGCAAATCGTCGATCATGTCACAGAGACTTGTGACGCCTGTCTTTTCTCTTAGAGGCAGCTCATATTCATCTCGGTGCCCTCGCCTGGACCCCTTTCACCTTGTATTTCATAGGAATACAACAGGGCACAAAGGTCCCAAGGTGCTGAGGAGGATGGATAAAAGCTGACCATAATTCTCCATGTAGTGAGGCAAAAAAAAGGTTTAAGCGGAGCTCCTGTAATCTGCTGCTCGACGTTTTCTCGTTAGGCACTTCGCGAGTTGGATCTGTGGGTTGTTATTTATGGTGTCTCCTGTCAAGTGGCCTTAAATTTCAGAAAAGTAGTGAACATGCTGGACGACTCTGCACCAAAATCTAAAATCTTCTAAGTATCCATATCCAATTGAGTGGGGCAACAAAGTTAAAGCTCTGTACCGAAAGAGTAATTTTCGATCCGTTTCTCGATTCGGTACCGAAAGTTATCGCGGATTTGTTGGACCACTTCTACCGTTGCTCCAAAATCTATGGCCTTTTCGACAAGGCCCCTGACTGCCAAACGCTGCAAACATTAGACCCTAGACCTAGTAAAGAACTCAAGTACTTATATTCATCATCTTGAGAAGCAGCTGCATCTTTGACATGTTTGTGTTTCTTTCCCCCTTAAAAAAGGGATCAAAAATCATGCTTCTTAAAATGAACTACAACTGCTGTAAGGAGCCATAAAAACGAGGATGAAACTTCGTGGGCATTCCACATTTCCAGCATTCTTCATCGTACTTACCCATTGCTGGTCGACTTGCCTTCTCCTCAGAAGCACGCAGTTCGGGAGGTAGTTCATGTTCATCTTCCGGGCCACTTCTTGATGTTTCGTCATCAGTTGTAATAGTAGAGGTTGAAGAGGAGTCTGAGTGGTCAGAAGCTCTACTATCACTTGTCCTCGAGGAACCTCCTGAGGCCTCTGATGAATTACAACTAGTAGCAGTGTCATTTTCGTCCAGAAATGGCGTCGCGTCCGAACTGGAGGATGAGGAAGCGCCAGAAGACCAGTCGGCATGGTCTAGAAGTTGTACATGTGCTGCTCCTGCGTAACCGTAGGTATCTTTTTGCCTGGTCGAAGTGATCTTGTCGTAGAGTTGAGCCAAATCCAGGCAATTTTGCTCTACTACCAATTTCGAACCTAGAGTAGATTCAGCGTCGTGCCTTGTCTCTGAGTCGCTGGTCCTCTCGGAGCGTCGTGCCTTGTCTCTGAGTCGCTGTTCCTCCCCCTCCTCCACAGATGATGCTGAGTCCTCGTCTACGTCTTCACGGTTCGCATCAGACTGGAATCTCGTTGCCATCAATTCGTAAACATCTTGTATCGGTTTTTCTGGCTTCGGTTCTAAGTGCAAACGCGGAAGTTCCACTTGTCGACTCCTCTTGAAAACATGCTGCGCTGCTTCTGCGAATAGACCTAGCACTGCACTAGCGTCTACGTCCAAACGAAGAGCAATACGGCGGGAGAGTTTCCTGACAGTGGAAAGCAGTTGATCTGTGCCATAAATGCTGGAGGCTTGATGTAATACTGATGTTGTAATTGTCGTGTCAGCAGTTGTGGTGACTGGGAAGACTACCTCTTCTTCTTTTAGGGCTCGCTCTGCAACACTGGAGCTCGACGTAGAGCTCGCAGCAGCATCTCGCTGACCATCGTCGCCTGCTACTTCGAGTGATACTGGCTCGGTCTGTTCCCCTTTGTCGTGAGCAGGAGTTGTATGCTGCTGTTCTTCTTCTACCAACATCTTTTCAGAAGTATTGAGATCACTATTGACAGAGTTTTCACTTTCAGCACTTACGCGACTTGATGGAACGCCGACTACGCGATTTTCATCGGGCCTCTGCATGTCCTCAATGGCGCGTACGATCTCCCTCCCAGCTCGTCTTGGCATCTCCGTTACTGCGATCTCATGCAGCAACGAGATAATCTCGCTTTGGTGTTGGGCCTCTGCGGTTGCTATTTCTTTTTGCCAGTGTCGTAGACTGTAGCGCATGCGACGTAGGCGCTCTGCGGCTGTTGCGCACCGCATTAAATCCAATTCCCCCGTGAAGTTCTCCATCGTGTGGTTGGTGCTCCAGAAGTACCAAGGCTGCTCGTTGGTTCCTTGCTCCTGCAGATTCTTTTTGCCCTTTCCTTTGCCTTTCGAAGACTTTGAGGAACCCTGAATTTCAGCGTTATCTTTTCCCTTCCCTTTTCCTTTCCTGCTGCTCATTGCCTTACTTAATGCTACATTGTCCTGGTCTACGAGCTCTTGCTGCTGTAATATAGGTATAAGATCCCGAAGAAATTGCCGAAACTCTATCTCCTTCTCGTCCATTTCCTGCTGAGTGTGGAACAGAAACGGGATGCGCGAGTAGCGCCATTGCCAGTGTTCCTTGGATACCTTCTCTTCGCGGGTTCGGTTCATCACCCACCTCATCCTCCTTTCTGCTCGACGTAGCCGTCTGCGCTGTCTGTCTCGGTCCGCAATCTTCTGCTCCATTTCTGCGAGATGCTGATCAATCAAGCGGAAATCTGGAAAGAAGCACCTCAGAGGAGATCTCGTAGATGATGATGAAGCGCTGTTGTTTTCTGACTTATTTTCCATGTCGAGGCCATCTTCAGGACTCGTACAACTACTTTTCCGCGTAACTCGTCGTCGTCCTTCTTCAGGACTCGCACGACTAGTTTTTCTCATTCCTGCTGGTCCTCTAGAAGCAACAAATTCTGCCATGAGAGCAGCAAACTCACGCTCTTCTACCGTCCACTCACGAGCTCGCTTCAGGAGCCACTCGCGCTCTATCTTCAACCCAGAAACTCCCGGAAGAAAGGAGTCCTGGAGAGGTGTGGGCAATATTAGAGCTACGGCGTTCGCATCTCTCCCTTTTAAAGAGTGGGGGGGCTTCTTTTTCCAGAACGAGAGCCAATATCAGAAGTAGAAAAAGAGATTGATAATACCACCCCCACCTCCACCAGAGCCCTTTGGAGAAGGGGGATTTGAGAGTGGGGAGTCTTGGACGAGGAGGGGCTGTTCTTTTTCAAGTAGAAATAGAAAAAGAAGCAACTATTAAGTACAATGATATCGAGGAAGATGCTCCAGCGGTAGCCATAACAAAAGCGAAATGCTGTGATAGCGCTGGAGAATGCTGGTCCGGACAGAGAAGTGGTCTTGGAGCGGGAAGAATGCGAGCAGGAACTCCTCCCGGGAGTCACTTGTACTAGAATGCTGAGCTTGAGTATCGTCTTCAATGAAGATGTCGTACAGAAGATTCGGTTGGTGCGTCTTCACTTGAAGAAGATGTTGTTGAGCATTCGTTTGCTCTTCTGCATCGTCTCCTTTTTCAGAGCCACGTTCTTCAGAGCAAGTTCTTGATAAATTTTCATCACTTGTTCCGTTCTCTTCTTCACCAGAAGCACCGCCGTCTTCTTTAGCGGCTGGCGAAGGGTTCTTACCATCGAAGAATAGCTCATCAATGTGCACCGAAGGTCGCCTGTGGAGGTTAACTACAAGTTGTGCATTTTTTTCTTGAGGTGAAGGCGTAGCTGATGTCAAATCTGCAAGAGCAGCCCGACTGTCATTCTCTAAGAGCGCAGGTGGAGTAGAATCGAGTTTCTGAGATTCGGAATCGTTTCCATCTTCACGTAGAAGTTGTAACTCATGACTACTGCGACGCCTTGAAGATGCTTCTTTTTTCAGTTTCGGAGAGAGCACAGTTTGCCACTCTTTTCGCCACTCAAGCGCCTTATCCAACGTCAACGCCTGGGAGAGAGCTGCTGTGTCTCGAAAAGCTGCAAGCGCGGATCCCGCGACACCTTCGGGAGGGCAAGAGGACGCACGGCTGACTCGAGAGGCCGGCGTACGGCTAACGCGAGAGGCTGGCGTCTCGGCATGTGCATCTATGTCAGTGGTCCTTGTATCCATCATTTTTGAAACCACATAGCGGACAAAGAGAGCCACATAGGCACCACTGTGACTTGTCGTAAAGGCACCACTGTGACTTGTCGCTGTCGGGCTCCTCTGGCTGTCGTCGCAGTGAATTTTATGGTCAAGAATGTCGCAGTGAATCTTCTGAATCTTCAAGGAGTCCAGCTCTCCCCAGGACACTAGATGACTTGCGAGTGTGTGTGCAGCCTTGAAAGAGGGCGTCGCAGAATTTTGGTAATGACTTCGGACAGCAGCGGTCGGGGATAGGATCTTATCTTCCAGGTCGCTTTCACGAGACTCTCCATCGGAGGAGGCGGACAAGGATGTAGAAGAGTGGTTCTTTTTCGTGGACGAGTTTGCGAAATCTAAATGAAACCATTTTCTACATGAGCCACGACGCCCGATGTAACATAGGAGACTCCAAGTCTTGCGGCTGTTCTTTGGTGATGAGGGTAGTGCTGGTGCTGCACACGAACTAGAACTAGGAGACGCGGTAGCGGTACAGTTACTTTCAATCGGGAATAACAAGACACTTCCAGCAGTGTCTAGCAGCTTCGTCACCCTGTCTTTCGAGTATCCATCAACATTGTATTTGCGGCCTTGAGCGAGAACCTCGTGAGCGAAATGCGGTGGGAAAAAGACGACGCTTTTAGCGGTGCTCTTGTTTGAAATTGGTGTGGGAGTAGAAGGCGATGGCGCACTGGTATCTTCGTCCAACAAGCTTAAGCCTCCTTGTTGCTCTTCCTCGTTCAGGTAGGTTGACAACACCGCAAAACTCTGCTCCACTTCCAAGGCTATCATATTCCTAGAAACGTGCTCAGCTTCGAATGAGGTAGGACTCTCTGCCCAAAACTCAAGACTCGTCAGATCTCTAGGATCTAAGGTGACACCGTGTAAGGATACTTCTAGTGCACCAACCTCTTGTTCGACATGTGGTAAACGTAAACAAGAAGACGAGGGGGTAGTGTCCTCCTCTTTGGAGCTGATGTTTCTGTTATTTGGCGTGTTTTCTACAGGACCATTGTCGCTCTTGGGACTCCTCATGATCTCTGCTGTTTGTCCCAGAGGAGAGTTACAGTCCTTGGCTACATCGACACAGGCATCCGCGTTTCCAGTTGTAACTGCATAACTACAACCTTCACCGCCTTCCTCTGCCTTCATCCTTCCTGAGAACCTCAAAGGCACTGGTGTCAGCAGCCATTCCTCAGCCTCCTTCACATCAAGAATCAATGAAGATTTCACTTCTTCAGGGGCTGAACTCCCTAGACACGCACGTAGAGCATTTTCCCAATCGTCCCCAACAACAGCACCAGCAGCGCTTGATGGTGAAGAGACGTTATTGACATCACCCCTAAAGTCATTCGACAGGAACAAGACGTTTGTTCCCATGTCGACATCGAAGTCTTGAGCTTGCGAAACAGTGTCTTCTTCAGACTGGGTGTCGTCGTCTTCAGAATTATATCCTTGCAGCCTGGCATCCAACGATGAGCTCCCGTGCCACCTCTGCGCATCCAAAATCTGAAGGTCCTCAAGCAGAGGGGCTTTTTCACGTCCTTGTTGTTGTTCAGAAGTCGAGAAGCTACAACTAGTTGTAGTACTGCTATAATATAATGGATAGTACTTCACTAACGAGCTGTGCCTAGCGCCACTTTGAGTCCAGAAGGAATCGGTCAGAAGGTTGGTGAACCGTTCGACTCTAAGGTCGTTGTACAGCACTTGGAGTGGGGAGTGCTTTCCCTGACACAGCGTGTGCCAGTCGCTAGAGTTAGCGATCAGTTCCAGCTGTCCCTCTTTTTCCATCTCGTATCGCTCGATAAGAACCCGCCTCCGCTCTTCTGCTAGCTTCTCTGCTTCGGCGTCTACGGTTGCCACAGAGTGTTCCGCATCTCCATCTTCATCTTCTGGCTCTACTTCAGCAGCTTCGTTATCGTCCGCTTTGAGATTATCGTAGGCTTTATTCTTGACACGTAGACCGTCATCATATTCTTGTTCGTCTTCGGATAAGTCGTCTCCTTCTTCTTCATCATCCTCGTCACTGTAATCCCTCTTCTCCTCTCCTCGTCTGTATCTTTCGCTTGCGGTCGCATAGTCTGATCGATAATTAGTCGTCTCACTCGATGAAGACGAGCCAAAGCTGTTGCTGGAATTCTCGGCATTCGGATTCGCCTTCCCCTTAGCTGCCCTAGGCGTAGCACGACGCTTTGCACCAAGCTTCTTGTCGTGGCCGATGTTTCCCAGATGTCGCTGTTCCGCAAGATTAAGATTAGAACGACAGCTAAAAAAGATTAACGACTGAAGAAACTTAGCTGACATTTTTATTCACTACATGCAAAAAACTCTATTCTTGACGAGCCCTAGTACACACAAAACAAATTCTCACACATAACTTCCTCACTAAAAAGTTCTGCCTCCTCCATCTTCGCATGTTCCACTTCTTGCCTATCGAGCTCTTGTTGCCGCGCTCCGTCCATGCAGCTAATTTGCAGCAGCCTTTCCTCTCCCGCAAGTTGAATATTGTCTCTGCTCGTTTTCGAGTCTCGTCCGTCCCCAGAAGAACTCGTCTCATCGGATACAACTAATTTTTCCAGTTCGTCCGAGTGGAATCGGATCAGATCGCGCTTGTTTCTACCGGTTGTATCGTCCTTGAGGATTTGGATTTCCTTTTCTTCGATTTTCTCATGTTCGACGAAAAACTCACAAAATGAAAACTCTTCCTCTACTGAGTCATCTGCTTCGTCAAGAACTACGTCTTCCTCTACTTCTGCGTCTTCGTCCTCTGGTTGTACTAGTTCGAGATCTTCTACTCCGTCACCCAGAACGTGCCCATCCACAACGCTATCAGCATCGTCATCTTCGAGACCATCATCTCCAACATTTCTAGCAAGGAAATCATTTCCAGGAATAACACCTTGACGAAGAAGACCTTTTTTACCTTCACCCAGAGGCACCAGAGCATCATGATCGCTCTTTTGGTCTCCCACAACAGCTTCTTCTACCGCAGCCTCGTCAGACAAGCAGCTGCCCTGTTCCCTGATCTCCC